CTTAAATTTTTATACGTTTTAAGGCTGTGTTCATATATCTATCTATCTATCTATCTAATTTTATATATATCTATCTGTCTATCTATCTATCTATCTATCTATATATCTATCTATCTATCTATCTATCTATCTATCTATCTATCTATCTATGTACCTATGAATTTACCTTTCTACCTTTCTATCTATCTATCTATCTATCTATCTATCTATCTATGTACGTATCAATCTATCTTTCTAAATATCTAACTATATTTATAACTAGATATAGATGTATCTATAAATCTATCTATCTATATTTTTGTCTATCTGTCTATCTATCTATCCATCCATAGATATCTATATCTCTATCTGTCTATCTTCACATCTATTTGTCGATCTATCTATCTATCTATCTATCTATCTATCTATTTCTCTAAAAATAGATGCAAATGCAAACACGCCAGTCATTGGAACAGCAACTAGAAATCCGCTCAAATTGAACACATGAGAACTTGAATTAAAAGCACTTCGATTGCAATGATACATTTCGTAATTGCAATTGACCAGAGAGTGAAAGAAATTTCTGCCTCAGCTTAAAGATAATATTTGTTAGCTTAGCTGACACAGTGCCATATTATTAAGAGGTTTCCTTGCAGCATAACAGGAAACGGATGCAGAACTAAATTGAATAAATAAAGACTTTGCTCCATTGACAATTAGATGACCCAGATTTGAAATTCAGATTTTCCTAAGAGTAAATGATATGAATACAAATTCTGAGTAGTAAAACGGCTCTAATCTGTGCCTTTTTCCTTTGAATCAAATCATTTTGCAAACAAACATAAATAAAACCATTTCCCAGAGCATATTTACCACACTTGTTGCTGCCTGGGCTTCAGCTGCTGTCTGAAAATCTGTGGAATGCGCTTCAGCTAGACGGGGAAATGGCTAAATACGAGCAGCAGCAACAATAAACAAAAGCAATCCATTGAATAACGAATGCAGTCCAAGTGCAATTATCAAAGCAAAGCATTTCTTTGTCTGATCAGTGAGCTGTCCGCTGTTCGCTGCTGGCAGACTGAAAGGCATCGCACCTTCTGAGCTGAAGGTGTGCAGCAGTCAACTGATAACAGTTAGTAACAACGACAACATAATAAACACCCATAACAGCCACTGATGCAAATATTAACATGTAGCCCGAGAGATAAGTGAAAGATAAGAGCTGCATTGCTGTAAGTCACATTCAAAACGAACCAAAAAAGAGTGAGAAAATTTTTGGTTAAGACAGCGAGACAAAGCGATCTCTTTACCCGGAAGTTTTCAGTTGGGTGTTGCAACGGGCTGGGCTGGGCTGGGCTGGGCAGCTACTTTTACTTTAAACTGACTGCTTGCTGGCTTGCATAATAGGTTTAATAGATGCAGTTCAGTCAAGATGTGTGAGATATGCTTTAATAACCATAGAGAAAGATACAAATTTAGATACAAATACAGAAATAGGCTGGAAAGACAGATGCAAATGGAAGATAAAGCAGCAGATAACAGATATAGATACCAGGATACAGATACACAGATACAAACAAAGATATAGATGACAGATACATAGATACACAGCTGCAGATACATCTATAGAAACTGCTGCAGATACTAATACAGATACAAATAAGGATACAGATACAGATACAGATACAATTGAGATTTAGATACAGCTAATCAAATATATACACACATAGACAGATACAGAAACACAATTAGGCATACAGATACAAAGGCAGATATCTCTCTGGAGAGGGAGACAGATACAAATGGAGATACAGCTACATTTACAGATACAGTGACACAGAGATACAGATACTGATAGTAGCGAGTCGCACACGCCCCAAATAAAGCGACAAGAGTCGCGCTAACCGCTCACGATCCGAGCGCTAATTCAAACAAATTGCAGCATAAATGCATTATAAAAGGCAGAGGAGCAAACACGACCGACATCCGACGCGACACAGCGATCCGTGTGTGTGTGTGTGTGTGCGTGCGTGTGTGACAGTATTAAAAGGCAACGGATTCTGGATTCTGGATTCTTGATACTCGAATACTCCGCATAGAAAACGCATATGATAAATTACACAAAAAGCTAGTTTCAAGCACACGGCTGCTGTAAATGTGGGCTGTGCACAGTGGTACGAAAGTTAGTCAGGAACTCTAAGCAAATAAGTTTAAGTATTTAATGCTAATGATAGGGCCTTCGTATATAGTAAATCAAGGATGTCTTGGAGTGATCTAAGCTTGGACAATCCCTTGTCTAAATATTTTTGGCCTCTAATCTGTAGACTGCTAAAAAGAATTCTGGAACTGATCAAAAAATTAAATGCGCTGACTCAGAACCGGCTTTCAAGCGCTGCTACCAACAAATCGTTTTACATCAGTTTCAAATCATTTAATGTTACGCTTTAATTCACATTCCGAGTGCATTTGCCGCTCCATTTTGTCGAAGCCCCCAGGAATTTGAGTCGAGCAGCGTTTTTTTTTTTTCTTTCACATTAATGATGATGAGCACCCACTGTGCAGCGGGCAGCTAGAGTAAGCAGCAAGTGCTTTGTTGTTGCTGTTGTTGGTGCAGCTAATTTGATTAATGATAAGCCGAGCTTAACTGACGACGATTGTGATTCATTATGTGCGCACATCCAGCACACTTAGCGCAAAAGATATAGATTCAGCTATGGCTCCAGATGCAGATGCAGTAGCTGCTGCGAATTGCATTTAATAGATTGTTGGCATAGAACGACCAGAGACAGAGCATTATTTTATTAGCTTGACAACATGTGTCCGTTGTTAGGCAATTGCCATAGATATCGCTCTCTCTCTCTTTCTGTCTTTCTCCCTCTCCTTCTCTTTCACTTGCCAATTGAATTGAATTTAATGTTGCGATCACCATCATATGCGAAATATGCTTTCGTTATCTATGAAATACAATTTAGTTGGCTGATTACATGCAATGAGCCATTTCCTTTGTTGTGTCGACTCGCACGCTAATGCCATAGTAGAATCCGTTGTTGCAACTATCTATCCATCTATCTAGCTATACAGCCATATATATCGAAGCTTCGTCACAGCTGTTGGCCACTTGCAGCGCCCCATTTGGGTCAGAACAGAGCGGGCTATTGAAAACATTGAAAGAAAGGCGGTCAGAGCGCATTTACGTTTGATTTGTCTACACAGATTAGGCCATCGACTCATAAGAGGGGCAAATGCGGAACTCGCATAAGCATAAGTATAAGCATAAGTATAAGTATAAGTATAAGTATAAGTATAAGTATAAGTATAAGTATAAGTATAAGTATAAGTATAAGTATAAGTATAAGTATAAGTATAAGTATAAGTATAAGTCTAAGTATAAGATAAGTATAAGTATAAGTATAAGTATAAGTATACGTATAAGTATAAGTAAGTATAAGTATAAGTATAAGTATAAGTATAAGTAAAGTATAAGTATAAGTATAAGTATAAGTATAAGTATAAGTATAAGTATAAGTATAAGTATAAGTATAAGTATAAGTATAAGTAATAAGTATAAGTATAGTATAAGTATAAGATAAGTATAAGTATAAGTATAAGTATAAGTATAAGTATAAGTATAAGTATAAGTATAAGTATAAGTATAAGTATAAGTATAAGTATAAGTATAAGTATAAGTATAAGTATAAGTATAAGTATAAGTATAAGTATAAGTAAAGTATAAGTATAAGTATAAGTATAAGTATAAGTATAAGTATAAGTATAAGTATAAGTATAAGTATAAGTATAAGTATAAGTATAAGTATAAGTATAAGTATAAGTATAAGTATAAGTATAAGTATAAGTATAAGTATAAGTATAAGTATAAGTTATAAGTATAAGTATAAGTATAAGTATAAGTAAGTATAGTATAAGTATAAGTATAGTATAAGTATAAGTATAAGTATAAGTATAAGTATAAGTATAAGTATAAGCTAAGTAAAGTATAAGTATAAGTATAAGTATAAGTATAGTATCGTATAAGTATAAGTATAAGTATAGTATAAGTATAAGTATAAGTATAAGTATAAGTATAAGGATAAGTCTAAGTATAAGTATAAGTATAAGTATAAGTATAAGTATAAGTATAAGTATAAGTATAAGTATAAGTATAAGTATAAGTTATAAGTATAAGGATAAGTATAAGTATAAGTCTATAAGTATAAGTATAAGTATAAGTATAAGTATAAAGTCTAGTATAAGTATAAGTATAAGTATAAGTATAAGTATAAGTATTATAAGTATAAGTATAAGTATAGTATAAGTATAAGTATAAGTATAAGTATAAGTATAAGTATAAGATAAGTATAAGTATAAGTATAAGTAAGTATAAGTATAAGTATAAGTATAAGTATAAGTATAAGTAAAGTAAGTATAAGTATAAGTATAAGTATAAGTATAGTATAAGTATAAGTATAAGTATAAGTATAAGTATAAGTATAAGTATAAGTATAAGTATAAGTATAAGTATAAGTATAAGTATAAGTATAAGTATAAGTATAAGTATAAGTATAAGTATAAGTATAAGTATAAGTATAAGTATAAGTATAAGTATAAGTATAAGTATAAGTATAAGTATAAGTATAAGTATAAGTATAAGTATAAGTATAAGTATAAGTATAAGTATAAGTATAAGTATAAGTATAAGTATAAGTATAAGTATAAGTATAAGTAAGTATAAGTATAAGTATAAGTATGTATAAGTATAAGTATAAGTATAAGTATAAGTATAAGTATAAGTATAAGTATAAGTATAAGTATAAGTATAAGTATAAGTATAAGTATAAGTATAAGTATAAGTATAAGTATAAGTATAAGTATAAGTATAAGTATAAGTATAAGTATAAGTATAAGTATAAGTATAAGTATAAGTATAAGTTATCAACGAAAAGTGTGATGAAAATCTTTTTAGCAGCAACAAGAATACATTTATTTTAGACCATTATCTGATGATTATGAAACTGGAGAATGAATCTAAATATATTATTTATTAATTTAGCTTTCTACGCTCCTATTGTAGTTTTTCTTTCCTCTGTTCACTGTGCAAGTTTTTTGATGTTTTTGTGATTTTAGCTGCTGTTTTTGTTGTGTGTGCGCGGGTAGCAAGTGGGTATTTATATATAATGTGTTAACATATAATTCGTAATACTGTTGTTGATAGTTGTTCGTTTATGCACTGGCTTTCTCGCGCTCCTTGCGCTCCTTGTCACGCTGCTTTTGTAGCTCTTGCCTGAGTTTTTCCTTTTCTTTTTTTATCTTTTCACGCTCCTTTTCCTGCTCTTGGATCCGCTTCATTTCCTCCTTTTCATAGGCTTCGAACTCCTCGCGATCCTGCGTCAGCTGTATGAGTTCGGCCATTTCGTCTTCATTGAGATCGCCCTCATCGAGATCCTTTTGCATCAGCTCCACCTCACGGGTCATGGCCTCCTTGGCCTTGCGACGTCGCACTTGTAGCTCCTTAGCATCCAATTTATTCTGACGACGCTGTTCGCGCTCCTCCTTCTCCTCCTCCCGGCGCTCCTCCTCCTTAGCGAACTCCTCCATCTCATCCTCAGTGTATGGATAATCCGGAATATCATGAAACAACTTAAAATCTTCCGACTGTACGCAAAGAAAAACGCTGCCAATGAGCGCCGCAATGCCGCTCACCAGAGCCATATTGTATCTGGAGTTCTTGGCTCTCCAATCCTTCATAAAGTCACCCTGCGGCTTGGGCAAATCATCGAAGACGGCATGAGTGCCGCCGCTTGGAAAGCAGCCCGGCTTGGGCGGCGGCGGCTTCTCTGGTGGACAATTGCCTGCCTCCGACTTCCCAGACATGTATCGGTTAACAATCAGAAACTTGCTCAATTTACTAATGCGTACTGCACGCTCAGTTCAGATTAATATATATATAAATAGTGACTCACAGATTTATCTAATGTTTACTTACTCTCACGCGACATACGCGATGGAGCGGCCATCAGAAGTCTGGACATATTTCCCTTTCGTCCCTTCGCCGTGCACTGATAGCAAATGCGTAGGATTTGTTTACTTGATGTGTGACTGAAAAAAATATAATTGTCCTCGCTGACAGTAACTTTCTCAAAAGCTGCTGCGTTTCAACTTTGATTTTTTTTAGTTTTTCCTTTTTTTTGTTCTCTGTAAGCGAAGCCAGCACTGTCAATGGCAGTAAAAAAAAGTGCAATTTATACGAATTCTGCGAGTTTACGCAAAGTTTGATGAATAATTTGTTTTCCTTAAACGAAAACTAAACTAAAGCGATACTAAACAGGATGATTTTTATTTTATTATCAATATGCTCCTTAGCAACTTGTTCTTTTCTCTTAACTAAAAGGCTACTTGATGTGAAATGTTGTTTTGAATTAAAACGAAAAGACGAAAGGTTGATCAAATATATAACAAATTCCTGGAGCTACGAAATATTATATATTTTTATATATTATATATTTTATATATATTATACATGTAGTTTTAATGGCTTCTAGCGTTTGAACTGCAACACAATATTTTAATTATTTATTATTTCAACTATATATCTTTTTCAAATATTTTATGTATAAAAATAAATATAAACTTATCACAAATAGGTTTATTATATTTATATTATATATATATATTTTTTTCAGAAATTATTTTAAAAATGTATCCAAAAAATTGAAATAAATTTTTAAAATATTCTAATTTACTTTAACATTTTCTACAATTTTTTAACAAATAATTTCAAAACCATTTAAAATTAAATTTTGAACAAAAATCAAAATTCTATAAAAATAACTTTAGTAAATAATGAATTACTATTTTTATAGCTCTGTCATTGCAATAAATGTACAAAACTGAAAACTTAGTATGAGTGCGCCATAAAAAAGCTCTTGTGTAATCTGTTTTTGGAGCTCAATACCGCCAAATACCATAAATCACGGCACAAAGCAAATTTGTTGTAAACTCTGTGATTTTTTAGAGCACCAAATTTGGTTACTAACTCAGAGGGCAGCGTCCATTTGCTGCGATAACAAAGAAACATAACTGCGCGACAAAATAGGTAAAGAGACGTGGACGATAATTTGGAGAACGGTCGACAGATACAGAGGCAAAGCTTATCTGCTGCAGAGATACCTGAAGAGCTGCAGACGGCACCCAGAGCCCCAGCCCAGCCCAAGCAGCACATTAGCATGTTAGAGAGCATCAGAGAAAAATTTCATGGAAATTTATGACGCCCAAAAGAACAAATCTACAAAGGTGTCACGTGCGTGCTGCCAGCCCACAACAAACACTAGAAAAGTTGTCAAAAATTTTGTATAGTTGACGATGCATAGAGATTGAACAAAAGTAGTGCGTCGTTCGTAGTTTAAACAGATAAAGAAGCTAAAGAGAAGCTAATCACGTCAGTTGCACGCCCCAACCAGACTGCGAGAATGCGGTCAACAAACTTGTTCCCAGTTGCAGTTGCAGTTGCAGTTGCAGTTAGACACTGACTGCGTAGAGGGTGTGGGCGTAGGCGATTTTGACTGTGGGTAGGTGAAAATAATTTAATCACACTTTGAATGCTGAAACAAGTTGCTTTATAATATCGATATCTACTATATATATATATATACATATATATATAAATATACATATATATTATATGGTTCTATTCGATGTTAATGGGCTCGCTTGCTCTTGAATCCCTTTTTGCCCGATTTATGTGGTTGTTCCTTTGCTTTCTGTTGCCTCTTTTTCCTGCAGTAGCACAAGTACGAGGCTATGGCAAACAAGGCATAGAGTATGGCAGCTATATAGCAGCGTATTGCCAGATCTCCGAATAAGCGATCAGCGTCAGTTCGGAACTCTTTCAGACTCGTATAGTGCTCCTTCAATGGCAGAGTGTCAATCAGAGATAGTGAGTTGAGCGAATAGGACATTCCCATCAGGACCAACTGAATTGCGCCCCAGATGCTTATGAGCAGGCAGAATAGTGTGCACTTCTTACCGCAAATCATTTTAAGTGTTTCCTTTGCTCTTCACAAAATCTGTATAAATTTTTGTATAGATAGATCGTGTGACGGCTAAAGCAAAACCACATCTCGCCTCTCTCTCTCTCTCTCTCTCATTAGCTCAGACAGGTGCAAAAGCCACATGAAATGAAAAGTTTCCGCCACATGAACCAATTGCTTGATAGCCCCAGCTCCAGCTCAAGCTCTTGCTCTTGCTTTTGCCTCTAACCTTGTGCGATTTTAATGACATTAGATCTTGCCGGCCAGATTGTGAAGGTTAGACCCAGCCCCAAACACATAGATATATAACATGTAGAGCTTTGACTCTTTACATCGACTCGAGCTAACACTCGCTTTCAGTTGCTTTTGCGGTTGCTGTTGCTGTTGCTGTTGCTGTTGCGGTTGCGTTTCGTGTCGGGTTGTTCAACTCGTGCACACATTTTGCATACATTTTGTTTCGGTCTCGGATTCTATGAGCCACAACAGTTGCTTGACAGCTGCTGTTAGTGACAGCTCAACTATTTTAAAGAGTTCACAAATTGAAAAAAAATTACTTTCCTTAAAATTGGTTTCATTTACCCTATACAGATTTTGGGTACAAGTATAAGGTGTATATATAGGTATATGCTGCTTAGATTACTTTATCAAATTCAATAGATTTTATTAAACTTGTAAGAACTCTGGAAATAGTTCCAAAAGCTAATATGAATAAGGCTCGTCTATTATATTTGATCAAATTTAGTAACTTATTTTATATATATTATATTTTCCCTAAGACATTAACGTACTCAAACAGAATTGCCTTAATAAATATCATTTATCAAGATTCCTTTTTGAGGAACTACAACGCACGCGCTGTCGTTTATATTTTAGGATTTATCATTTAATTCTTTCGTTTCTGCTATCTGAAAGTACTATTTCCGCCCTCCAAATGTCGTTTTAAATTTTTTTAAAAAATTACTCATTTGTTTATAAATTTTACTGACAAACTGCCATTAATATTTTATCCTATCTGTCTCTCTCTCTCTCAAGCAATTGTGCTGGTCTTTCACAAAAATTGTATAAAAATTTCATAAAGTATCTTGGAGGATATGAGTAATATAACAATACTTTAATAAATGCGCCACTATACAATATTTTGTCTCTATTTTAGATTAGCAAATATCAAAAACTTAGAACTAATTGAATTCAATTTCATATTCCACACAGCAAAACACTGCAGAAGAATTCAGTTTAATGCTTCGCTAGTAAATTCTGCTTAGACTTTGTGGTGAAAATTATAAAATTCTGAGAAATCCATTTTCAAAAATTGACAAAATAAAGAATAAATTATTAATTTCTCTTTAAAAATGTTTATGTTTTTTAAAAATATTTTGAAAAAAATTTTAAATATTTTTCAAATTCCATTAATCAAATTGAAATATTTTAATAATATATACCGAAAATATCATGTAATAAGTCAGTTACAGTCACTTCGCATCATTTTATGGGAAAACTCGCTCTATGTCCATAGTTAAGTATTGAAGTATAGCTTGAACTATTTTTAGCTCACATGTAATCTACTTAAGTTATTTATAGCACGCATTGCCACAGCACTTCGCCCTGAGAGCTCTGCATATTTATACCAACGTTTTCTTTATGGCGAACTATACAATAAAAGTAAAAGAAAAGTAAAGAAAACAACAGCAAAACTTACCGATTTTCCATATAACGCATTAAATGGTACTTCGTTTCGAAAAAATCTCCTAAAACGAGTAGCAAATGCGAAAAAGTCGCTATAAAAATGTTTGCCAAGTGCCTTAAAAATCCGTTACACGCGTTAAGCTTGCGAAAATTCGTGAGACGGTTTTATGTTTGTATTTCTTTATTATTTTTATTTTCTTCCATTTGTTGTTACTGTTGTTGTTGTGCTTCTTGTTTACACCACGTTTTTGCAGTCGTTAGTTTTATGGGTGCACAAAGCCTTAAACTGTTTTCTTCTTTCTTTTTTTCTTCCTTCTATGTCTTTCTTTCTTGCTGCAAAGTGCAAAAGGCTTTCAATTAGGAATCGCCATTAATTGAATTCTCTTAAGTTCTAGGATACGCGCTCTTAAGTTAACAGCAATGCAAAGCTCCGAGAAAAAGCTTTTATGATTCCGTTTTTTATAGACTTCTATGAGCATTAAACGATTGTTGCAACATTTATTAATTGTGAATAAAATATTTATTAATATTCTTTTTTTAATTTAACAATTTGAAACTTGATCATAATTTTATCAATATAAAAAAAAATTGTAGCTCAGCCATCAAAAATTGACCCAACGAAAACCTTGACATTAGCTTGTTTGATTTCGAACAGCTCATTTTACATTTTTTACATGTCTCGTAATCGCCTATCAATCAAGCTACAGTGGCAACTCTAATGAAGGACAGCCGCATTAAGGTATTTAATTGCATAAGCTGCGTTAGTTATAATTATGCTTTGCATGGGTCAAAAACACTTTGCTCTAATTTAAGGAATTTCATAATCGAACTATATAATATAATTTGGATATATATATATGTATATGTATATGTCTGCTTTGAAAGCGGCTTGGCTCCGGCTATCATTTGGCGAAGAGAGAAATTCCGCAACAGTCAACAAATTATCAAAACAAATAATTCTTATGGAGCGCTGCGCGCAGCATTTTCTTTTTCAACTGAATTTATGCATATAAAGTTATTTTTATTTATTTATTTTCTTCACATTATTATTATTCTTGTAATTTGTGATAAGATGGCATAGCAAATATGCATTTGATGTGCCTGTTGCTGCTGTTGTTGTTGTTGTCATTTGTTTTGCATTCTGTAAGTAAAACACTTGTTGAAACGCACACACATACACATAGACAACGACACACACACACGCACGCATATGCCGTAGCGCGCTTTGAATCAGAGCTTGGCGTATATACCGTATAAAGCAGGCTGGCTACACAAGAGCCAAAACAAACACGAAATTGAACCAGTACCGCAAAAGAGACAGCGTGAGTGAGAGAGACCGTAACGAAGCGCGACACAACCAACTTGCTCCACGTTCGCTGCTGGAATGAAACTAGTGAGCGCAGCCAAGCATTGGAGAGACGCCGCGTCGATTGTGTTTAGCTGTTGGCGCTTGCTTGCATGTTAGCGAGGTATTTGGAGTTCTGGAGTACAGCATAAGCGATTTGCAAGATATTATAGATGTAATAATAAAAATTAGTAACAATTTTTTTCAAATGCAACTAATTGTTTAGCATTTAAATGATTTCAATTTTAACTTATTTGAATACTATTTATTGAGATTGTCTTAAAATGGAATTTTCGCATATATAAATTGGGCCAATTTTATCTCAATTAACAAATATAAAAATTTATATTATAAATAAAACACATAAATAAAATTGTTTCATTTAACCAACTGTTGATTGAAATGACAGTTTGATAAATTAACAGTCTGCTGTTAACTTAACATTATGCGGTATGATTTAACTCTCAGAGAGAGTAACAGACTTCTGCTGTACAAGTATGAGCTGTCGGACAGAAAGCTAACTGCTGTGACGGACTACATTAAAAAATGTTATTAAAGTGCGCGGCTTAAAAGCAGTTGATGCAATGTGAAATATATTACTTAACTAAAATACAACAATTTTTATTTAAATATTAATAATTCATAATGAATAAAATTTGATTTGTTGAAATTAAGATTTAAATTAAAATATGTTAAATTTATTTATTATTAGTTGAAAGTTTCATTTAATAAAATAAATTTGTAAAATTATACTTTAATTAATAATTTACAAAAAAAAACTATTTTATATAGTCATAAATAATTTGATATAAGGCAGCTGCAGAGTCAAAAAGAAGTGAATGGAACTTTTAAAGCTGGCAAAATATATATTTAATATTTTATAATACCTGTAAATGTTTTCAAAAATATTTTTAATGATAAATTAAATGAAATGATGACATATTGAAATATAGCTTAATTATTATTGTTATTGTTATTTGTTCCTTTTTTGAACTTCCATGTCAAAAGATTTATTCAAGTCTAAGAGTCTATTTACAAGACCCTAAATAGAGACACAGCTTTTGTGTCTAACAAACAAATAAATATTCTTAAATTTGTAGATATTGAAAATGTTTTTGTATTTTTTGTTGCCGTTTGTCCATATAATATTTGTGAGTGGAAAAGATTTCCTGTTGGCAGCAATTAAAGCTCAGCTTTTATGGCAATTTAATCGGTAGCGCTTAGAGCTATTTTGCGATCATTAAAAGCAGATCTCTGGCTGCTAATTTTGGCCAACAGCACAAGCATAAGCACAAGCAACTCAGCTAATGCCATAAAAAACAAGTGTGATCGAAGCTACGCCCATGGCCAGTTAGCATGAATTACTTTTTGATTACTGGCCATATGCATATGGACAGATAGAACGATCGATAGATCGATATGAAGTTAGCTGTGATCGCCTTAAAAGGCCAACGCCAGATACTTTCGCAGCTGTTGGCGGATTTCCGCTCCCAAGCTACTAGAATTTCCAGCCACCCAAATGACAAAAATGTGCCCATGATTAGAGAGCCTCGAAGTGGTCTTAAAGCCAAAGTTTGTCATTTGATACTGCAGCAGGAGGCGTGGAGAGCAGCAGCGAGAGAGGCCTAAGCACTCGAGCGATTAGCATGTTAAACAGCGGCTGCTTAAAGACTATAATTAAGCGACATAAACTTGGGTATTAGGCGCTAAATACACACACACGCACACAGTCCAAAAAGCTCCACACAGAGAGACAGTGTGGAGGGGAAACTGAGTAAAACGGGGGGCCTCTCATGATTTGCATAACTGTTTGGCTGGGGCACGCACTCGACGTCTCGATCATCTGGGTGTGAGTCTGGCCCATGGGCCTGGCTTGCATTCGAAACAGACGGCTGACGGCAGACGGCATGGCAAACGAAAAACGGAGGCAAACAACAACAAGCACACACACACACTAACACATTGATATGCACCTGTCCACATATGCGACACGTTGGGCTTTCATTTGCTGCCTAAGAAAGAGTAAACAGTCCCCAGTCGCATATTCTATTAATACACTCGACTTTTCGGGGCATTCTACGTATTACAATGCAGCTTGAGCTGACTGGCGTAGCCAAGGTGTGATCAGGTGTGACTTTTTGTTGTCCTAACTTAATTAATATTTCTAACTAATAACATTTCTAGCTCTTTAACCTTGCATATTTATTAATGAAAGTTTATTTTAATTATTATAATTAATTTAATTTATTTATTTAATTCTTTTAGCTTGGCAAAGAATTTTGTTTAATAATTTTTTTTTTTTATTTTGGATTACTCTAAAATTAGTAACAATATATACCTATCTTTATTATATGTTATATTATTATTTATTTATAAATATTAATTTTCACTGCATTTTCAGTGTATTCGTGCAGTCAGTGAGCAGATCTAAATTTGCTTTTCCTTTCTTATTGTTGTTCTTTATTTATATTATTTTTTTTTTCGTAACACAAAAGAATTTCCATCAATAATGTCAATAGTACTGCAACAACAACTAGTACTTACAACAACAACAACAACAACAGCAACAAGACGACACTCCTTTTGAGCCGAGGCTTTTGGCTGAAGGCGGTTTTTATGCGCGCTCAGCTTAGCAGAACGGGTATATAGGTTTTGTGGCAAGCCAAAGTTATGTTTTATAAATAAGATAGAGAGTTTTGGGTTATCAATTTGCAATATATATAATGTATATGATGCATATATGAAGCATAGTACTGGCACTTAAAGAAGATAAAGTTTCTGGCTTGCCGTATATATAAATATATATGTATTTATAGATATATATATATTTATATATATAAAATATTTGACAAGTGATCTACGCTTAAGTTGCTCTATGGATGCATCTCTTGGTGCCTGGCAAATCAGAACAAAAAACTCCAACTTCCACAGCTTTTGAGCTCAGGCTCAGCAGCTGCTCTACAGCTAGACCACGCCCATTAAGCCATAGCAAATATATTTATGTATGTAAATATTTCTATAAATCATACAATTTAGAGCAGTTTGAGCGAGTATTGTGCAGTCGGCTGCGCCGGCGAGTGCAACGTTCTTGGCTGTTGTTGCGTTAGGGCTGACATCGACGCGTCGATGATGGGGCCAACGCCACGACGAATTATGACCACAAAAGCTGCTTGGGGTTTTAAGTTATTAGGTAACCTAACACACAATGTTATTACAGCAAGTACACAATCATATATACATATATATATATATGCATATATATATATACATTCTTATACATCTTTCAATTCAGTCCGATTTAGTTACACATAAAAATCAATAGTCCAATCAATCGACCAGCTCAGCAGCCGCCCTCGCGTCTGTTGAGCTCGTCTAAAAATGTATTTTAAGGTCAGTGCACACTCACCTGCGCGAATCTCTTCAGGTGCACCCCATTCAAAATATTCACAGCCAACTGAAACTTGACTGCGGCTCGATGCTGGGTGGTTGGCCAAAGCCTTTGATCTAAATTTATATTTCGCCACTTGCTCTGCCACAAAATAAGGTTAAACGAGGCTGAAGACAAGTTCGAATTCCATATTATATAGAAAACAACTTTTGTATATATATTTATATATATCCACATATATATGTAAATTTGGTTTGAGTCGGGCTCAGAGCAAAGCAGTGAAATATGAAACATTATTTCTGTTTCTGTTTGGTCTGTTAGCCAAATTTGAGTAGGGCATAGGCGTTATAGGCGTAGTTATACGCTAGCTACTGATAAAAGTCTTGGGTTTACTTGGCTAGGCTATCTAGGGGCGTGGCAGCATTATTATTTACAGTCGCTCAGCTCGAATGTCCAAGCTTTGACCGCTGATTTGACTAATTAAAGCACTCCACAGATTCATGTTTCATTAAGGATAGTATTTATATGCCTTTTTAGGGCGTGGGCAAAAATATAAATAAATAAAAAAATCAATAAATTATGTAGTTAAATATTAAAAATTCCATATATAATATAAATAAATTTAAAATAATTTAATAAGATTTTAAGAGGCACGCACTGGCAGACAGATGGACGAAAGGATGGACGGACAGACTGACAGACAGACTGGCAGACACACTGACAGCGCTATCGCCTCGGCTTGTTATCTTGCTCGAGAATACATATTATTTATGTTGTCTGCCACGCCTCCTTCTGCCTGTTACATACACTGTAACAAAACACACTGAAATTGTGAAATAAAAAGTAATAAAGCAACTTTATTCATTTATTGAGATATATATTAATATAAAAAACATTTGTGTATCCCTCGACTTTTACATTCGTGTCTAAAAGTATGCTCACAGCTGGCTAATGCTCAAAAACCTTGCATACTTCTAAGCTTTTTATTATTTCTGGCGTGCTACCTAAACTATATATAAATATATATAAAAAGAAATATAGATATAAAAAAATAAAACAGATATATTCACATATTCACTCTATTAAATTTTTTAAAATATTAAAAATAAATAATAAAAAATTTTAAAAATAATTTTGTTGCCCTAAGCAATAGCCATCCCAGCATTGAAATTAGAAATAAATTTGAAGTCTGCAACTCGACCATTGCTCACTGAAAGGATGACAGCCTGCCCAGATATCCAGATATGCTCGTATAAAGCATAGATTTATAATATGCAACACTTCGGACAAGTCTTTTCGATAACCATAAACTGATTCTTGAACTGGCCAGTTGGCAGTGGTGGCCCACTTGAGCCTGGTAATGTGTGCGCCGCATAAAGTATTCAACAGGTAGACTGGACCATCAACTCGTGATGGAAACTATCACTGGGGCCAGTCACGGATTGCCAAATGCCAAATTGTCGATGTCTTTGGCAACACTTTTGACTTTGTCTTGGCCAGCTGCAGTTAACCAATTAACAGTTTGGCTGCACCAGCAGCAGCTCCATTTCATTGATTCATTCATTAATTCCCGCCTCATAAAAGCTACACGAGTCTCGTTTTCCTTTGCATTCATAGACGAAGATATAATTGTGGATAAATTTTAAAATATGACATGTCTTTTATACCCTGTAGAGGCAGCATGTGCAAGAGATGGGTATGAAGACGTTTAGCCAGCGTATGTAACATAGAGCGAGAGAGAGCAAGAGAAAGAGAAATATGTTGACGAAGAAGAATAATAAAACGGACAAGAAAAAGAGTCTATCAATATTTATCGAGGGGAATACCCTGCTGCTTGCCCAAAAATATAGTAAATATATATTTTTATTTATTCATTGAGCACATTTAAATCGAAATTTGGGTGTTATATTTTTCGTAGGGAATATACAGCTTTAGAATATATTAAATTGTGATGCACGACTAGCAGATACCCTTCAGACAAGTTGCGTTATCAAATTTACGACCAACTCTATACAAAAAACTGTTGAAGTTTCTTCAAAAATATTAAAAAAAAATGTATTTTTAATTTTTAAAAATTATTTTCAAGATTTTTAAAAATTATTTTCAAGATTTTTAAAAATTATTTTACAAAATTTTTAAAACTATTTTCAAGATTTTAAAAAATTATTTTCAACATTTTTAAAAATTATTTTCAGCACTTTTAATTAATTAAAACTTTTTATTGATTATAATTTATTAAAATGTCAAACAAAGACTTTATATATTAACAGAAAATCTGCCTAAACAAGTAAAGACCCCCCTGTTGACTCAATTTCCAGAGTATTTTTAAGGCTTAGCATCAACTACTGTGAATGCTATACGCAATTCACAATGACCGTTTGTGTTCAATCAACTAAACTGAATTGTTTTTGTTTTTGATTTTGGTCAGCGTCGTCGCTTCATTTTGCAGCTTTGCAATTCAAATTCAAGCACTGCGTTAATTAATTGAAAATCAACAGAGTCCGAAAAATACGCATACGCAGCGTGAAACGAGCGCCCGCGATGCCGCCGCAGATGCATGCATGGCATTCGCTGCAAAACCGAATGGACAAAAAAAGAGAATTCTTTGCATTGAGCAATGGCCAACTGCACCTTGGATTTGGCTGTTTGCTGTTCGTATTGCAATGGTTAATTAGGCGCTGCGACGTCCGAATCGAAGTCGTCTGTGCCTCAGTCTAAAGCATTTTGCACTAATTTGGAGCTCGATCGCGGGCGCGCGCGCGCTCGCTCTCCGCCCGATTGCCAAATACATCGCATTTTGCTGCCACTAAATAAAGCAAAGTTGGGAGGCGACTGGCTGCCAATTTGGCATCTGATTTTATAACCCTTCTCCAACCAGTTGATCGAATCGATCGTTTGATCGGCTGAGCATAAATTAAAATTGAAAACTTTATGCTGCCGGAAAATAAGCGCGATTTTCGCGCGGCTATTGAAAGCAATTTTCACGCTGTCCAAAAAACTGGAGCAGGCATAAAATCTTTTATTTATAAACTGCTCACGCACACACACACGCACAATTGTTATATTGACTTTAATATTTGCTAATAGATTTCACATAAATCACATTCTTCTGGCATGATTTATGCACAAGCAGCCAGCACAGGTGTCTCAACTGTCTTATGGCCATAATGTTGACTCCTCTGCGGAGGCTTTAAACCGTCTCGGCTGCACCAACTAAATGCTGCGTCATCAACGCCGCTCGACCCTTAACACCTTGCATCAGACATCGGGTTTGATTTGGCCACAAAGTCACACGAGTCCAATGCCTCCAAAGCAAGAGGACAAAGCTAAATTTACTGGCGCTATAATTATTAAAAATTTGTTTATAACTATAAGCCCATATCGTAGATTTCTCTCAGACTCTGCAGTTCTAGGAGTCCTTATCAGAGAGTCAGCGCTTTGAATTGATTTAGAGAGTTTCAATCATCAAGCTGCTAATAGAAAAATTGAGTTAATCGAAAAGACTAAAGAATAGATATGAGAGTCACGTAAACATAAGTTCTACGAGTCTTAAAAATATAATAAACAATAAATAAAAATATAATAGTTAAACCTTAGCTATTCTATGAAATCTTAAACATTATAGCTATAAAATATATCATAGAAAAAATCCATATTGCATCAACAACACAAGGGTTAAGTGCAATGGACACAAAATCCCACGAGCTGCGCCTGGCGACTCTGTAGACCACAAGTGTACGGCGTGGCTGGGCACTTTGTAAAATGCAATAATAATAACAACAATAATAACAACAGCAAGCACAGCAACAACAAATCACAATTTTTAGCATTTTTAGCAAACAGACAAACTCAAATATGGTCAAATGTGGCACTCAGCAGTATTTTGGACCGACAGCAGCGGCAAAAGTGAAGTTGAAATCGCAAAAAAAAAAAAGATTGTTTTAGAAATTTGTTGTAATTTTTTTTGCTAGCAATGATAATTATGCAATTGTTGGCCGTGTCAAATAGTCGAGCAGCTGCGAATAATTAGACAACATTCTCGCCGGGATTCCTCACATACAAACACAGAGGCTATGTGTGCCAAGCAATGTATGTTCTAAGCTAATTAAGTGGTTAGGCGCAAGGCTGCAAAAGCAACCAATTTGGTTACAAGCAAACAAAACAAAAAAGTAACTGAAACATGTAGAATTCTTCAATGAATGCTGCTTTCTAATTGGAAATCCCGAGCGAGCGCCGTTGACCCGGCTGCCAAATAAAAACTCCCAGCCTGCCTGCCCGCCCGACGACAAGTGGTCTGCCTTGCCAGCCAATCCAAAGCTGTTGCGTCATCAGCAACAACAACAAGAATCGCATTCGGACGTTGTCGCTGTCGCTGTCGTTGTCTACTTCAAAGATACTTCACAAATTGGTGCTGCTCTGGCCCGCTTTGTTGACGCTGAGCGACGAGATCGAAATCGAAATCGAAATCGCCTGGCCTAGGCCCGGCCTGGGTATCTAGCTAGTCATCTGTCCACCGTCCGCCGTCCGCTGTCCGCGCTGACTGCGTGCGGCGCGTTGCAGTATAAAAGTAACTGAGTGCACGCATTGAATTTACAGTTGCAGTTCTCAGTTAAAAGCTTAAACATGAAACTTTTGGTAAGTTAGAGATATATGCACATGTGTAGGAAAATCCTTACTGATTATATCGTGCCTCTGACAGATTCTATCCACTTTGTTGGCCGTCGCAAGCGCAGCACCCGGCCTGCTGGACTATGGATTGGGACACACCGCACCCGCCATCAGTTATGGTCATGCTGAGCCAGCGATTACTTATGCTCATGCAGCGCCTGCCGTCACCTATGCTGCAGCTGCTCCAGTCATCAAGTCATATGCGCCCGCTATTAGCTATGCAGCTCCAACGGTTGTGAAGTCGTATGCTCCAGCTATCAGCTATGCTGCACCTGCTCCGGTCATCAAGTCGTATGCACCAGCCATCAGCTATGCTGCCCCCACGTTGGTCAAGTCATATGCTGCGCCAGTCGCTGTCGCAGCGCCAGTTGTCAAAGCCGTTGCTGCTCCGGCCACCAGTTACTCTCATTTCAGTTCGGTAAGATTATTTAAACAGTGAACCAATTCATCTGGAACATTTCTAGTTCAATTGTCTATCGATAGTTATTCATCTTGCTTACATATTAGCCGATACTTAATCAATTTTGAATCATATAAAACCGATTTTTCATCGACAGGTTGTTTCCCACGCTACGCCCATCATCAAGTCCTACGCAGCCGCCCCCATTGTTAAGTCATATGCCGCACCAGCTATTAGCTACGCCGCCCCAACCGTAGTCAAGTCCTATGCTGCCCCAGCAATCAGTTATCAGCCAACACTGCTTAAATCATATGCTGCAGCGCCAGCTCTGTCATTGGGTGGATATGATGATCATTACGGTTATCACTAAGCAGCCACTGCCGACTCCAGCGCGTGTCTTGAGCACAGATGGCCACGATGAGGCGTACAAGTCAGAGGAGGAAGTAACGAAAGAGATTGAATGAGATAGATTCAGAAAGGAGTTGACAGCCGCACGTTTTCCAAAACTAATATTTTTCAACACACTCCCATATTTCGTATATTCTGTATTTATTTAAGGCCCCAATCATTGCAAATAAAGAAAAATTATATTTTTCAAATGCTGCTCTATTGTTGAATTATACAATTTGGCAACAGATTGTGAATACTGTGACGTCACACGTGTCCTTTTTGCAAACGATTGACATTATATACAGTGCAAGTGATTATTAGTACAATCGATAATTATAGTAAGTAGTATTGTAATAGGTATCGATATCGGTGATAGCTAAGCTCTAATCTTATGAGTTGAGAAGAAAATACGATGCATTAAGCTATATTATTGATTGCTTTTCTGAATTTATTAAATATTCAATATTTACATCAAGCGGACGATAAATCCGTCATATTTAGTACAATGAAACATATGTTGACACCAATAAAACTGCCATTGTTTAAAATCTTAGCAAGTTGGCGCCAGGGTCGAGCCTGAATATCGCAATATTCTGTTGACTAAAAAAAGATAAGCGATTTTAAAAAGCCTTATACACAAAATTTTTTCAACTTACATCGAAAATTCGTAGGCCTAAAAACAAACGCAATGGGTTCCAATTGATCAGGGACAAAAGCCAGGCCGGCGCCTTGGCACGAGGTGGATAACATTCCAGCCACATGATGGCGATATGCAGCAAATAACAATAAACGGAAGCGCGCATAATGTGCTGATAGGCTGACACTGAAAACGAACAATTCAATACAATCAACTCTGGATAGAAATTATTATTTACTTACTCAAAGGCGGCACATAGTGGGGTGAGGCATGGCGCGTGAGGTACATCAGACCACACGCCGTTAGCATCAGAACAATAAGTATGAGAGCGCCGCGTCGATAGCCACGTAAGAGAAATGAGAGACCCAGAAAGACTTCACATGCTGCCAAAAGAAAATTAGTTAAATTCGACTTTGAAATCTCTGAAAACTCACCAAACAATGGCATGAAAAAGACCAATCTGTAGAAGGAGCCATTCCGATGCAATGTAAATCCTATGGACACATCCCCAGACATTGTCTGCAGTATACCCCTGGGTGTGTAACGCATGGTAGTTGCATTCTCTATGTGCAACACGGCTATGTTTACAAATGTCCAGCCAGACGGTGTGTTTACATGTTCATTGACAGCTAACGGCCTTCTTTCATTATCATGGGTTAACGCAATCTTTGCGTAGTTCTGATCGACGCCCATTTGAATGTCACAAATGATACGCTCATTGGGCCAATTTCGAGCCGTGTCCACACACCATGTCGTCGCTTCCCAATTGTTAGCCATTAGGGTGACATTACCATTGCTATAAACTCGCAATTCATAATCTTTCGTTACGCCACCCAACGATTCCAATGCGCCACTAAAAGAAAAATAACCGCAAAAGTTTGTAAGAGTGTAAGAAATCGCATACAACACAAGTTCTACATATTCTACATTCTTATTGGTAATAAAAGACCAACTTCTGTCATCTGATAGTAGCTGTTAAAATCCTGGCTAATCGATCATCGGATAGTAAAACGTACATATCGTTTATCCGATTAGCGAGTAGCTAGTAAAACACTTGATTATTGTATCGGCCATTCGATAGTATCTGATGCATGCATTTATCGGACATCCGATAGCTCTTGTTATTCACGTATATACGATGAAAGATGATAATGGAATAGCTATTAAATAGATTTAACTTGAATTGCTATCACGAAAAGCTAATCTTGGTTATTTTATAATAATAATCGGATAAACTCAAAAAATATTGTAAAAATTGTACAAGCAAGGTTTTCACATACTTTAGTATCACCAATTCAGGTATCCATATTTGCAGATTCGGGTGCTCAAACGATGTGAGCCGTCCAAATCTGTCCGGTTGCCAGCGTAGTCGAGGATCTTGCCAGTGCATCATCAATTGCATACGCGCATGAAACTGGGCATTAGATGGATCGTAGGCCAGCGATTGCATTTGAAAATTGAACTGAACCTCGGTCAGATTTTCAGGCAAGCTGCTGTTCTCAGCCTGGAAAATTAAAGCGCCCAGCAAACGATCTTCAACAGATTCCTCATGCTGTTCCCGCTCCATTTCATTTGCTATACAAGTGAAGAAAATTGAAAATTAACAATTCCTCGAGCTTAATTCACTTACTAAATCCATCGAAGGCGCAATCATAAAACCAACGTGCGGCATTCGTTCCAAATGTACTGAAGCTGATGTAGTTGATACTGAGCGGTGAGGGATCAATATAATGCAGCAGTGGCTCCTTCTTGTGGCCGGGAATATAAACATACAAGTCGCCGTCTAAATATTAATTAATTTTTAGCCGACTTTATTTCTTTCCATGTCATTTCAGATTTATCTCACCTTTGGTTTGAATAATTTCAATTGGAGTTGGCTCGTAGACCGAGAGTAACTCTAAATCTTGATTTGTCGAGACTCGCTTCATGCCCATGCTTGTGCGAATGGTCGAAAATGTATCCCCACCAGCTCCGATTACTGCAATTATACATGTAAATATATATATCCATACATATATAATATAATCTATAAGAAATATTGCGACTTACCGATTTCATATACTCGATCGTCGGGGCGTGGATGATTTGTTACCGAAAGTAATATATGTGCATCCATGGTCGTAACCACATAAAATTTCAGATGTAGGCGCTCATTGGGCAGGACTTTATTATTATCCAAAGTGTGTAACATAAAGAAATCTTTATATGCATATCCAGCGAATTTATCAATTTCAATGCTGTCGCATGTATCTAGCTGTGCAAAACTTATATTATAACGGCCTTTCGCAACGGCCGGATGCAACGCCAGTGTAAGATATAAGAAAACACTGATAAGCCATTTTATGTATAACATCATGTATTCCCGAAACGGACAGCATTCGTTACAGATCCAAAGACAACTGAAACTTACGCGCCTCAGTCATCGCGATCACCAACGTAACTCACTAAATTATCGAGTCTGAACAACTCAGCCACGGCTGTTAATGTTAATTTCATAGCTATTAGCTTTTAAGCAACAGCAGAGGTTTGGTTGGTAGTTGGCGGGATATTAAATACAAATTAAGTAACAGTGCCAAATGAGCACTTGCTCTTGCTGCAAGTATTTATAAAATTCACATATGCCTCAACCGTATAGATCTACCGGATTTAAAACTTGATTGTAATGTTTTGCCATTGTAACAAGAAAAAATATTAGCGGGGTCTTTCCTTAGCAAACTTAAACCTATTAAATAAAAACGAATATTTTACCCATACGAACTAGTTACTTGAACAGAACTTAGTAAAATATTCATTTAGACATATCGATATTGATTGGCCATTCCTAATATATCGATACGATAGACTGTCTGTCGCATTGAGTTACATTTTCATTTAAATTTGATTTGCATTAATTCTGCACTTAGAAGTTGCAAAGGTGAACCGCTGTAGTTGCCCCATTGGCCATGCCGGACGACACACAAGATGCCAAAGCCCAGAAGCTGGCAGCAGCGCGTAAAAAGGTAAAATGAAAAAACTTCATGACGTGGACACCAACACATTGCCTTGTATTGATTTTGATTATGGTTTTCTAGCTGAAAGAGTACCAGCAGCGCAACAACAACAACATTGAGGAAAACATTGGTACCAACACAAATTCGTCAGCAGTAAGCATTGCCAGTAATTTATCTGAACGCTCCGACTGCGAATTAAGCTCAAGTAATGGCGTCAGCAGCGGTGCGCCGCAGTCGCAGCAAACGCTGGATCAGACAATCGCAGCGCCCTCGGCAGCAGCATATTTTTCCCAGCAGGCAATGCCAACGATAGAGCCAGAACCAGAAACGAAATCCATTTGGCCTCTCAATGGACAAGACGATACTAATTTGCAAGCCATTCAGGTGTTAATTGCAGAAAAGGCTCAATTGAATACAGAGTTAACGAAGAGCCGGCATTTGTGCCGTGAGCGGGAATTGGAGCTTGAGGAGCTACGCACAGAGCATGGTCAGACCATGGAGCGACTAGAGCAAATACAGCAACATTGTCAGGAACAACAACGTAGCACTGGACAGCAACGCAATCAAAACGCCGAACTACAACACAAATTAGCAGTGGCAAGTGCTCAGATTGAAGACCAGCAAGCGCATCTCAGTGAGCTTGAGGCTCAGGTGCAACAGCTCAAAACGCAGCAGGAAGAGCTGCAACAGCAACACGCCGAAAAATGCAATGAACTTGATATGGCTCAATTGCGCATTCGTCAGCTATCGGACGAGTCGAACGTGAATGCGGACAACCGCGTAGAGACCCTCACCCAAACACAGTATATGTATGAGCAGCAAATCCGCGATCTACAGCAAATGGTGACGCAGCTCACGCAGGACAAGGAACAAGCAGCAATTCAGTATCAGAACTATGTAGCTAGCCTGAAGGAACGCAATGTCGAACTGACCGAGGAGAGTGCCGAGCTCAAAGAGCGTGAACGCCAGCTCGTCGAACATGTTAGCTGCCTCGAGCGTGATATACAAAAGAATTTGGCTCTGCAAGCTCAATACAAGGAAGCGGCCAAGAAGGAGGAGCAACCAGCGCCAGTACAAACAGAGGTGAGTGCTTCTCTAGAGTCTTCGAGTGGCATATAACTAAGATAAATTTCTTATAGACTGCATCAAGTGTAGAGCTGGCAGCGCTGAAGGAAAAAATTGGAGATTTAGAATTTGAACGACACGAGTTCCAGTTGAAGATCAAATCACAGGATGATCAATTGCAACTGAAAGAGAGCAAACTTGCCGAGTTGGAGCAGGAATTGGTTCGACTGCAAACAGAACAGCCGGATCAGGTGAAGCTATTGGCAACGATGGAATCCGATAAAGTGGCAGCATCGCGAGCGCTGAGCCAAAATATGGATATGAAACAGCAATTAGATGAGTTGCAGCAACGATTTGTGCAGCTGACCAATGATAAATTGGAGTTGGTCAATAAGCTGGACGCCGAGGAGTTTGCCAATCGTGAGATACGCCTCAACTATGCCAGTATGGAGCAAAAGCTACAAACAAACGAAGAGCGTTTTAAATTCAAGGACGAAGAAATGATACGACTCTCACACGAGAATGTTGAGCTGCAGCGCACGCAGCTGATGCTGCAACAGCAGTTGGATCGACTGCGGCACTATGAAGTGAGGGTGGACTGATTCATTGCAGCTATATGAATAACTATTTTCGCTTTTAATTACAGGCCAAGGTTTATCATAGTCACGACCTGAGCGAAATGTCCTCAGCTGAAACTGATACAGCAGAAGGCGCTGTGGAGGTGAATGAGCATGATGATCATGAGCACAAGCACAATGAGGAGCATCATCATCATCATCATGAGCATAAGCATGATGACGATCATCATCATCATCACGAGCATAAGCACAATAACGACCATCATCATCATCAAGAACATTCCCACGGCGATCATTTGTCAACTTGTGAAACACCTTTGCTGCCCACGGCCGAGGCTGTGGAAAAGCTGCAATCGCGCTTTACTACGCTCATCAGCAAAGTTGCCGATTTGACCGAGGAAAAGCAGAGTCTGGAGCATCTGGTGTTGCAGCTGCAAAGCGAGACAGAAACCATTGGCGAATACATTGCTCTCTATCAGACACAACGGCGCATGCTGAAGCAACGCGAATACGAGAAAGCCACGCAGATGCGTTTGCTCAAAGCAGAACGTGAGCAGTTGCGTGAAAAGATCGATGCCCTCAACAAGCTGGTGGGTAGCCTGGGCCTAGCCGTGGATCTTCCAACCGAAACGGCAGCCGACAAAATTGCAGCAAGCAGCGAGGAGCAGCAGCAACAATTGCCTTCAGGTGATAACGTAACAGAGAACGAAAATTCTCAACAGATTTTACATAAAATACAAGATATTATTACGGAAATCAAGGTTAACACCGAACAGTCACCCAACGCGTCACTAACCAGCACAGGCCAGCCTGGCCATGCCGTGGATCATCTCAACTGCTGCCTGGGCAAGTTTGAGGTTGTCTGAGCCCAACCAAATGAAACTGCAAATGTTAACATATTGTATTCAAAGTGCAATTAATTGTTAAGCGTAATCGCGTTTTCGCTTTGACCAGCCTCTGTATAGGCTATACACTTTTTTGTATATGTTTCAAGAATAACGTTTAATCAAAAAAACTTTGGCTTAACTAGAGCTCTAAACAAAAAAAGGGGAAAAAAATAAAATATATTTAAAATTTATGTGTACACAAATGTTTAATATATATGTATATGTATAATAATATTTATTATTTATTTATATGTTTTTATATATCGCTCAAATAACTTCAATAGGATAAGCATGAAGATTTATCCAAAACCTAACTGTCTATACTATATATGTAGCTTTAAGCCTATGCAGTCCGTTTGAACATGGCTAGTAATATATTCTGTACGAAAATAGGGCCGATTTTGTGCTGGAGTTGTTCATTTCAAACTCCTTTGAGTAGCCTAGGCATATTCGAGATTGATTCTAGAAAGTTGCTGTCTTCAACATGATATTCAGATTATTTTATATCTCTTAAATATTATGATTCGACATTTATTTGTGCCAAGCGCTTTTTGTCTACTTTAATTCGAATTTAATCTATATGATTCCATTTTTTATATGAACAGTATGAAAATTATAAATTTTACGCTTTTTCCTATTGTTATCAAATATTTGTAATGGTTTGATATATGAAAGAAAAACTTTTAATCTGAACTCACATGCCGCAGAGCAGTGAATGATAGATAGACGACTGTTAATTCTGAATCAATTTAACATATTCAAAGCTAAAGTAAGCTTACGTCCAAAGCAAATATATTAAACTGGATTCTAGGAAAAGTTTAAACACAAATAATATTAAATGCATGCAAAATGATTACGAGTTTCCGAGCAGCAATCAAACTTTTATTTAGTTTGCGCTTGGTTGCGCAGTTTGGTGCGTAAGCTAGCTTCCTTGAGCGTGGTAGGGCGACATTTACGTCTGGTACGACTATCCATGGAGCCTTCTATAGTAGTTTCATCTGTCCGGCTCATAGCAATGCTAGTAGTGGCAGAGCATCTTATCTGTTTTCCTCTTGCCTTTGTCGAGGAGCGTTTCCAACTTGCATTTAAAGTAGCTTCGTCTTGGCGCGGAGTACTGCAATCCCCTGGACGATTGACTATGCCGTTGAAGCTGCTAAAATTCAATTGACTACGGCGCGGCGTAAGTACGGGTTCCACATTTACGGACGGACACGGCAATGTCACCTGCATTGATAAACTTGTTTGAGCAGCAACTCTAACATGCTCTATGCTCGGCTCCTGATTGCCGATGTCACTCTCGTTCTTGCCAAGCATCGTCTTTTCCAAATTTGGATTATTGTGATCCAATGAAGTTTGCTTCACATTACATTTCTTTGTCTTATTTGAAGTCATTTCCGACGGACTCTGTTCTTTCGTGATCTTTACAGTGGGAATAAGCCTGGCCTCTCTGTTTTGGACATTTGTCATATCGCGCAAGGGCAACGCTGATATCTCCATGTCACTGCTAGAGGCTAGTGATTTCTGCAGTGTCTCATTCGAATCAACGGACGACGACAAAGTGCTTTCTTCAATTTCGCTTTCTTCAATAATAGAATACAAATAAGCAGCTGCAGGAGTTAGATTCGAAGGTGTAGGCGCTGGCTCAGGTGAGTCTTGAGCTTGTGGAGAGCTCACATTTGCCTCCAGCTCCACCAAATGTCGTGGCTCTGGTGTTTTCCTTACGATTGTCAACTTTTCACTCTAAAATATAAAGCTTATGTATTCATTTCTGATATATTTAAATATCTACTTACGCAGGGACTAATTGTAGTCGTGCTATTCTCGCTTTCCTCATCCTGTGAGCTGTTGCAGCTTAAGACGCTGCTCCGACTCCTTCTGATGGGAGATAAAGGCAATGTTTTTTGAAGTATTTCGCTCGAACGACGCAGCTCCGAGCAAGCTTGTTCATTATTATATGGGCTGGCCCTGATATTGTCTAATGCCTTCGATGATTGAGATGTACGGGAATCTTCGTCACTTTCAAAATTTATGTCCAAAGAATTAAGCAGTGTCCTGATCGCGCATTTCAGTTTCTGTTCATTGTATTGAGCATCAGCCAAGCGTATTTCGCGTTCTTCCAGCAGCTGCCTTTTAAGTACGACTTCGGTTTTCAGCATTTCAGAAATAGTTATACGCTGCTTTTGGACTTGATCCATCAATTCAGCATTTATTATTTTGTACTGCTCCATTTTAGACCCCTTTGATTTTACATATCACGACACAACTAAGTTAGTTTTGAGTTTGGCGTCGATGCTTGAAATTCTATCGATTTTACACAAAATTAAAATGTTATACTATCGATAATTAATTCGATACTTAAGTTCCATACTTGTTTTGGTATTTTCCTATTAAGAATATCACGTCAATATATCACATCAAATCGTATTTTAAATATTATTATTATTATAGTCATCGATAATATTATTGACATCGATGCCAAAACTCAAAGCACTTAAAGTTTACAAAATGGAAGAATACAAATTACTAAACGCTGAACTAATGGATTATGTGCAATCTCAGCGAATAACTATTGCTGAAATGCTAAAAACCGAAGTCGTACTCAAAAAGCAGCTGCAGGAAGAACGCGAAACACGCTTGGCTGATGCTCAATACAATGAACAGAAACTGAAATGCGCGATCAGGACACTGCTTCATTCCTTAGACATAAATTTAGATAGAAACGACGATTCCCTTTCATTCCAATCATCAAAAGCATCAGACAATGTCAGGACCAGCTTATATACCGGTAGCCAGGCTTCTTCGGGGCTGCGTCGTTCGAGTGAAATACTTCGAAGAACTTTGATGGTATCACCTATCAGAAGGAGTCGGACTAGCGTCTTAAGCTCTAACAACTCACAGGATGAGGAAAGCGAAAAAGCCACGGCTACAGCGAGTCCCTGCGTAAGTATATATCTAAATATTTGAGGAATGACTTCATAAGCTTTGTCTCTTAGAATGGAAAAGTGGCAATCGTAAGAAAAACACCAGAGCCACGACATTTGATTGAGCTGCAAGCAAACATGAGCTCCCCAGAGGTCCAAGAAATAGATTCACCTAAGCAGTTGTCAATTTCTGTCTGTCATATGTATTCCATAATTGAAGAAAGCGATAGTGAAGCATCAGACTCTAGCATGATGCTATCGCCGTCGCCACTGCCCGATCGGACCAAAGATAACCAAAGAACAGTTATGCTAATTCCAAGGGTGGAAATCACAAAAGATCGGGATCCATCGCCAATCGTGCAAAATGAGATAAAGAAATATAACTTACGGCAAACAAATATTACAAAAATGCTTCGAAATCATGAAACAAACGTCGCCAATCAGGAGCCAAGGTCACCAATGCAGTTGACATTGCCGTACGCATCCATAAATGCAGATGCACTTACACCGCGACGAGCCCTGGAGGACATGACTAATCGATCAGTAGACTACAGTACTCCGCATCGGGACAAAGAAACTTCAATTACGAAACGGAACTTTGCCTCTATAAAAGCTAAAGCAGTATCTTCAAAATTAAGCAATATAAGCCAGACTGAGGAATCTATTTTGGAAAACTCCATGGTTAATCGTCCCAGGCGTGCATGTCGGCCACGATCCCTCAAGGAACCTAACTGTCGTGATAAACTTCGAAGCCAAACGCAATCCAAGTAACGATAAGTTATTTACTCAAAATACCATATGTTCATGTTCCTATTTAAATTGAGCCTTTACACTCGAAACACTATAAGTTAAACTAGTTAATAGTAATTTATATAAAAATATCAGTTTGAAAGTGTATAGTCGATGTGGATAGATTTAGTTAAGCAAGAGTTCATATGTCCAGTTTGGGGGTTTTTGTCTTTGTCACTGCCACAATGAAAGTTTGCGTTGTACGTTAAAACTATATGAAACGTTAATTATTTATCATTTAATGTGTTACATTTTAAAAAACTAATAAATAAATATAGATTTTAAACACTAAATAGTAAATATGTTTATTTTTAAGAAGTACTTTCATGTTAACATGAGATAATTCCGTTAGTTTTAATATGCTGTTTAACATTATTTATTTAAGATTTCTGTTAAAGTTAAATAAATCGCCCATCACTACACCTTATCGACATATATCGTGCAACCGCCACATATATTAGAGCTACATGGTTGTATTTACTTTACAATCAATCTTGCCTTTTAACATTCGGCTGCAAAAACAAATGCAAAGCAACAACACCAATAAAGAGTAGAAGTGTGATGTTCAGCAATTGGCCAAAGATGAAAAATGCATAAAAAGCGTAAAATGCAGTCAATATAATGTCATCTAATGCAATGTGCGCTTAAATATAAACGCAGCGGGCAGAGAAAGCACAAATATCGCAGTCACAAATTTGCTCGTGTGTGTATGCGCGTGTGTGTGTGCGTGAGTGTGTGTATGTGTCTATTAGTCAAACTTAGTTTCATCGTTTTTGGCACATTTAGTTGAGAAATTTTAAATTTGATTTTCAGTCTTATTCAAATCGGGCATATTTTAAATTGATGTAGTAATTTTCGGACATGCCAAACATTAGCTAAATTTGCTGGCCGAGCACACCTGCGACAAAAACATTGGGCAATGTATGCGTTAGCAACGTTGTATCATTGCGGTGCAATTGTTTCATTTATAGCTTCTTTGTTTGCATTAATAGAAATTTAAGACCGAAAGTGACGCCAAATCCAAACGCCAAGTGTAAGTGAAGGCTTTCGCTTTGTGCTAGCAACAACGACAACATCAAAATCGAGAATAATCATTGCAATAACAACAACAAATCAGCTGTCAAACCGCTTCAAGGTGAGTTTGTTTGTAAATTAACCAGTTTTTTATATTATTTTTTATATAGGCTCAGACTTAAGGCAAATGGATTAAGAAAAAATAAAAACATCTTGTCAGTTCATATCGATAACATATGGCCTTATCTGAGCTCCTGTACGAAATATCGATAATTTGTTTTCGCCGTCACACAATTTCTTAAAGAAAGTATAATATGGAATAGGAATTCTTCATATTATATAAACCTTTCGAACAAATAAGAAATGTATTATGTACATATGTCCATAGAAAAACTGTAAATTGATTGTTGCTATTTCTGGGCAGTCTGTGCCTATGATATCTTATCTGCAAGTGGACGGCAATATGTGTGCCTAATATTTTTCATTCACATGCAAACATTTCAGCTAGGCATATCAGTTTAAGAGTTTTTTTTATTATTTTGGATAAGGCATATGTTACACATGCATACACCATGTTTACCCAATTGCAAGTAAATACATTTTCATTATTTAATTGATTCAAGCGGGTTTTTCATATAGTAAATCTTCTAAACTAGTATACGATTGAAAACATCTTATAACTTCGTTTACTAAATAGAGTTTTTCATAATGCATTAAGCTTTAATGGTCCAGTACGATCAGCCGGCAACAGTGCAATAAACTTTGATTTGCTTTGATTTTTATCACTTCGTCATTTGTCGTTTTGTTTTAATCACATTAGGGCAAAGCGTTGCACGCGTTGCATGACGAAAGCAGCCCCAACAACAACATTAACAACTAATACTTACACAACAACAAGAATGACAAAAACAGAAATGGCCCAGCACTGACCTACAAAAAGTGCAATGCGCCCCATCACTAGCAAATATGCCGTTGCGCAGGGGTTGGTTTTAAGTTGGGTTAGGCGCGAAAAACTTGCAGAAAAGTAAATACTCACACATACGCACATGTAACATACATAAGCATGCATGAAAGTACGTTAAGTATTATGGCAGAGAGCGTTGAACCGAATAAACAGCTAGAAACAACAATGAACACAACTCGCAAATCAAATGGATCCGTCTAACAACAATAACAATTAACAGGTTAACTATAATAAGGAAATATGTACGTGCATATGTATGTATATGTAAAATTCTTCTATTTGGTTAACTAACAATGAGAAAAAGTTTTTCAGTCTGTTTTTTGGTAAGCAATCTTCTAGAGTTTTATTTGTATTTTAAGTTTTATATATATAACTGCAGGCCTAGACGAGTTCAATGTCATTTAGTAGGGCGATTCATGGTGGGTGGTCTTTTGCGGGACACGCAACACTTGATGCAAGGACCGTAAACGTTTTCTATTGTTAGCTCACCAACAAACATTTACTGTAGCATTCACAAGCTCACACACACACTCTCATTCAGCATATTCTAGCACGTTGTGCGTGCAAGTGAGATAGCATGTCTGCAGCTATGACAATTGATAGTAATGTCTTATTTGCATGGCAACCTTGCCTGCGGCCATTCGTCAAGTGTTGTAAAATACGAAAATAAAAAATTCGTTAAGTTTTATTGGCACGTTCGTTCGCATCGCACGCCTAGGTTAGTTACACAGTAAATTATGCACTTCCTTGAGCGACCTGCTCTGAATCATTGCAAACTAAAACGCCTGCATCTTAGGTCTACAAAATTATTGCTGAGCAAGTGTTTATAGACGTTGGCATACCCTAGAATGATGCTGGCAATACTATAAATTTGTTTATTGCATTTTATATGTGAAACATGATTTTTATGGCTGAACATCATTATTGTTGAAGTCTCACACATTTCCGAGGGTATCAAATAAATAATAATAAAAAAACAAACATTTTTGTGCCTTTCGCTTCCTCAATTCGAATGGAGGTTGGAGGTATGACTCAGTGCAACGATGATTGTTTACATCATGGAGCTTGTTGTCATTGTTGTTATAGTTGTTGTTGTGATACTCGCTAAACCCAACCCCAGCCAGAGTTAACTCAACACCGTTGTTGTCATTGGACTCATGTCAACGCTGCAATATTTTTTTTTGCATTAGTTATTTAAGTAGTATTATTGTGCGGCTGGGTTGGAAACCGCACATTAATAAAAACCAACAATGAGCCCCACTTATTGCTGTTGTTGTTGTTCTTGTAAGCGAATAGGGTAGAGCATAATGTATTCTGATACGTGGTAGATAGCTTACAATTACTTAATGAGTACGGCTGAAAATGGGGGCAGACGAACTTTAAATGCTCTAATCATAATGGGCAAGTGAGATCAGGTGGTCTATAAGATGAGATATTTGGGATTGGTTTATGTCTATTGGATAAAATTATATAGATATAAAAAATATTACAAAAATTGAGTAAACTATTTGAGACTTTCAAGATTAACAATTTACTTTTTCTAACAAATTATATATAATGCTTATAATTATTATATAAAGTTGTTCAAAGTTGCAGAAATGCATATAAAATCATGATACATAGAGAGAGATCAACTATATGACTTATTTCAGATTTTCAAAAAGATAAAAAATAAATTTTTATATTTATAATTTATATTGAAATCAAGTTGAAAACTTGATTGGCTTTAATTTGATATAAAACCTATTTCCAGTTTATTAGTATTTATCTGTGAGTCAGGCAGTTCGAATGAACGATTGCTCATCAAGATTTTAATTTTTATTTCTATTATTGTACACTGCTCTCTTGAGGCTGTTTGTTAAATGATCTCAGAAATATTGTAAACAAATTTTTGTTGCTTTTGCGTACGTGTTGAGCATTCAAACGTCTCGATCTCTAGCTACATTGGGCATAAAAGTTCATGCATATATATGTATATATATATATATATATATATATATTATATATATATATATATATATATATATATATATATATATATATATGCACATACATTGCTCTGATGTCATAACAGTTTCATCTGTGTAAAATGCTTTGCACTGCAGTCACATATTATTATCATTCGCATAGCTTTTGGAATTTCAATTAAAGACGAACGACGTTCAGTTGTTACAGACATTGAAATGCTAATTTACTCCGACCAACGGTTGTTCGGCAGCTCGGCTGCTCTTTGCCACTAGAGACGCCAATGCCAATGACCAATGACTGATGGCTGATGGCCAAGTCTGTCCAACAAGAGCAAGTAAGCCACGAAATGAAAAAGAAATTGAAAACGAAAGTTTATTGTTGCGATTTTATGATTTTATTATTTAATCCATATTAAAATACGTAAGAGTGCTCTAGTTGGGTGTGGCCGACTGCCAAATGCTCTGACCGACATGACAAGCAGCTTGTAGCAGCTGCAAAGTAGAGTACTAATTAGAAATATCTGAAACGAGAAATGCTTAAAATAACAAAAGATTGATATCGATTTCAATAGAGTTATAGATTTACCTACGATTTTTTCCACATATTACTTTAATCAGCATTTGTATGAATAATAATACTATCATTTAAATAGTTTTATATACATATATTTATTTATATAGCAAATGAAAAGTACCTCAAAACCGATAAAAGTTATATATATCTATTTTATGGATTTGAGGTAATTTTGTTTACTAAATATATAAAAATTTAAATAATAGTATTATTCATATAAATATTGATTAAATAAAGTATATATATAAATATAACTTTTATTGGTTTTGAGGTACTTTTGAATCATAGTACATTAAAAGCACGTCAAAACCGATAAAAATTTTATATATAACTTTTTTTAACTTCATATTTCTATATATATATATATAGATAATTATTTCAGAAAAAATCTTTATGCTTGGCTTTAGCGCTGTACGACAATAAAAAGTTATCTTTCTCACGAGTTCAAAATTGTTTAATAGCAGTAATCGAAACTCTCTAGTTGACGCTGCCCGACTAGCATATACCCGGCACTTTGTTTCGTATCTTGGTATACCAAAAGATCTTTTTAGGCAATTTAACAATCAATACATATAAGAAATTTGTCACTCTTCATATTCTTAACTTTTGTTGTGCAACAGCAGTCACACTACTATTTTTATGAACACATCTGTATATCTTGAGTCAAGTCGATCAATATATGTAAACTGACGTCAACTTTTACCACATTGAGCTTAGAATATCTTGAATTACACGGCTTTGGAACATGCAAACCAGGTTATGGCTTATCTGTCAGCTAAGTTTCTGACTTGATCGATCTGGATTAATAAATTATGAAGAATCTGGCTAATATTATAAAAACTGATTCAGCCTGAATAATTGCACAATTAAAATTATATAACCGACATGCTGTAACTAAGGCATATTACACAATGCCATGTGGTTTCTGGCTTACAACATATATCTAGGATAAATACTTATAAATACGGTATTATTCATTCAGTTTGTTACTGAAGTTAAACTACAACCCGTTTGCATTGCTTTTGCTTTTGGCTCTGGGTTTGGGTTTGGGTTTGGGTTTTTCTTGCGAGCGCATGAATCACGTTGAATAATTTACTGAAAATTTTAAGGCATTAAGCTTCAGGCATTTGTATAGTCAGTATATCTTATCTAGAACTCGGCAAACTTATCGGGAAAAAATACCACGGGAAAAATATGGGAAATGAGCCTTTTTTTTTTACTTTTTAAATGAATTTAAACAACAAATTCGCAGACAAATTGGGGAGTCTCTTCAAATAAGTTTATTATCGGATTAAATCAATGCGATAACGCCTCAAATTCAAGTTCATTGACTGCGATCTAAACAACTGATTGATGTTGTCAGTTTATCTTTTGCTCAATGATTCTATAAGTTGCGGCAGTGACTCACGCTGTAAGCGGGAAAAGATAGAAGTTTGCCGTGTTTTACAACTGCTTGCATGACTGTTTAATACTCGTTCGTGGCATGAAAAGTGTGAAAATTGATTAAAAACTTGATATTAGCACTTTGTGATTGCGCCTATAGCCAATCGGTTTATTTATAGATCTATCTTTATAGGTTCTCTACAGTAATCCCACTTAAAGACTTGCCGTTAGTTCATATATATTTATATATATATATATAGCTGAGATAATGGTATATACTCGAAATTTGAAATCTCTCTAAATTAGCGGATCTTATACAATCTTATATAGACATTCAAAAGTATCTGGCATTGAGCCTTTTGATATCTTAAACCACTTCGAAAGGAGGTCAGAGTCTAACTTAAGTTTAGTTTTATGGCTGTTTTATCCTGGCTTTCAGGTCCTGTCCATTCAATTAGTTGAAGGTGTGTTCTCTGCGTGTGATAAAAAGAAAACAAACGGCTAACTTCGCCCTTCCCTATTTTGCACTTCTCGATTGCCCTAAACTGTCATCAAGTTAATTGCCCCAAATTTGTGGTTGTTTCTTTTTTTTGTTACTGGGCGTGTATACACGTATACCCGCATAGACATAAAATCAAATTCAATTTCGACAAATCATTAGATCACGCATTCGTTTGTTTTTGGCCACATTTAATGGATTCTCTCTTCTCCACTCCGGAAACATTTCCCAAAACGTGTGCGCAAATTGATTTGCCCTGTCAAAATCTAATATCCATTGTCCGTTATGCAAGTCAAATGGTATGATGTGTGTGTGTTATATTATGTTAACACGCCTATTTGAAATGCACGCCCAGCCCTAGACCCCGGCCCAGGCCCCAGTCTTGTGGTTCGTCTGTAAGACAATACAAAGCAAACATTGCGTAAGTTTTCAAGCCGCAAAACGTTCGCCCACAACATGAAAATCAACAGTGTGGCAACGCCTTGACCAGCTCTCTTTAATTAATGCAACTAACTAGGATTCAGATAATGCTTACTCAACTTGCAAATGATTTCCTAAAACATTATCCCCACATTGATAACTGATCAGCTCTTATCTTTGCCTGATATGTGATTTGATGTAAAGATGTACAAAGATATGCCCAGTTCTCGACTATTTAATATGACTAAAGACGTTCAATTTTCAGTAATAACGCAATGAATGAGTATGTGAGTGTTGTCAGTGCTCGCAGCGTTCATTGCAGCTGTTCAATTAAACGACATCCCGCCAGCTACTTATAGACGGAATTAAGCCGAAGCATGAATCATACCTGATCGTGTCTCAATGCTAAGAAGTTTTCAGTGCACACAGTTTGGCACCACTGTGCTCAAGTTAATGACTCAAGCGTAAGTCTGAGGCAAGACTGCAAATATTTCGCACGTTTCACACACGCATTGACTGGCATACTCACACACACACACACAGAGACAGGCAGACAGACACGCACACATCTACGCACAGCCCAGAGTTACAGTTAAGTTGTTTTTGCACTGACCGATCAACATCGTTTTGTCAACAGACAGGTGCGGTTGCGCTGCTGCGCCGCTGCGCCTCCATTGCTGCGGCTACTCTTTGCAATTTTGTTTAATCTTCGTCTTTGTCTTTATCTATCTATGTCTGCCTATCTGGCGTGCGCTCGCTGCATTCAATGTCTGACGTCACAGCAATGTTGAGTTGACGCTGATTTTGTCGTTGGTCGTTTGTCGTTTCTAGCTGCGTCCGCATCGACCTTAACAGCTAATTTTATGAATTGCTTTGGCTCTCTTCTCTTCACTTCACTCTGCAGTTGTTGTTATTGCTGGTCCCCCTCAAAGCTTGCTTACGCTCTCCCGCCTTGCTCTCCTGCTGTGTGACTCGCTCACGCTCTCGCTCCATCTCTCTTTCCCTCTTTGCTCTGGCGTCGCATGCGCGACCGTTGCCGTTCTTCAGTTGATTTTCGACTCGCAGACGGAGCGCAACGCACGTTTAACGATTGTTTTTCTTTTTATTATTGTGGTAAAAAGTTAAAGCATAAAACAAAAGCCAACGTCGGGCAAACAACTATAACAATAACAACAACAGAACCAACAGCGCAAAATATAATCAAAACGTAAATAAAATATATTTGTTGATAAAAAGCCACAAACAAAAAGTGCTGAAAAAGCTTTAAAACTGATCAAGATTTTCGACGCGATGATTCACCGGCAAATTGATCGTTTGTTTGTTGTTTTTACATACAGTGTTTAATGAAAATTAATAAATACTGATTAGCTTCGACTGAAGCTGCTCCTACACCTCGGCCTTATCATCATTTGCGTGTGCTTATAGCCATAATCATAGCCACGCCAAGTTTTCCAACAAATTCCGCGACCCGTTAACTTCCTCTCATAGTTACCGCCCACCACATACTGCCCATTCAAGTTGCTGTAGTCAAAAGACAAAGATAATATTAGTGGCAAGTGGAAGCCGAAAAACTAAGTACAAACCCACCTATGTTGACAGTGATTATACCACCAGGCGCCGACATTTGCGAGGGCGCAGTTCTGGCCGGTCTTATCGTTATCAAATGTTGAGAACGGTTTGCCCACATGATATCTCAGCGAATCTCCAGCATCGCCAGTGAATCTGCCCAATTGACTCAGCGCATATGAATCAGATTCGTTTGCCACAACGAATCTATCGTATTTCGCATAATGCGTCTCGCCATCAAAGTCTTCCAGATGTATATATAGCTCGTAGGGCTCGGCATTTGTTATGTAGTGCAGTTTTTCTAGGCCAATGAAGAATTCGCCATCAAGTTGGCCAAAACCTGTCTGGTACTCAGACCAGCTGCGATAAAAGTTCTCGCTGCCATCCTGGCGTCTCTGTATCACTGTCCAGCCGGCGCCCGCTGTCCTCGTGTCACAAGCCACTGGAAAAGGCTTCAGGCCCGGCACCCATATAGTGTATATGCCATTCGTATTGATCATAGCCGCCAGGCATGATGGAGGATGAACTAAAAGTTATGTGTACTATATATAAACTATATAGTACTATATATACCGGAACTTTACCTGTTTCTTCAGTTTTTGATGCACTAAAATCTGCTCTCAGCTTAGATAATTCCTTATTCAAGCTAAATATATAGAGAATTTAATGGAAATCGTAGTTTCTTGTTCGGCTTTGAACTAAAATACCTTGAAATTAGTTGTTCAGCATTTTCGTATATATTTGTTGAACTTGAACTGTTGCCACAATTTGCAAGGTTTCCGAAAAGGAAGATCAGTATATATATAGCTCTATTACAGCTCATAGTTAACGCTGATCTTTTCTATGATCTTCTCCCAGCATCTGGTAATCAAGACTGAATTGAATTTACATTTCAATTAGAAATAAGATCTGATTAGAATTATACCCAGTACTCTAAGAGGATGAGAGGCATATCGAGCGCAAGTCAGTTTAAATGGAATAAGGAATAAGCTTAAAGATTTCAAGACTTAAACTTATATACTTAATACATACACTTCGACTTATATAGATATTAAATCCCTAGAATATTTCATTTGTTTATCAGATGTTTAAATATTTATTTTAATCTATTCCAGAGGCAACAATTATATTTCTTCATTAAGAAATATTATTTTATATTCATAAGCCGTCTGATTATAGATAATTTGGGTATATATGTGGAGTCTTATGACCTCCTATGACTGCCCTTCCGATATTGCCCTTGTCAAGCCTTATTTGGATTGCTTTAAAATAGTTAAAAAATAATTATGCAGTATGGCTATATGCCTATAAAGACAGTTTAGTAAATTAAAAATATTATATAAAAAATAAAATAAAAATAATAATAGACTTTATAAAAGATAGTTATACAAAAATTAGCAACTATGCATATTGTATATAAAAAATATAATTTTTATAGAATAATTTATGTATACATAAAATTTATTTATTACATTTTTATATTTTTTCTATAAACTAATTTGAAAATAAATTAAAAAAATTATTTATTCATTTTAAAAATGGAAAAAAATTTATTAATTTTTATAAACAGAAAATTAATATAAAAATTTAAAAAAAATGTAGAAAGTATTAATTAAAATATATAAAAAAATTAGTATGTATAGAAAATTTAGTACATAGATCAAAAATGATCGAGTAAATATAGCTATCAAAGACTAAAGTCGGTTGAAAAGGAAATATGATTGAGTATTATTAAAAAAAATATACTTTAGACCTTGTTACAGAGAATTACCTTGCGAGTGTGTAGAATTTCTTATCAGCAACAAACAAAAACAAAAACAGCTCGAATTATGCACACCGATATGGATGTGAATATATAAAAGAGGAAATAACATGCTTGGAATATATTTGTAAAACATAGGTCAATATAAATAAAAATATATAATTATAAAAATCAGGAAGTAACATGATTGGAATGTATTTTAAAGACAGTGATTGATATATATATACAAATATATATATATATATATATATATATATATTTATTTAGTACATCGTCTACATGACTTTGAAATCTTAAACCATATTACGTTCACAATAGATAGCGGGCTGTGCATATGGAAATGGCTAAGATAGTGCCTGGCAGTGTTGTCGTGTGTTGTTCTTGTTGCCAAAGGTAGCTGGAAAGTGGCGGCACTTTGGCCTTATCATCATTTGGGTAAACTTGTAGCCATAGTTGTGCCCGCGCCAGGCTCTCCAGCACATGCCGCGAGCGAAGAGATTCTCTTCATATTTGCCGCCTTCGATGTACTGTCCATTGAGATTGCTGAAGTCGAGAGTGAGAAAGTTGTCATATAGCTCTTATTACCAATCAACTCGGCTACCTGTCCACACAACTGTTGTACCACCAGGCACCCACGTGCAGAAAGGCGCAATTTCTGTGGAACTCTCGATCGTTGTCCCGATCGTAGGTCGAGAATTTCATTTTGCGATGACTTCTCAGCGAGTCTCCAGCATTTCCCGTATAGGCGCCCAAGACATTGAGTGCATAGCCATCCTCCTCGTTGCCAATGGCGAACTCATCGAACTTCGCTGAACGCGTCGTGCCATTGAAGTCCTCCAAAGCAACGTACAACTCGAAGGGCTCCAAGGCAGTTATGGCGCGCAGCTTCTCGAGTCCAATGAAAAACTCGCCATTCAGATTTCCGAAACCTTCCCTGTACTCCTTCCAGTTTCGATAGAAGTTCAGACTGCCATTGAAGCGCCTCTGTATCACCAGCCAGCCATAGCCAGCCAAGCAGTTATCGCATGCTACGGGAAATGGGGCCATACCTGGTACGCGAATCGTGTGAATTCCACTTTCAACTTTGCTTTCATTGAAGAAGGACGTCAAGCAGGATGTCGGATAGTCACTCTCTATATATAATCTTTTTAGAAATATCGTAATATTTGAATCATAGAGAATACATCTCACCAGCTTTGGAAAAAGTGGAACTACTCGGATTTACGTATGCTTTCAGTGCCTCCAATTGTTCCTGTAGACTGTAAAAAGTTTTCAGTTTTATTAGACTTTAACTTCCCGCTCTTGACATACTTAAGAACCAGCTCGTGCATCTTTTCCATGGAATGTGCTAGATCTTGACACTATTTTAGATAATATATAGAGGTCAATGTTTAGAGTTAGTTATATGAGCCATAAATATGTTTACCTGTCCATAGTTTACGACAGAGAAGCACACGAAATGTATGCATATTAATTTAAATAACTTTTCCACGTTCGTTCTGACGAGCTTCATCTTTGTGACTATGCAGAAAGTAAAGTGCACTAAGGCAACTATATTATATAAAATATTTAATCAACTCTTATCAGCTGGCCTATAAATTGTAGATCAGGGATCAAGATCTGCCATAATATTGATTACATCTGCAGATTAACTTATTTGAATTCCTAGGAGTACAGAAGAGAAGAAGAAGCAGAAGTATCGATACCAATTTTTTATGCTGTAAACCTTAGATCTGAAAAGTGGAGGATCGTTAAGGATCTTATGCTAAAATGTTTTAACAGTTCTCAGCTGGTTAAAACTTTAAATATGTGAGAGAATATATAGAAACTGAAAGCTCTAACCAAAGACAGATGCTGAGTGATGCATATATGAATTGTTTAACTATAATATACTCAATTCACTGAATATAAGATTTTAATTAAGCTGAAAAGCATAATTACTATTTGGATTCAGCTCTATATAACTATATAAAACCTTAGAAGAAATTTTGGAAACAAAAAATATTATCATATATTTTAAATAAATAAATATATATATATATATATATATATATTTTAATTTTTTATTTTTATTTTTTAAATATTGATTTTATTACTAAATTTTGTTCTGCACATATATATATATATATATATATATATATATATATATATATATATATATCTATATATATACATATATTCAGAGCTTCCCAATTCTAAGTTTCAAGTCTGTAGAGTGAATCGAATATGGTAGTAATCTGGTCAGATATTGCATAAAGCCAATATGCTCATTTACACTTTTTATTTTATTTTATTTTTGTAGCTATTTAAATATAAATTTATTGTGCAAGCAAAACTCTATTATATATATGTAATCTATATCTATATAAGTATAAGGAATTATACATAAATTTCGATAATTTGTAAATACATATATCAAGCTAACACATGCATAGGTGATTTATGTATGTGTGTGTGTGTATGTATGTATTGCTGTTCATTATGCGCTGGCACGTGGGCTTTTTTTTTGTAGATTCTGTGGGAGCTTGCGCCCAATGGCTGTCAAACTGTGCGGCGTCTGACATTCATTTTACGGACTGTTTGCGCTTGGTTTATTGTTTCTGTTTTTGTTTTTGTTTTTTTTTTTTTATCGAGGCGTCAATCTAAAAAAGCACAGAAACAAGACAAGACATAAATATATATATGTATACATATATAATAGTTATAGAAACTGAGTTATTAAATGTGTGGGTGGCGACAGTTGCTGCTGGCTTGAGCGCGTCTTGAGTCTGTGGCCTCAGTCTCCGTCTCAGTCTCAGTCTAGAGTCTGTGCCGCAAAGTTAAGCGTAAAATGCGTCTAATACGACGCGCTCAAAGCCAAAAAGTAACCTCGGCTTTTGTATATTTGAGATCTTTTATTAATACGCTGTATTTTCTTGTCTTATAGATGGCCATACCGCCCCCACCGGGTCCACCGCCACCGCCAGGACCGCCACCGCCACCGGCAATTGGCGGACTTAAGCTGGGTGGCGGTGGAGGAGGAGGAGGAGCGGATCCACGTTCAGCTCTACTCAACTCCATACAAAAGGGCACCAAGCTGCGCAAGACGGCGACTGTGGACAAGAGTGGTCCAGCTCTGTCGGGACGTGTCTGTGATGGCGATGCTGGAGCAGCACCGAAGCGAACGCTCAACAACAACACCAGCAGCAGCAACAACAACTTGGGAAATGGAGCACCCAAATTGGGTGGCCTTTTCGAAGGCCTGTCACAGATGCCAAAGCTGAAGCCAGTGAATGGCGTTCGTGGTAAGTTGTGAAACTGTGAAATAAAAAAAATATAGATATCGTTCATGCAAATAATGTTGCTCAATTGATTTCCGCTTTACTCCCACGCACAACAGCAACACCAGCGCCAGCACCCGCAGCAGCAGCAGCATCGCCAGCAACACGCAGCAACAGCCCCCCCACAGCCCATGCTGGCAACAATGGACCCATGGACTTTAATACGGAGCTCACCAAGCATTTAACATTGAAGCGTCAAAAGCAACAGCAGCAACAACAGCCACAGTCAAGCAACAGCAACAGCAACATCAGCAGCAACAGCAGCAGCACACATATCAATGCAACCGAAGCAAATCTGAGAACAAATCGCGGACCACCACCGCAGCCGCCAAAGGTGAGTGAGAAAATAACACGCACACGGAGACCCACGCAAAGAAAATCTATTTTAATGTATATATAAATAAGCTAGCGAGCATTACTAATAGAGCAATTAGGCAAAGAGGAGAATTGGAAAATCAGCGAAGAAAATAGAGAGTTGGATCTTAGGCGCGCAATAATTACTGATGTGAGAGTATAGAGAGTGGCATATTAGTTAGTTGATGCTAGAGGGACTCTATCGATAGGGACGTTGAGTCAAGAACGCTATTTAAAGTGTATTTAGTGAGCATGTCTTAAGTGAATATTGAGCTGTAAATTAGTCCAGAGTTTAGTTTTTTTAATGGGATATTGCTTAGAGCATTAGGCAAGGCTGTTTTAAATTGTAGGTCATTTTGAAACAATCTTTTCAGTTGCAGCATATTATCATGATCATGATATTAAATTGATCATGATCATGATCATGATATTAAATTGGTATAGATATTGAATATTGTGATCTAATCTGACCAACTTTGAGTTAAGTGTGCCAGAAGCATCGAGTTACGACTTAATAAATTATATAAAAAAATAAATATAAAATAAATAAATATAAAATAAATATAAAAAAAAATAAATATAAAATAAATAAATATAAAATAAATATAAAAAAAATAAATATAAAATAAATAAATATAAAATAAATAAATATAAAATAAATAAATATAAAATAAACAAATATCAAATAAATTATATAATATAAAATTATAGATTTTCAAAATGATTTCAGATTTGTTACAAAATGCTGTAAACCATATAAGATATTGAAATCTAATTGATTAGTATTTTTAGTCTAGACAGACCTGTCGAACTATAATTAATGCTTAACTATTTCGACTTTCAACTCTCAGTATTAAAGCTTAGTACAGTTCTATAAGCTTAGAAGATAACCAAACCAAGCTTAAGGTCATTTATAAATTTAAATTAAAATTTAAAATAACAAATCAAATAGTTTAATAATATTTATTTTACTTTATTAAAAAACTAACAATAATATTTAATGTTTATGTCTAGAAAATGACAAACTTGTTTTAATTTATTTTTATAAATTATCATAAGTTACACTGCTCAGCAAACTAAAACTTTTTGCAGCAGAAATTCTAGATTTCATTCAGAGCAAACTTAAAGTCTAAGGCTTAAATGAAGCCTTAAACATTTTTATTTTTCCGCTCAAAGCATCTACAATAGATAAACTATTATATTGCTTTACTCCAATGTCAACAGTCTTTGTTGTATAGTGTTAAATGAGTCTAGACTGTTCAATAAATTGATAGATTTATCTATATGCTGTAGGCTCTTGCTTATATTTGCTGAGTAACCCGTTCGATATTCCTGTTCTGTGCTCTTGGTTCTGCTCACATATTGAACATTTGCTGCTCTGATCTATTCCATTAGAACTCCAGCGATTCCATATTGGATCGCATGAACATACCTCGCACGGCTGCAACGCCCACAGCGACATCGTCAGCCTCGCCGTCAGCGAATGCCATTGGCAATGGCAAGGTAAAAGCAGCATCGCCCACGCTCTCGGAGAGCGGCAGCAGCAGCGGCGGCAGCGTGAAGAGTAAAGCGGCTAATCTTAGGTAAGTCTCAACGGAATGGCCAATTGCCTGCTTGGTTACGGGCCAAACATAATGTTCGTAACTATGTTTTATTACTCCTAATTTTTTTTATGTTATTTTGATATGTACATTCTTTTTGAATTTTTGAATTTTTGAATTTTTTCCCCAAATTAATTTTTGTATATTTAAAATTTTCTTTTTTATTTTTTTGGTTTTCTTTGCCGGGACATTTATGGTTTACTTATCTTACACACACACACACGTACATACCCACACACACACACACACACACGTCCACAGTATCTCGTTAGGCAATAGTTTTGTAAATAGTTCCATTACAAAAACAACAACAACAAGCGCAACAACAACCGCCGCCGCAACAAACTCAAATCGAACAACAACAACAACAACAACAGCAACGGGAACTGGCCTGCGCAATTTGGCGCCGAATAAGTCAACGCTGTTTGGTGGTGGCAGTGGCAGTGGTGGTGGTGCTAGTGCTGGCAGTGGTGTTGGTGGTGCTGGTGGTAGTAATATTTCGCCCACGTCCACGCCCACACCACCCACACACCTGGCACAGCAACAGAAGCCGGCCATCGGCTTTGGCAAGCCAAATTTTGCTCCAAAGCCGCCGGGGCTGCAGCAACTGGCGTTCGCCAATGGCCACCAGCGTCCAGTGGTGGCGCGACACCACAGCATGAAGTCACCCAGGTATAGCATTCACCCACTCTCTCTATCATATTGGCCTCTGGGCCACGCACCGCTTAATGCCTTAGATGCGCGCTCATCTTCGTTTGGTTCAAAGTTCAGCTACAGCTTTACTCCTGCACGCTAATGGCCCAACGCTGACATGATTCAACTCTGACTCAATGCTCATCTCTCTTATCTCGCCTATCACTCAGATCACCGCCGGCTGCTGGAGGCGTCAATGGACCTATTTTCTCAACGCAACAGCATTTTGGCACAATGCGCGCTCCGCTTCAGCAGACGCTGCTTTTGCAGTCCAGCGAGGGCATCAGTGGAAGCACCAATAGTATCATAGGCAGCGTGCGAGCTGCCCCCAATCCGCCAAAGAGTAAGTACTCCATTAGTCCAAGTTAGAATACATTTTCCGAGCTTTATTAATTTCCCTTTCCTTTTGCAGCACGTCCCTCGGTGAAGCCACCGCCGCCACCGACACCATCGCGTAGCATTTCGAACAGCAATTTGAGCAACATTGCAGCTCCGTTCAGTGCTGTGAACACGGCGCTGGTGCAGAGTGCGGCCATCAGCACGCCAGCGCCATCACCGCCACCGCTGCAGCAGCCGCCTTCCAGTTCCAGCAGCTCCAGCAGCGTGGCCGCTCTGCGCGACCAGTTTCGCGTCAATGGCAGTGGAACGCCGCCAACACCGCCCAGCGGCGGCATCACAGCCAGTCCAAAGTCATCGACAATGCGCGAGAAGGTCAATCCCATCATTCTTAATGGTGGCCCCATCAACCCCCCCGCACTGCCACCTCATCGCAGTTGCCCGCCGCCCCCGCCACCCATGCGACAGTCCAGCAACGTAAGTAGAGTCAACAACAAGTTGGCGCATATGCCAAAGGTAACAGCATCCAGTGGAGAACAAACGTTGTACTAGGTTAAGCCAATATACACTGCAAAAAATTATTCGAGTTTGTAGTATTCCCAAATGGAATTAGAAACTCCATTTGCGAGAAGTGAACTGTATCAATACTTGTATTAAGTACATTAGTTAGTTTATTCACCTATTAATGACAGATGAATATCTCAATATAAATTATCGAACGATTAAGCAAAACGATTGGTTCTTGACTGATTCCACAACAAAGCAAAGAGCACAGTTCATATCCGACTGAACTGTATTGTTCATTGATCAGTGAATAAGTTCTGTTTAATGATTCATTTGAACTAGTAAACAATGCCAAAAAATGCTTACAAACTTATTTATAGAACTGTTATTAATAACAGAAATTAATTAAAATACTACTTCAATTATTGCTAACTTTTCTTACAGTGCACGAAAATAACATTGGGGCTGCTCCCCCTCTCTCTCTCTCTCTCTGTCTCACTCTCTCCCACTGCATAACTTGCTCTCTCATTGGGCTCCTTTGCGCTGCTCTCTGCGCGTTCGCTCTTTACTCTTTGCTCTTCTCTGCGCACAAACAGTTAGCTTTTTACAACCTTTATAGATTTTCCAACAATACGTGACCCAAACAGCTTCGATACGGATTGTCGCTCATCGCACGCTTGTTTTGTTGTGCTGTTTGTGTGCACTTAAAGTGCAATATAGTTTGTTGGTCCTTCAGTTGATTCTGTGGCTTCACGTAGTATGTGAATTTGTGCAGGATTAGGCAACTGTCCGAACTCAAAGCGAAGCAAAGCAAAGCGAAGCTCAAGGCTATTCAGAATAATGTTGATGCTCAATCAAAAGCGCAGTGTAACGGAATTTGAGCTTATCCAACAGCAATTTGGCAGCCAACTAACTGCATCCTTTTTTTTTACAGGGTGGAGCACAGCAGCAGCAGCAGGCACCAGTGCCGCCTCAACGCCATTCATCTATACGAGCCAATGCCCCGCTAACGCCGCCCACGCACATGGCCAATGCGACGCACAATTTTGGCAGCAACGGCGGCCTGGCAACAGGACCTGGAGCTGGAACTGGAACTGGAGCAGGAGCGGGTGCATCAGTTGGTCGACTCGTCATCGATTTGGAGGCAAAGTTTGGCAAACGATTTCATAATGTTACCGAGTTCCCGAAACCGCCTCCGTTTCTAAATATACAAAAAATCTATCCTAGTCGCACGCTTAAGGCAACCAATGGTATGTAAAGGATATATATATATATATATGTCTTCATGAGTGTGAGTATGTTTGTGTGCGTGCTTGTGTGTGTGTGTATGTGTTTAAATGTATGCGTGTTTCTTGGGTGTGTGGGTAGGTTCTACTGTTAAAGCAAACTCACTCACGCGCCGTGTTAATAATAACATAATTATGATTATGTTTTATTATTATTATTATTAAATTATTGTTATATGCACACATGAAACGCTGTTATATTATGAATACACATATACATATATATATTTTGCAAAAGTTGCATAATATTATTATTTTATTATTTATAAGTCAAAACACATATTAATGTAGATTGAAACAAAATACAACGATGCAATTTTAAATTGTCTTTTATACACACACATACACACATACACATACACACACCACACATGATGAAAACACGTGCTATCAAATGTAACGTTACAGTTTATGATTGTTTAAAAATGTTTAATTATATTTATAATTATAAAAAGTTGATAGCTTTATTCCACATAATTTTGTTAAAATGCATATAAATATATTGTATATATATATATCTAACAATATATTCTTGTGCATACATATATATATATATTTATATATATTATTTAACAAAGAAAACAGCGATATTATTACTAAGCACACGCATATTATGTATTATTTTTAGTAAAGCATATTTATATATAAAAATGCCTCTTATCTATGTTCATGCCACGATTCGCATTATGTCCAAGTCCTAAAGCATTATTTCTATACATTTGTAGCGCATGGTTTTACTTTAATGTATTTGTCTACGATCGGCTTCACATATATGAATACTTATATACATAAATATTTTTTGTACTTGTACTTTTATATCTTATCTAAAACACGTACAACTGTACAAATATGTATGTTTTTTATATTTGATGAATATTTAATTTTAGCACATTATTGTTTTATTTGAAGTTATGAACAATAAACCAAGCAAAGATGAAACTGAATTTGTTATGTATTAAACATTTTTATATTTTATTAAATTTTTCACACTTTTACACGAATTGTAATTGTCCTCCATATTATGTTGTTCCTCTGCTCCTCCTTGATCCTAAAACATTTGTGATTGTTGCTTGCTTGTAAAATTTCCATTGCCTAAGCAACGGGCGCAGCTTTAAATAAAAAAAAAAACAGTCTTTGTATCTATATATAAATATATCATTCCCTCTCTCTCTCTCCCTACTTAAATGCCTCTCTCTCACGCTTGAAATGCAGAAGCCGCTTTGGCGCCCAACAGCAATAACAACAATAATAATAACATCAACAACAACAGTACCGCGGCATGTAACAACAATGCAAAACCGCCAACGGGATTGAAGCCCGCCTATGCGCCGCTCAAAAAACATCGCGCTCCCGCTCCACCTCCACAGGCAGGCGTGGCCGCCGCTACAGTGTCAGTGATAAGACAATCCAGCTTTCTATATGGCGGCAATAGCGCAGCAGGCGGGGGCGGCGGCGCTGCAACTGCTGTCAGTGTGCGGCCAAAGTCACAGCCAGCGTCAAGTGTGCCGCGCAATTCGACGGTCTACTAACTGTAAAGATAACTGTAAATTTCTATCCCCGTTTAAGCTTTGTATATATGTATACATATTTGTGTGTGTGTGTAAGTGTGCAAGTCCTTGCTGTTGTTATTGTATCGAGATTGCATATTTGTGAGTGCAATTGTGTGTCTGTGCAAACGCAAATGTTGCAAATGTCCCTGTAAAGTGTATAAAATAGAAACAGAACAATAATGACATAAAACAAATGCAGATGCACAAAAATGGTTTTTGTATGTATGAAACAGACACATGCATGTGTATGTACATATTGTGTGTGTGAGCCCAATGTGGTGGAAAGTGCTGGTTTGAAATGGTAACGGCTGATTTAAAAAATTGTACTAAAAAATGTCACACTTTAAAATGTTCAATTGAATCAGTGTTTCTTCAATTAGGAACCAAACTTATGTAGCTTAAGAGCTGGCTTGAGAAACGTACTAAAAAAATGTCGGTATTAAAAATGTTCAATGGAATCACTCAGCTCACTCGCTGTTTATTTTAAGTTTAGTGTCTTCCCAGGCTAACGCAAAAATACTTACCTACATGCATACATTTATATACATATATACACAAATATAACTATATTTTATCTGTATATACAATTTAGCGGCATTTGAATCTAGACCAAAGTTAGTCAAATTATTCAAAAGACAACACCAACACCCTTTAATATATATATAATGAAATGTATATGTAAGTACTTATGCGCATATTTACGAGCGTTTTTGTCGCTCTCCCTATCTAAACTAGACTGAAAAAATTGTTGAACCGAAATTCAAATTTTATTATTAAATCACAAACAAAACACACAAATGTTAATGCAAATGAAAACTGTAGCACAAACCAAAGGTTTTTTCCAACGAAAAATAAAAAATCAAAGCAAATAACATTTACACGTAGTCGGAATAGATCATTTTACATCAAAACCGCGAACAGTTACATGTTTAAATGTATTATTTTCCATTTGTGATACATTTCGAACAACTTCTGTATCTATTCTTCAAATTCCATATATATATATATATATAAATTTGTTAAAACCCCTAGGGCAATATTATTCACCTACATCAAATTAATTACTTATTATGATTATTATGAAATTCATTGTTGTTGGACCATTGCCGTCATTAGAACTAATTCCAAATTCACATATTACAATTCAACATTATATTTCAATATCATTCCATTTGAAGTTCTCATATAAATAAACTGAAAAAAGCATTGGAAAATATACCTATTCAAAAGACTTTTCATGGCGGTAGCAGTTAACTGGAGAAGTCTATAAACTGGTAAAAAAAAAAACATAATATGGATTATGTTCAAAGAAAATTGTAGTTGCTATTAATTTGTTAAAAAAAAGATTTTCCTCTAACTCTGGGTGTAGAATATAGAAATCTAGGCTATAGCTTAGAGATCCCAATCTAAAAGAAAGAATGGAGAATAAAATATTTTTGTTCAATTTTTTAGCATATCTATATATTGTTAGGACAGATCCGTTTGCAAATACTACAACTAGCCAAAGGTTATTGTATATATCAAAATGAAATTCTTTTTAAATGCAGATGTTTTCTTGAGTATATGTTAGCTGCAAGCGCATATTTACAAAATTGTGAGAGTAACATCATTTGACCAAGGTATTTTACCAATTTCTAAATAGCCAACATAACTTTAACAAGCTTAAACATAGTGTAAATACAAAATACAATCGCACTTTATTGCTTATTAACTAAATGGCAATCTAAGCAGAGCTATGCTTGAGCTTTAGATCTTCAACAGCCTCCTGCAACGGCTGATCCTCGCGTAGACGTCGTCGTTCGCATTTGGGACACGGCTGATGCTCGTTAAGGCATTCGGCATGGAAAACAGCACCGCATGTAACGCACTGCAAATATGAATATGAATTTAATTACAATTGAAACGTATTACAAAGTAGAAACTTACGCGAAATGTGGTGGCGATGTGAAACGGGTAGAGTACACGTGGACTCTGACAGATTTCGCAGATGAAGCCCTTCAGCTGGCATAGCCTGCACTTGAGCACGTGTGCCTCGCCCAGCTTGAAGGCCTTTTGTAGCTGCTGACAAAGCGCACCGCGTTGTATTAATGCCAAATCAGCTATGGAGTATTGGTGTATGTGTTCATAGAGATACTCCTGGCCACCGAATTGGTTTTGTAATAGCTTAAGGCTACTCGGTGCACAGGTATAGAGATAGGCACGTATAAAATTCAATCGAATGCGCAACGACTGCAACTCAGCCATGGCATCAGAAGCAAAGTAAATGCTCGGGTTGAGTAGCTGCATGTCTAGAAACGGTTGTGCACGAAACTCGGCCAGAAAAAGGGCCGCACGCTTGCTGACGCCATATTTGCGAAAGTCCCAGTTGTAGATGATGCGTGCCGGAATGAGCTGAGCCTCCGGTTCCATGCAGACGTTGCAATAATAATCGCCACTAAAAGCACAAACTCTGCGAGAACAGATTGAAGTGTTATATTTAAGCTAAGACCATAATTAGTAGCTTAGCTCTACGCACTGGAAATTGTTGTCGCCAATGCCTAGCGGATGCTGACAGCCCTTGCACAGAAAACCCTGTGCGTTGAGTCCAGGCTCGCGTGGCAGCTGACACAGTTGGGCAACCATTTGCTGCAGTTCGCCCATTTCGAAATTCGAGTTGAGCAGCTCGAATTCGGAGTTGGTCTGGGAATAGATTAAGACTTGCCTTAATATCATACATTGCAATGGAACAATAACTCACATCAACTGATTGCAGTTCGCTCATATCGTCTGTTGCATTGGACTCAATCTCGCGTTGCGTATGCGTCTGCGACAAATTCAAGGTAGAGGGATTAGCACGAAACTTCTCCCAGATCTGCGACCAGCCAGAGCCATCCTCCCGGTTGTTCTCGTGCTTTCGTAGCAGCGCATTGTAGCTGCAACGATCTGCTGTGGGTGTTCGCAGGCTTGTAGTACTGCTCATGCTAACCGAGCGCTGAAAGAAACGCGCGCCAGACTCTTTTGTGGGCGTGTGAGCATCGAGATCAGCAGACCACGAGGTTTGCATGAGATTTGTCAACGAATTGCTTCCCTGTGGCAGCTCAGAAAAAGGCTCTTCAATATGTCGAATGGAACGCTTTCGAGTCCGCTGACTGCTGCTGGTACTCGATTCGGCTTGTTCAGTCTCATTGGACACGACATGATCTGTCGCCTCTGCTGATGTCGAATCTTCGTTTATAACATCCATTTCGTCAACCTTTTGCATGAACAGGTCCAGCATCTCATGTTGGTCAAGATCCGCATGTCCAAACTGGCCTCCACGACTGAATGGACTGTTCGAAATGGACTCCGAGAAGAGCTCATTCGTATGCAGTGGCTGTGGTGTGGGAATAGCCACAATTTCAGTAGCCAAAGAACTAGCCACATCCACGCCGCTGCTTATCTAAAAAAAAAGTCAGCTCAATACGGGCTTAAAAGATGATTCTCTTTAATACGCACTGGACAGGATTTGAGTGCCGGTGTCCATAGATCGGAAAGCTGCAGGGCATAATCGGGCCATTGATTTAGCAAGCTTGAGTTGACGGGCAAGTCGAAAGTCACGTATGCTTCTAGACTCTCCATAATTTTAGCTGCCGTCTCCAGACCTTCACTATCCTTGAGCAGTGCGTCCTTCTTGTAGTACGGACGCAAGGCTGAGCCATTTTTACGCATATTATTTAAATACGACGAGAAAATGGAATCGTTAAGCGACTGCCGCACCCACGCTCGACACTGTCCAGTCTCGGAGGTTATCTGGCTCAATCTTTGGATTTGCTCGATCACCTGCTTGTGCATGAACACCATCGCAGGTGACCAAAAGCTCGGCTCCGGTCGGCGCTCCACATCTCCAGTAATCACATTGATAGTGGCCCACAGAAACGAGTCTTTCAAGCCGTGCAAGAACAACGCCTCTAATGTGGTGCACAAAGCACTCGTTTGTTCACATAAGCCGAGCACATCTGTAGGAATTTTTTAGATGAGTCATGCGAATGGATTAAGTGAATGTGAATAGGGGATTTACCGAGTCCTTTTTGCTTAACTTCAAATTCGATTTCTCTCGCATTTTCGTTCAAAGTATTTATCAGCGCCTCCTTGACAACATTTTCACGTTTTGAGGAAAAATTGTTTAGGCTGCGAAAGAGGGCGCTCATTTGTTTGTCTTTATGCCTCTTATTTATTTTGCTGTTTCGATTTATTTATTATTTTTGCTTAGACACAATCAGCTGTTTACCAGGGCTGCGCGAATTTGTTTTTATGTGTTACCTGTATTAACTATGTCAGTCACATTCAATTTAGTTTATATCGTTAATTATAAAATTTTATCTAACGATTTGCAATTTAGCAACAACAAAGAACAATTAGCTGAACATAAATCCACAAAGTTCAGTTGATTACTAAATTGATTTAGTACAATTAACTGAAATAGCTCGCGATACTTGTAAGGCAGTTCAGCTAGAGATGAACCGATAGTGCATCGATATTGCATGCTAACGATTATTAGTCTTCAATGACGTCACAAGAGATCTGTCTTTTTAACGGCTTTTTATATTTTTTAATTTCAGCTTAAAAATATTAAAGCAAGACAAACGTAGCTGCGAAAATAATAACGCAAGCAGTATCATATTTCCGTTTGGAATTATGAGTTTTAAGACCAGTTCTTATTGTATTGTTTGCTTTCTTTCTATGTGGGAATGTTCGATTATAAGAATGAAAAAAAACCCACGCAAATAAATAACCACAAATTCCGCGTGTTCGTTAACAAGACAAAGCTTTAATGAGTTTTGATGCCTTGGGGGTTTTATTTCAACGAGCCAAACAACAACATTTATGACTCAACTCGTCAAGGAATAGAAATTAAGCTTTAATAACAAATGTTGTTAAGCCAACAGCTCGCATTTCTTGCAGTTAATGGAAAATTATTTATAAAAATATTTTTATTTTGTTTATTTACATATGAATGAAGTTGAGTTAAGTGTCAGCCTCAATCCCGGCTTGTCCATAGGCCGTGCACGTATCCATTCAATAAGTCGCCACTTGATATTAAGACGAAATTTGTGTTAAGGTCAGGGTGACCAACAAAGTTTATGCTGTCATTGTTCAACTTGTTGTTGTTGTGCGTGTTGTTGTTGCTGCCTTAACGCATTTTTCAATATTTTTGCAATAAAATTGTATAGCCGCTGATATATCGTACAGAAGATGCGCTCCAACTGGTTCAAAAACTGGTCTCTCTCATATGGAAAAAAATGTATATTTTTAAGTTGTTTTTTTTTTTTTAAATTTTGTTGCTTCTTTTACGAAACAATTTTCGTGTGGGTTGAAAATGCTTGCATTCAACAATTGCACTGAAATTGGTTGCCAATTTATTATTAGTTTTTTTTTTATATGTTAAAATATATTTATGTATATTTTTTTTAAATTTTGCAAACATCATGAACACATGTATTTTTTAACGGAAATGTTAGAAACTTGACGAAGTTGCGAATTTAATTAATGAATTTTATTTTTATTTATGACGATGGGCTTAAAAGGTTAAGCTAATGTTTGTGAAATTAAAGACAATTATAACAATTAATAAAAAAAAAAATTAAGTTGAAGGTGAAGGGTCACTCAACAATTTTTACGCATGCGCAGCGCCGTGTCATTTCCATTTCCATTTCTATTTCCCAACTGCAAGAGACTTTGACTAAGCGGCATGGACTCTATTAAAGTAAATAATATACAGCATGAATGCTGTCACTGCATTGTAGTTGCTGCTGTGGTTGTGATGCTGACTTGACTTTTTTCTTAGCTCCACTCAAATAGTTTGACTTGAACGTCGGCTTCACGCTGCCAGCGGCAACTGTTTGGGCCATTGTTATAAGTAGCAGAAGGAGAAGAAGAAGAAAAAAGAGCAACAACATTTTTATAAAAACGTTTGTTTTCGTAATACAATTTTGATTACTTCTTCAGCGTCGCTACGTCCCATTGATGGCTTTGTCTGTTGTTTACCTTATGCAGCGACGCGACGCTCGACGCCCGACGCCCGACGTTCAGCTTTGATTTATTAACGCTGGGCGCCCCACAACAATAACAACAACAACTGCAACACGGGCCAAATTGCGCGCCTCTTTAGAGTTAAGTCCATTTGGTAATATCTCTGCTGTTAATTGTAACAATAATTTTAACGCCCAATGATTCCATTCGCAGCTAATGCTTCAATCATTACGCTGCATAGGAAGCGCTGGGCAAAGGCACACACAAAGCCAAAGATTCGAAGTCGAATTCGAGTTCGAAGACGAGGCACACATACCAAATGCTGTTTGAACAAAAAACGCCCAATGCGGAACAAACGCGCAAATTTGCTGACATAATTTGTAAAATAAAAGCCGCCTGGACCTTGCCTGACAATTATGAACTGAAGACATATACGTATATACGTAAGTAAAGCGCAATCGAAAAGCCTTCAAATTTAAGCATATTCACCAAAATTGTGCAATCCAACTGCAGAAGAGATCAATGTACGCAAATGATGATACAACTTCAAAGAAGACTTTGCACAATGCTCTCCCACAGTGTGATCTAATATAAGCTGACTAAGCAGCGCACATCTGGAATTAATGCACTTTGATGAGTAAAGAATTTAATTTGCTTCACAAAAGAATTTGCCGCTTAATAAAAAGTCGAATTTAATGAATTGATAATCGAAAGCCACCAGAGAACAGGATCTAGTTCTGTGAACAAATTCATGTATGGATTTTCAAATATATTTGACTGGCATAAATTATGCATTGTTAGCAACGGTTGACTGTAACGTGATAGAAAGACAAAATGTTGAGATTAGTCTCAAAACTCCAAACCTGTCTGTCTAAATAAACAAACAATAAAGAAACAAATGAATGCTTCTAACACTTTAACACATTCATTTTCATTATGAATTTGCATAACATTTATAAATACATATGCACATATGTATGAATGTATATGCAAAACTGTTGAAACGTGTGCGCGTTTGGAAATAACAGAATGTAAAGCATATGTTAGGCGAATGTTAAGCTTGACCTTGAGCGACATTGGCAATGCAACGCCTGCACCAAGTATGGGAAAATACACGATATATATATATACTATATATGTAAGGTCATAGCAGCAATTAAATGTACAGTTTCCCGGTTTCAAAAGCTATACGCTTCGAGTTAACAATCAAATCGGGCTTTGAGCTCATATACATATACTCCCACACATGCAAAAGCATATGAACTGTGCTGAGTGCTAAGAGATGCAAGTGTGGAAAATGTCCTAAATAAGAACGAAAGCGGTAGTTGCAGCACTGCAAATATTGTTTTTTTTTGTTTAATAATTTTCTTTGCTTAGCGAAATTTTTTGAATATGAAAATATTTGATGGTGAGGCTGGGATTTAGATGTACATTGGCTCAAATGTTATTATCATTAGTCAAATTAATGCAGCTGCAAGTGATACGCAGTCAACAATATTTTAATGGCATATTTTTACTATATACATACATACAAAAATATATATATTGTTAAGTACAAATTGTATATTGATATTAATATTAATGCGGCTGCAACATTTGGACATACCCAAATTATATATGGACCACTGTGCGCAGCCAGCGTCAACTCAAAGCCAATGCGAAAGCCAAGCTTCATTCGTTGTCGCTGATGGCAGCGTTGTTTATTAAAAGCGCAGAACTCGTGAGCTACGGACGTGTTTCTGCTACGCTCGAGCGCCTCGCTCATCTAATCTTCATTTAACTTCGTCTACGTCTCCGGCACTGTCTCCGGCGCATCTCTCCCACAGTGATTGCGAGTCGTGAAATCGTGTCACAATTGATTGAATTTTGTGTGCAAGCGGTACAAGCTAAAATAAATACGAGAAAAAATTAATATTACATATTATTTGTATTTGGCAATAAGGTTTTTTGTGTGCACGCCGGTGCAGATTGCGTCGCTCGCGTCGTCGTCGTTGTAGTCGTTGCGGATTTTGTCATCCCTGACAGCATCAGTTCGACCTGGTGGCCGTAGTTGTTGTTGTCATCATTGTTATTCTGCCTACGCGCTAATTATTCCTCGCGGTTTTCAACTCGAATGTGGCTTTTGGGCAATGCCCAATTCTAAATCGACGCTTGCGTGACAAACTCTTAAAAAAAATACAGGAAAAACAACAACAACAACTGTAAGAAAAATAACGTTATTCCGAATTGCCAAAACCGAAATGCAAACGCGCAATTTGAAATTCGGGCTACGCAGTGGCAGAGCTGCCGGCGTTACCGTTACGCTGCTGCTAGCTCTGGCGCTACTGAGGATCGACGCAGCAGCTGGAAGGCCTGGTATACATGCACCACATACACACACATATATCTCATGTCGGATTCCGATTGGACTCCGATTGGACTCCGATTTCGATACCATTTCGAATTCGTAACCAATTCGCATAGACATACGATATTTAATTAGTGTTTGCTTTTTAATTTCCTTTTCGCCTTTCGTCTATTTGCGTTTCTGTGTCGTATTGCTTTCTTCAATTACGCCTTTATACGCATGTTATTCCAAACTTGATATTTATTCATATATTTACTTCAGTTTGAAATCTATGTTATTTTCTGTTGAATCATTCCAATCAGTGCAACAAAATTTGATTGATTTTCCACCATTAGGCAAATAATTAATCAATCAATATTTGGGTTTATCAACATAGCCCAGACATTAAAAAATTTATTTTATCATTAAACCACTTATTTCATTATGCAAATTAAAAATGAAATTCAAATTTGACTATTATAGTGTTAAAATATTTAAAAAATAATAGTTTAACTTTGCATAATTAAAGATAAAATATATTATTTCTTATAATGATAAACATAATTTTTTATTGCACATAACTCATCAAGTATAACAATTTCGTGTGTAATAATCAATTGTTTATGTTTTTCCATTTGTAACTAAGTTTATTTCTTAAGTCTCTACTAACTTTTACTTTATTTAACTTATTAAATAAGTCTACAATCTATTTATTGTTGTCCTTTGAGTCTCTGTTCGAACTGTCCCCTAACTATCAACCAAATGTTACTAATTCCCAGCACATTCACAAACACATCTAACCGAATGAAATCGATCAATCATCTGTCTGTACATTGGGTGTTATGTGTTTCTACTGCATCCTAACTAAGTGCGAGGTGGAATAGTAACCTCAGGCAGTACAGTAGGATAGTGTAAATGAGTATTAGACTAAGGTTTTTACTGTGCTGAGGTCGAATCTTAAACCAGAATAAGCCTGGCTCATAGAGCTACTCCTCTCTTAAGCTGTTTCTCTCTGTCTCTCTCTCTCACTCTCTCTCTCTCTCTCTCTCTCTCTCTCACTTCTGTTTTTTCTATATATTTATTTATTTTTCTCTCTGCCTCTCTTTCTCTGTAATTCTTTGCCTTTCAATCTCTATTTCTCTAACTGTTTCCATCTTTCTTTATCTCTGTCCCTGTCTTTCACTTAATTTCTTACCTTTCTTTTTCTCTCTGTGTATATATATGTCTTTGTCTCTCTCTCTCTGTCTCTCTGTCTCTCTCTCTCTGTCTCTCTCTCTCTCTCTCTCTCTCTCTCTCTCTCTCTCTCTCTCTCTCTCTCTCTCTGTCTCTCTTCTCTCTCTCTCTGTCTCTCTCTCTCTCTCTCTCTCTCTCTCTCTCTCTCTCTCTCTCTCTCTCTCTCTCTCTCTCTCTCTCTCTCTCTCTCTCTCTCTCTGTCTCTGTCTCTGCCTGCCTCTGCGTTTCTCTGCCTTTCTCGGCTTCTCCCTTTCTATCTACCCCTTTTCTCTCCCTCTCTCACTGATTCTGATTCCGTTTCCATACCCATCTACAGGAAGTTGAAAACCTTTTCAAATATTTGTAGTCTGATACTCGCTTAGTAAATATCATCAACATTTTGTCGATTTGTTCAGTTTCCAGCGACTCCAGGGAACTGGCCCGACACTCATCTACACAGATCATCAAATTAGAGTTAATAAATAACAACGTTTCATGACATTTAAGATGTTGTCGAGCCTTCGATGCATCACATAAAGAAATGTGTTAGTCACAAACTGGACAAATCTCATCGAACCCAGCAAAATAAGGCGTCAGCAGCTTTAAGCCAAAAACAAGAAAAAAATAAACAACTTCGCCAATGGCGACAAAAACCTCCAATTCCCAAAGGCAACAAAGGGTAAATGAAACTCGAGATGAGGCTGAAGAAGCCGCCGGCTAAACACAAACAACCAAAGTAAAAAAAATGAAACAACAACGGCAACAATAACAAAAGTTATGTAATAGCTAGATGACATGACTGGCAAGGCTTCAGCTTCAGTTGCAGCTTCAGCTTTGGCTGCGGCTTCATCTTGGGCTTTTTGATTTCCACTTTTTCTTCATCTTCTTCTTTTTCGGCTTCGCTTTGAGCTACTGCTACTGCTGGAAGGGACGACCTCTGGGATGCGTATATCATTATCTCAGCTGCTACTTAAAAAGGCTGTTCATCTTCAGCCTCTGGTTAGAAGCGGGCGACTCAACAAGTTCATAAATTGTTATGACAATTTGTTAACTTGGCTTGTAGCTGTTCAGACTTTTTCTTAACTTTTTGCTTGGTTTTTTTCCCCCTGTTATGTGGGTCATGGAGCACCCCAAGAAAGAGGCTAATTGCATTTAAAACACGCCGCAAGATATGGGACTTATAGCCAAATAAGCTTTAAGGCGCACTGCGCGCTGACTGAACAAGAAAAACATATCTATAAATTCTACAGTTCAGGTGTCTAGTCTATCCATTCTGACAGGTATTTAAAAACCGCTTTCGGCCAAGATTTATGTAGATATTCTAAGGTGTTTACCAGCTAGACTAGACTTTGATTATAGTTGGATAAGACTAGATTAGACCTGAGCTGAGTTCATTCTATACTCTGCAGCAATGGAAAGTGAGCGCTTAGGCTATATAGCTTTTGTTAGAGAGCTATGTAACAGGTAGAGCAAGTTGTGTAAACCCTATATAAGCTTGTTCAGGATCAATAGCTGAATGCTACCTCTGTTTTTACGCCTAAACCTATGCATAAGCTCATCAAGCTGAGAATCTAAAGTTCTTACTTGAAGCTGCTTATGTATGACATGACATGAAATCGATAAACCCATAGTAATTTGAGCATAGCTCGTGTGCTTGAAGCGCTAGTTTTACCAAATTTGTTATATAGACTCTCTACAAGTATGCGCAAATACTGAATAATTGCTTTCTCTGAATGCGCTCTGCACTTCTTCATAAATAGCACATATTGGCCTATATATAAGCTTAAAGTTGTTGAAGTCCTGGCTACCACCTAGCAGATCATTCCAGCTTGCCTATCTCAAGTCCATCACAGAAAGAGAGAGAGACAGAGCGAGAGAGTGAAATAGTCGTTGATTGCTCAACAATATCTCAAAGACAATACTTCAATGTCCAATTGTCTAGCCGTCGTTTCCGCTGGTTTTATGGCTTTAATCAATTAATTGTTAGCGCTTTTCCTTTCCTATTCACACGATATGTCGCTTCAATATATCGCTAAAGACCTTTTACTGTGCGCGATAATTAACAAATTCGCATAGATTTTATTAGCTGCTCTTGCCATTGTTGCTATTGTTGTTGTTGCTGTTGCTGTTGAGCACAATTAGTTAACTTCATAATGAAAACTTTGCTTTACTATTTGTAGCATAATTTTTTCTAAATATATAACGAAACTGAGGTGCCTGAGAGTTTCGTAATGTCTTAATAGCCCAGCACAATGAGCTCAGATACAGATATTGCCGTTTATTATAATTGATAATCTGCGACGTATTTCACGAGACGTTTCTTGCGTCACTAATGGGTTTTTCGATATCATGGGATTACTAAGTGCAAATTACCAAACATTAATGGGGAAAAAACGAAATTAAAAACAAAATCAAATTTGTAAGTCTTGAAACCAGTTGCTGGCGCATTTGATCTTAAGTGATTAAGATATTTGGCTGATTCGACTGCAGTTTATGACAGTTTTAACCGAAAATTACTACAGTTTTTATATGACAGTTGAATTTCTATTAACTCTAATATTATTGACAACTGAATCCATTAATAATGGAACTTGGAAGTAGCTCATAAAGTCTTTATCATTATCAATAGTTAATTCTCTCTCTTTCTCTCTCTCTGTTTCTTCTAACTGTGAACCTAGAAACTGCTCTTATAGAAAACTTACAGCGAACAAGCTCAAACAATCGATAACTTTATCCCTCCCTACGATTAAAAATCGATTTTGAACTTTTATTATTCGAGCATATCTCGTATGTTTGAAGAGCCTAACTGGCCAAATTTGGTATATAGAGTCTCGAAGAGCCTGCGCAGTTGAGAAGCAATTCCTTTTTGGACTGCCTCACACAAGTACATATAAACATATTTACAGAGTATTGGCCAGTCAGTCAGACTCGACTATGCCTGCTCGACCTGCTCAAGCTTCTGCAGCTTGCCGTGAGACACGTTGTTGATTGAGGCAATTAATTATTGAATGGTGCATATCATATAGAATCACAGCCAAGACACCAAACCTGGACATAAAATATTATTTACAAGCGCGAATTGTTTACTTCATTGTTTTGGGCTTGCGATCTGAGCCTGAGCTCTGCGTGGGCAGTGTGATTTTCAGCAGCATCAATAAGTCGATAACTCAAGGCCCAAGATAATGCGATGATCGCGGGCTGAGCTCACTAAAATATGATTTTTATCAGCCCAAAGCGAAGGCTGCAAAAACCAAAAACCAAAAACCAAAAACTTGTCAAAACTGTAAAGCTGAAAAGTGCGAAAAAAAACCGTTTGGAATTATGACATTGTCTATGAGTTTGCAGTGGGTGCAGATGTCGTGAAGTCGCCAATCAATTAAAACTTCAATTCCGAATGATGTTCACAATAGAAGTAAAAAAAAAAAAAAAAACAAACGAAAATTAATTGGCACTGAACTTGATGGGCAAATGCTGAATTTAACTAGTTTTTCGAACGCTTTGACTGGCAGTTAAACTAAGGGTTTGCAGCTTAACCAATACTAGGAAGTAGCTGGGATCTGAGCATGGCTAAGCTTCTATATATCTGCACATTTTTCATACGAATTTTGATGTCTCTTCGTTGTTTTGCTAATTACAACTGATGAAATCTGAGAATATATTAAGCAACGTGTTGCCAGCACTTTCCCAGCTGCTGCACGAGGGAAACAATCAAAGTCAAGTCTCAAGATGTTGCCATGCTAGATTTGTATATATATATATATATACATATAAGGTATATATCTAACATTTGTATCTTTAGTTAATTCATATTTATGCGCTTAAAGTTCAGGGCTGACTCGAAGCTCCGTGATAAAAACTGAGCATCATTTGTCAGCTGCGATTGATAAGCTTAACTAGAAAATATAGAAATATAGAAAAAACCCCATTGTTGATTTATAGTCAAGCAATATGAATGCAAACTAAACAATCAAAAAATTATTTAAAAATAGTTAAAATTCTATGCACATACGCTTAGCAGCCGGAACTTGGCTAGAATATCAGAAAGCGTCTATCACAATCTGAGAACTGGGCTCTGTCTACACAATAAATAATTTATTTGTTTATTATTTCTCAAATTCTAGTGCCAATAAAGTCTTTTATTTAGTATTTCTCCTGGCTCTAATTATATTAAAAAATGTTTTTATTTTTTATAAGCTGCAATCAAAAATGGGTAACAAAAAGTGGTTTGGCTGCCTCGCCTTTTATGGAACATATTTGATATAAATAAATAAAAATTAATGCACAAAAATGTGCTATGATCCATGTAGCTCCAAGTTGTAAAACTTGATTTGTATAAATTATAATTCGTTTAACTAATATAAATGAGAAATTTCCAGCGCCAAGAGCAGAATGATTGGGGAACAAGTTAAAAGAGTTGAACATCTTTCAGATATATTTATTATATACAAATATATATTATTCCAGATATATGTAAGGGTCCAGCTTGAAGAGATTATATATAAAAATATATAGATTCCAGGTGAAATGGAATCAATTTGTTCGAGATACTTTTATTATTATGAGATTAAATAGAGCCAGAAGTCTTCCAAATATATATACATTATTTTATATCATATCATATTCTCTTTAAATGTATGCTCTAAGTCAAAAAGAAAAAAAAAAACAAAATTCTTTAAAAAATATTTTATTTGGTCAAGTTTCGTGTTCAGTTTAAATTGTATAAAACTCTTTCAGATATCATATTTAGTTCACCCAGTTCAAAAAGGATAAATCTCTTGCAGATATATATATATATATATATATATATATATATATATCTATGTATTCACTTAAGACTCTGCCTATTTATCAGTTTTATAACAAGTTTTCTCGTGGCATGACTAATGAATAAGCGGACATGCTAGATCGCATCTGGACCTCGTGCTGATGCTTGGCAGATATTTAATAACGTCAGTCAGTCAGTCAACTAGTCAGTCGCTGTGAATCTATGGAAGAATCGCTGTGAGAGTATGTTAATCAGTTAGTTAGTCAGTCAGCTGAGTTGAAGCTAGTTCTAGGTGGGCGCGGCTATTGATGGATAAGGTTAGACTGATCAAGTTTTACTGGTTTAGTTCGTGAGTTCAATTCAAGCAAAAAACATCCCCAACTTAAATCAAATGCGAACGAGCTGTGCGTCAGATGAACTTCTGTAACAAGTTCTCTCTGGAATCCATTTTAATGAGTTCACTTATCATCGATTATGCTCTAAATGACGGAAATTAAATAAGGCGAAGTATTTATGGGTTATAGCCGGGATTTAATTGAGTAGCTTGAAGGAAAGCTAATCTAGAAAATGCCAACTGCTGTGTTTTCCGATTTGCCAAGCCCCATATATGATCTATCGATCTAGCTATGGAGCCAATCAGCAGTAACTGCAAACGGGCACGCCTCAATGGGCATGGCTATATGATATTGTCATATTCAATTTATACGAATATAGATTTCAAATTCAAATTCAAATTTCAAAGCTCATTATACGAAATATCTAGAAAGATTTTCTTATGTACTGGACCAGTCCCCATTCCCAGCTGGCTTATCATACACTACTTTAAGGCTTTATTTGTAGAGCAGCAAAACAGGTAATTCTAGTAATATACTAGAAATACTCTAACTACTTTACTGCCACGCCCCTAATGGGCGCATCTATATCATATGTAATGCGTACTGTACTCAGATGCTTTAGATGAAAAACCAACTAAACAGATTTAGCAGATACAGCTGCTATATGTTGTACCTTGCAAGAGCTTTGGTAATTCCCGATGTGGCACGCCTGCCCAGTGGGGTAATGCCCACATGTTAACACTATAAGAGCTGTTTACAAAGGCCATAGACACAACATGGCACAAGACCTAAAGACTTTCTCGATGAGGCGCATCAATTGATACAACAGACAAATTACATGAAATACACAACAATTTGAAATAGCCGATTGAGACACATTTATGTTAGGGGCCAACATTGGAGCAAACATTTAGCTCAAGCTCAAGCGTAACAAAAGACTCAGGCAACAAACTTGATTGACTGTCCAGAGACAGAGAAAAACGAAACAGTAAAAATCTTAATTTACTTATTGACCTACCTGGCCTAACTAATGCTGAGTGTGTGAGTGAGTGAGTGTGTGTGTGTATGTATGTATGTGTGTATGTATGTGTGTATGTGTATGTGTGTGTGGCTGGCTGTAAGTGTGTTATGTGTCAACCAAAAAGCTGCATTAAAACAGCAACAGCAGCCGAATGATACAGCCAGTAAGAGTAGCTTAGTCAATAATGCACGACTAGTAGATACTCTGTCCTTCTGGGTTTTTTGCATGCACACATACACACCCACACACACACGAAATGAAGGGGCTTACAGAGAGGCATAGAGAGATAAACTTGACTAGATTGACTCATAACTGTTGAGCTTGTTTTAGTATATATATTATAGCTTAGGGGCTTAGCCACGATATCTGCCAGCTGTTACATACGCGCACCTAAAACCAGTATACCCTGCGCTTTCCAAGTTCGCGGGGTATAGCAGTCAGAGCTTCAGAGTAAAGCAGATAAAGACACAAAATACATGCATACAGATATATATATATATATATATGTATATTTATATATATTTATATACATGTTTATAGACCATTTAAGCCAATGTCAATCAATCAGCGACAATGGCAGCCAAATTGGCAAAGAGCCACCCAAGGGGCTGCCACATCAGTTTCATCTTCGCTTCTACTGTTTCTAACATTCTTTTTTTTTTGCTTTGGTGAATTGCAGGCAAATTGCATGTCTTGTTGCATTTGCCACTATCATGCACAGTCTCATGCACACCCACACTGACACACACATGTACATACAACACACGTTAGTAGCAACCACAAAGCAACAAACCACAACAAAAATTTCCCCCTTCTCTGCAGATGTTCGGCAATCGCCGTTTGCATTAGAATTGCAGCCGCCATTGGCGGAGGCCGCTGTTGACGATGCTTTCAATGCTGGCAGCGAGCGGGCCATTGATAGCTACGGCAATCCGATTGATGCACTGCGTCCGATCGATACGCCCGATGGGCGCAAGGTGGTCAGCGCGCAGGGTCTGCAGTTTGAGATACCCAACTATGCCTCGGGCATAACTGAAATACGAAAGCCATCCGATGACCTGCTGCCACCGCATATTGGTGAGTTCACAACAACAACAGCAACAGCAACAACAAAAGCAACAGCAGCGACAGCAACAGCAGCAACGGCAACAGCAAAGGGAAGCGCCAGTGGTGCAACCACACGAGCAACAGCCGCAGCAGCCAGAGCAACAACTGCATCCACATCACGCAATAGCCTAACTCAAAAGCGACACACTCAAGCAGCATTAGCTAATTCTAGTAGCATAAGTATCACAGCCACGCCCACGCCCACGCCCTCACCCACACCCACACCCACACCCACTCGCACGCCCACATACGTAGCACCACTAACAATACCCAAGTCCGACTTTGACGCGTCCCATGCCAAGCGCGTCTCATCTGGCCAGCAATATAAGATTACAGCAGCGAGTGCCAAGCACGCACCACCCACATTTACCCTGCTCACGCTCAACCCACAATTTGTGCCCCGACCCATTCAGGCAGCCCGACCTAGACCCAAAGCAAACAATGATAGCCTTGCCAACGCATACTCAACTCCAACTCCAACTCCTTCCCAATTAGATGCCATAGCCGTGGCGCTGCCCACTACGGACATCGATAGCACCGACAGCACCTCATTAGCACCAGCACCAGCACCAGCCACATCACTAACACCACCCAAGCATGAATCATCAACAACCACTGCGGATGTCTCTGTGGAAGTGGAGCAGGCGCAGCTCATACCCTTGACCCAGCAGCCGGAGGAGAGTGCTCAGGCGCCGCAGCAGACGAGCGGCATCTTGCCCGACTACCTGCTGGAGCTGCAGCAGCAGGATGCCAATATTGGCGGACCTGTGCCCTGGACACCGGCACCGAATGGTGCGCCACTCAGTGTGATTGCCTGGGATCTGCTGCCACCGCTGGAAACTGTGCCAGCCGCTGAGCCACAGATCATCACCGAGCAGCAGCCCACGAAGCATGTGCTTGGTGTGGAGCAGCCCGGCAGCCACAACATACGCGTGAGCCTAAGCAGCGGCCAGGGCTTGTCTCCACAGGCGCCTGCACCACTGACGCCAGGCCAAGTGGCTGTGGTCACCGTCCCAGCGCACGATGGACCCGAGGGCCACGGCACGAATGCCCATGTGGGCACCACAACACCACGCAACGGCTCCAGAATTCCCATTCGTAATCGTGGCACAGTTCATTATAGCACAACCTCAGCCACACAGCGGCCACGCACCACCATCACCACCACCACTACCACACCACCACCAACAACAACCACAACAACCCGAAAAGTGACCACAACAAAGGCAACAACAACCACCACGAGTACAACCACACCAGCAACCACCACGACACGCAGCCCCACACGCACCACAACTCCACTGGATCCCTCCACCTTCTATAAGCTGGACAATGAGGAGGCCTACGCCTACACCCTGCCGCCCTGGCTGCAGGAGGTAACCGATCCGGACCTGGATGTAGCCGTCACCTTCATAGTGCCCACAGACAATGATCAGTACAACCACACAGTGGCTGAGGACTTGGAGCCACCGTTTGAGCCGTTTGTGGACCTGAGCAACATTCAGCTGACGCCGCCGCCACTGAGCAGCAGCACCACCACCAGCACCACCACCACCACCAAACCCACCACAACAACAACGAGAAAACCAACGACGACTACGAGACGTCCGTCGAGCACAACAACACAAACAGCACCACCAACAGCAGCGCGCACCACTCAAGCACCCATTTTCAAAGCACAAACCACTCAATGGCCGCATGCCAAAAACCAATTGATAACAACAACCACAACAACATCCACAGCTCCAGCTCCAGCTGCAGCGAGTTCGTCCACGTCCGAGGCGGCGCCTGTTGAGCCCAATCCATTTGACTCGTCCACATTGCCGCCCTGGCTGCAGGACTTCGACTACCCTGATGTGGGTCCCGGAGTGCCCTACAATCCGGACAACTTCAAGGACGTGCCGGAGACCAAGCCGGGAGGTATTAAACCTAATGATTTTCAGCCTCATGGCTTTGCCAGTAGCGCAATTAGATCTCAGTCGAGCGAAGCAACAAGCACAACAGCAGCAGCAGCAACATCCACAACAACAACCACAACAACGACAACAACAACCACCTCAGTGCCAACAACAAACGTTTACACTGCTTTCCCATCCAAAGTCACGCTTACGCTTTCAACCCCCAGCAGCAGCGATGGCCATGAGTTGAACACTGTGGAGCCGCCGCTGGTGCTGATACCGCCAGTTGCTAACAGCGACGACTCATCTACATTTAGCAGTCCTCCCTCGACTGGCCTCACACACGATTCCACTACAAACTCATTCACGCATTTTCCAGCACGCTTCGATGCGCCACCTGTTGGCCAGACAACGGAAACAAAAACCGCCGCCAGCGCCGCTGCAGCCGCTGCTGAGGAGCAGTTCCCGCCGTTCAATGGCAATGCCGGCGATAGCCAGAAAGTGGAGTACACCAAGAGCGATGGAGGCAAGGTCATAAGCACGCCCATCAATGCCCAGCGCCAGGGTAAGTCTTTGCCTGGACTTGAGCAAGCGTAAAACAAGCTGAACTGAAATTTTTTTTGACAGAACCAGCAGCTAGCAGCCCCACGGCGCCGCCCGCTAGCAATACGGGCAAATACACGGGTGGCTTCGGTGCCCCGCCGGGTCTATTGCGTCCGCATAGCACCGCCAAGCCGGACATCTATGTGGCTGGCAACAATCATGAGTTCAGCACCAGCGTCAAGGCCAACAGGGTGCGTCCAGGCGCAGCAGCCACAGCCGCTGCCGGCAATGGTGGTCGCTACACGGGCGGCTTCGGTGCGCCCAGCGGCGTGCTTAGTCCCCAGAATGCGCCCAGACCCTTCCAGCATTCCCAGCAGCCCAGTGCACCGTCAAGCCATCACGCCGCCTCAAGCCATCAGCAGAACCGCTTCGGCGGACCGCCTGGCATCCTCGTGCCCTTCGACAACGTGCAGCGCACGGCCACCAACTAGGCGCCCTTGGGGGCGTGGCCTGGTGTAGTGCAACTACTGCAAGTACTTTAAATTATTTATAAAGCATGTATGTAAGTTCGAAGGTCTTGAAACGAACTCGATCCAAACGTCATTAAAGAAAACAACAAAACCGTACGAATTTTGTGTCGAACAAAAGTGGACAAAAATATACATAACTGTATATGTATACGTATATCTATATGCATATGTATATGTATGTACAAATCATGTTCAATGTTATTTACATAATAAAATTTAGAAAGATAAAAAAAGAATTTTGCGTGTGCCTTGTGCGAAATTATTGTTTCTTTCTTTTGGTTTTTCTAGCAAAGAATTTGGACTAAGCAACGTTGAAAAGGTCAACGAAAATGTTAAGTATATCATCTTATTTATATGATATCGGTAAGGCTTAGCTAAAACAGCAATCACAATATCCATATCAGATCAGATCAGTTAAAATCAGATCAGATCAGATTCTCAGCTATCGAGGCAGACTTGAATGTAATTTTGAATATTTTTGCTTGAGGAATGGAAGCTAACTACATTTATAATATAATTAAATTGCAATTAAGTTAATTATTGGCAACTTGCACTAAATAAGATTTTGTTCACTATTTCATTTAATGAACAATAGGCTTATTTTTGTAGATTATTACTATTTAATTTGCTTTGTAACACATTACACAATTGCTCATCAGAAAGACATTAGGATTATTAACTCAAATAGGCGCAGTCAATTTTATTGAATTTTTCACGCACAGAATTACATAAAAAATGATCGAGCGCAACTGAATTGATTTAGTCACATGTGCGTGACTTTTATTTTTAAATTAATGAAACTCTGATTTATATCGTTTATGATGTATCTTTTTTTACTTTTTTAAGCTGTTAGATAAAATTATTGGAGATTTTAATGCGATAGTGCAGTTGATTTTTTTCTTTTAGCAATATTTGAAATATTAAAAACGAACGCTAGATGGCTCTAGGAAAGCTTTCTGGACGTCTGCACTTACCGAAAGCTTTTGTTAGGTTTAAAGCACCAAACTTACTAATGCGTGATAACATTTATATTTACATTTTAAATATATCTAAAAAATGCTAAAACCATTGATATAAAACAAATTTTATACAGTTCAAAACATAACAAAAAAATCAAAATAATAACCCTCATAATATTTATGCTATAGCTGTATTAAACCATGTATTCATGTCAATAACGCAAAGCTTTTTGATTGAGCAGAAGCTTAAACAGTTTTTAAATAAAAAACAATTAATTGCGCGCTTTTGGTTCACATGTGTGTGTATGCTCGAAGAGTTGCTATTCAAATATATTACAGTCACGTGAAGTTGGTGGTGTACAGATGCGCGTGCGTCACATAGCATTCAGCTTTCAAATGTACTCGTTTTGCTCATACTTGCGTTGTGGGGTGGGCGTGACGTAAACGTCCTTCATTTGACTTTGAACTCAGCCAAACGCGAACGCTCTATCTGAAGACTATTTAGTCAGAGCAGTTGCAGTTGATTCCTGACGGGTGAACTGAGCGAAAGTAAAAGTGTGATCCAGGAAAAGTAAAAAAAAAAAAGAAAAAATTAATCATGTCGAAGATTGGTATTAATGGATTTGGCCGCATTGGTCGTCTGGTGCTCCGTGCCGCCGTCGACAAAGGTGCCAGCGTCGTGGCCGTAAGTAAAGCAGCTGCAATGTGATTTCGAAGAAAATGTAAAAATTGCGTGGATATGTGTAATTTGCAGGTTAACGATCCCTTCATCGATGTGAACTACATGGTCTACTTGTTCAAGTTCGATTCTACCCACGGCCGTTTCAAGGGCACCGTTTCCGCTGAGGGCGGCTTCCTGGTCGTCAATGGCCAGAAGATCACCGTGTTCAGCGAACGCGACCCCGCTAACATCAACTGGGCCAGCGCTGGCGCTGAGTACGTGGTTGAGTCTACCGGTGTCTTCACCACCACCGAGAAGGCCTCCACTCACTTGAAGGGCGGTGCCAAGAAGGTTGTCATTTCGGCACCATCCGCTGATGCGCCCATGTTCGTGTGCGGCGTGAACTTGGATGCGTACAGCCCCGACATGAAGGTCGTGTCGAACGCTTCTTGCACCACCAACTGCTTGGCCCCATTGGCTAAGGTTATCAACGATAACTTCGAGATTGTGGAGGGTCTGATGACCACTGTGCATGCCACCACAGCCACCCAGAAGACCGTCGATGGCCCCTCCGGCAAGTTGTGGCGTGATGGCCGTGGTGCTGCCCAAAACATCATTCCAGCATCCACTGGTGCCGCCAAGGCCGTCGGCAAAGTCATTCCAGCTCTGAATGGAAAACTGACTGGCATGGCTTTCCGTGTGCCCACACCAAATGTGTCCGTTGTCGATTTGACTGTCCGCTTGGGCAAGGGCGCCAGCTACGATGAGATTAAGGCCAAGGTACAAGAGGCTGCCAACGGTCCATTGAAGGGCATTCTGGGCTACACCGATGAGGAGGTTGTCTCCACTGACTTCCTTAGCGATACTCACTCGTCTGTGTTCGACGCCAAGGCCGGCATCTCGCTCAACGACAAGTTCGTGAAGCTGATTTCCTGGTACGACAACGAGTTCGGCTACTCCAACCGTGTCATTGACTTGATCAAGTACATGCAGAGCAAGGATTAAATCAACAATAGCAGATTCAGCTAAAACAATGTTAACTTCTCAATACGCACAAACAGGAGGTGTAGCATTTACATAACTATAGATGAGAAGGCTCCGATATTCGCCCACATAAACACACAGCTACCCAATAAATACACATACAAATACACACACACACGCATATAAGCTTATTGTGACATATGTATGTACATACGTACGTATGTATTTACGTATGTTTTGTATTGTATTTCCAACAGATCTTCTCTCTCCTGTTTGATGAACCGCGCAAATACAGTTACATCAATTATATAACCTAATCTCGTTACAAATAAATAAAAATAAAAACAAAACCCAAATATTACAGCACTTTCATTTCATGTTATGAAATTGACTGAGGTCAGAGTTCTATTGATTTTTCACTCAGCCGAAAGTTGAGGAAGCAGAGATCTCTATTAGCTGAATTGGCTTGGCAACTATCAAACGCAGAAGTGAAATAAATGCATAATAATGTGTGCATACATACATATATATATATACATAAAAAAGAACATAGAAGACAACTTGAATATATAAAAATACATATAAATATATGTATTTGTATATATTGATATGTATATGTATATATGCACATATTTAAGCTTGTTAGTATATATATATATACATATATAAATATATGTATGCATACGGACAAAAGCTAGCTGCTTCGAAACTGCCGGCCAACGAGCATAAATGCCCTTGACATTGAACTTCACAAAATGACTGTTTAGATATGATAAGAATACATGTATTTTTTTTAAATTATATAGCTACATTCAATTAGCGTGCATTATATTAAAAAAAATATGCTAAGAAACGATTTTGGATGTATGCCTGTTATACATTCTGTTATATGTGCAATGTTAATGTGGCATAACAGTGCCATTTTGAGTATAATGTTATCCTAAAGCTAACTTGCAATAGCTACAGATATTAACGAAATGATGAATACAAATATATATATATATATGTATACGGATGTATAAATATAAAAATGATTGAACAGATGAAACATATTCCTAGTAAACCTAAGCCCATTTCATCATTATTATTATTTTTACAACATATTACACATATATATTTAAACTTGCATACCTCATTATTATAATAATATATGTTTAGCTTTAAACATTTCATAATTCTAATAATTAATGCTAATTTGTATCACAATCTTATCAGTTTTTAACTAAACTATAATTCTCATACTAAACAATTTGTTCTGAACTGAGATATACTAATTATTATTATTACTAATGACGACTTATTTAAGGATGATTACCAGAATGATTTGCATAAAGACTATTGGGATTATTGGGAGGAGGAAGAGGAGGTGGTGGAGGAGGTGGAGGAGGAGGAGAGGGAGGAGGAGGAGGAGGAGGAGGAGGAGGAGGAGGAGGAGGAGGAGGAGGAGGAGGAGGAGGAGGAGGAGGAGGAGGAGGAGGAGGAGGAGGAGGAGGAGGAGGAGGAGGAGGAGGAGGAGGAGGAGGAGGAGGAGGAGGAGGAGGAGGAGGAGGAGGAGGAGGAGGAGGAGGAGGAGGAGGAGGAGGAGGAGGAGGAGGAGGAGGAGGAGGAGGAGGAGGAGAAGAAAGGGGGAGGCTGAGGCGAAGGAGGCATAGACAGCCATAGAGAGTCATCCATATTAGTTCTGAGTCCTGAGTTATGCAAAGCAAAGCCTTGACTTAAACAGTTACAATTGTGCATTTGATTTTCAGCTAGTATATATATATATAAGCCATGTTCAACAGGTACCCCCAATATTTTTAAGGACAATCTGATTGCATGCCGAGCGAGCTGCACCCACAACAATCAAGCAATTGAAACGATTAGAACGGTGCTCCCTTTAGAAACGCCTCAATTTGTCAACAGAATTGGAAATGTCGTAAATACAAATAAACATGTATTAAGCTCTAACCCACATACAATATTTTCCATTACAGACGAGAAGCAGCGGAGACATCGAGTGGAAGGCAGACAGCGCCGATTCAGACTCTCAACTTGAACATATGCAAATATCATAATTCTTCCATCATGTCTGCAACGTCGTAAAGCGAATAAGCGGCGGATGTCAGGTCGGCACAAGACACAAGGCTTCGATAGGCCACAAATATGACTTGGCTCTGTCCTGACGTAGCCGGGCCTGGGCTGGGCTGGGCTGGTGGCGCATGTAAGGCAACACTGCAGCCGATTGCTTATGAGGGCAACCAAAACAAAAATTGTTTCGGCATGCCGCGAAGGTTGCTGCCACAAGCAAATGAGTGGGGAACACGCAACGTTTGCATTTGGTTGTATTGGGCGAGAGTTGGGGGCGGAGCCGGGGGGAACTATGTCTCAGACATCAAACTTATTTATTTACTCTAAAAACAATACAAGAAAATTAATAGCAATTTGCATAGTTTCATAAATATGTTGCAATAAATGTTCCTAACGAGTGAACGCTATTCAGGTACAATAAATGGGAATACCTTTTCGGATTAATAAGGCCTCACCTGGCAGCATATTGATTGACCCAAGCGTGTTGCCTGTCTGGGTCGCCCTATCAGCTGCCATTTAATTGACTTTGTCTGTGGCTTCAGCAGAAAGCCATTTAAGCCATTTCCTTGTTGCCAAAGTGCGTGCCGTCAATTAAAGTTTGTTAGCGAAACATTCATTGTCTTTAATTAAGTACTGGCCTGGGGGTTACAAGGCGGTGCACCTTGCATAAGGATTGGCTGGAGTTATTAATTTCTAGTGAAGGCAGCATAAAGTTGTTTTTTCTTCTTTGTTATGAAAACATGAAAGTAAATTGTTGAGATATTAAAGCGAGTTTATTGAAGTTTATTGGAACTTGTCAGCACATGCAAGCCACGTTACAAAAGCCACAACAACCGACAGAAACAACAACAACAACGACAAGAAAAGAACAACACAGCAGAACCTCTAGAGACGGCAGCCTACAAAAATGTGAAAGAAGAGTTAACAGTTTAGTTTGAAATTGACGGTTGAGGCGAGCAGACGGTCGAAGAATTATTATTTTTTTTTTTTTTCTTATCTATATATACATTACATATATGATAACAAATATATATTTATACATCAGTGCATATAGTTAAATACAACTTGAAGTTAAAGCAAATTTAATATTAATTTAATTTGTGAAAAAATTAAAAAAAAGAAAACTTCCATAAATTGTGCTTTAAAATCTTATATAAATAAAAAACAAAACAAAAAATACCTTTAAAAGTTGAAGACCTTGCAACAATTTCGATTTTTATGCATATATCTCAATTTTAAGAAATTTTAAAAAATGCCGCGAAAAAAGCAAAAAGTGGATACACTTGAGGAAATTGAAACGACCATTAAATTGCTCTGTGATCAGTCCAATAATCATATGAAAGTGCGCGAATATTATAAAGCACTAAAAGGCTATAATAAAGTAAGTAGAAATCAAATTTTTCGATTTGCTCAAGTTTTCAAATGCAACGGCTATAAAGTGAAACGAACTATAGATGGCGCTAAGAGCTTTTTTGGCTAGCAACGTTAGGGTGCGCTGCAAACTGTTGCTGTGGGACATTTGTGAGCTTTGTGCTTTGTGAGTGTCAGTTGGGAAATTTCCTTAAAAGAATTTGTCTAAACAGGATGTACCAGCGGCGTAATACTCTTTATAAATTGAATTTGCAAATGTGAAAATGCTAAGTTGAAGAATGTTGATGCTATTGGACATTTGCCTTGTTATATTTGAAATATATTGAGCCTCAGATGATGATATTTTTGGAACTCTGAGTTGATAAATATATATATACCTACATACTATCAGCATTTGTGGGTATCAAAAATAATTCAATGTCATCAATATTAGAACCCATTCCACGCCACGTGCCACTTCTTGTATTTGTTTTGTTATCGATTGCTAGCCCATTTCTGGCGGACCTCAGTTTCCTGGCAACTGGGCAAATGGCAAATCAATTACCGTTTGTTTGGAGCTGTCAGGAAAGGTGTGAGTTTTTCACACTTGCAGTGTAGTTCGAGAGCTGCTCAAGTTCGCTGTCATCATGTCGACTAGTGTGCTGAACACCATTTTGGCTGTGGACAAGGAGCAGGAGCTGCTGCAGAGCTTCATACGCACTGGCGCCAATGCGGACGAGGAGGCATTGGAGGAGTCAAACAAGAGGTCAAAGGGTCGCAGTCGTGCCTCCCACAAGCTGCCCATTTGGGAAAGACGCGACTCGTATGGCGGCGGCGGCGGCGGTGGCGGCAAATCCTCAACAGATCGCGCTGCTCGCAGAACTAGCAAGCATCCGGACGATTTGGATGCTGGCGGCTCAAAGCGAGGCAATCGCATCGAGGCGGAACTGCGTGCGGCACGCAAACGCATCGAGGAGCAAATGCTGAAGAAAAAGAAGCCCAAGGAGAATTTCGTCGACTTCTACACGGACAAGGATCGTGCCGCGGCTGTCAGTGCCGGCGCCTTCGACATTAAGCAAAGTCTGCAGATCAAACAGAAGCAAGATCGCAACGAGGCGCTGCTAATACCCGACGAGGCCGACATCAGTTCGATAATTGCGCTCGGCTTGAAGGAGATCAAAAATGCGAATCCCGAAAATGCAATACATTTCTTTTGCAAGGTCACAACTCCACAAAGCACCTAGACAGATATATAGATTGTTTTAGATAAATATGAAAAAAGTCAAATAATATTAACTTCTATCAATTTGCAGGCTCTGGAGCTAAACAGCACGGACATCAATGCTCTAATTTCGCGCAGCAAATGCTACTTGCTGCTGGGCGAGGCATCGAAGGCGCTGCAGGATGCCGAAACGGCGCTAGCTGAGGACAAGAACAACATACGCGCCATATACCAAAAGGCCGAGTCGCTCTACTATCTGGGCCAGTTCGAGCAGAGTCTGATGTTCTTCCATCGCGGACTGCGCGCTCGACCAGAGCTGGCGCTGTTTCGCCTGGGCGTGCAGAAGACTCAGGAGGCCATTGAGAATACCATTGGCACCAAGACGCGCTCCAATCAGCCGCTGGCCACGGCCAAGAGTGGCATATCGCGCAAATCGGGCGATAATACGCCCAAGGCACAGGCACAGCCGCAGCTCGTGCGCCAGAAGGCCACAAAGGCGGACCTGGAACGGCGCAACGCGCGCAAACTGCTGGGCGAGCTGTGCGTGGACAAGGAGTATCTGGAGAAGCTGCTGCTGCATCCGGATCTGATGCGCGCCGACACCAACACTGAGAACATATCTGTTTTGGCCAAAGAGGCGGTTTGCTTTCTCAACAAACGTCAGGAGTTCTGGCGCCAACAAAGACCCTGCACAGCTCTACCAAATCACAAGAGTCTGCCCAATGAAGCAATTCCCAAATGGTTCTAAGGCTTATAGAGGCTATTAAGTAAACAGTAAACAATGAGCCCTAAGCAACCCAAGATCTTTGCCAGCTCTACCAAATCACAAGCTTTTATCCAATGATAGCTTAAATTATAAAATACATAACTGATTAAGTGTTAAGTTTTTTGTTTAAACAGTCAATAAAGTATATACAGTTCCCTTTAAACAATTGAATTTGTTGCATATATGTGTATATATCATATTTATTGATTTACTTTTCGCTTGGATGATTAAACATTTATACAATTTGCACATTTTGTGTAACATTAACATTTAAATATAGCATTTGCAATTTCTTTGATATTGTTTTCGTATATGTTGTGTGTGTGTGTGTGTGTGTGGTTTTTGCCTTTATCCAACTAAAGTCTAATGCAATAAATATGTTCTGGTTGTACAGCTCAACTCATTGTAGGTATCAACATATTAGTAAGTTTTATGTTTATTATTATTATATTTATTATTTTTTTAGTTTGCTCTTCTTGCGACAAAGTTTGATAACAGAATTTAGGTATTTTGTTAGAGCATTGCGTGGTTAAAGCTGTAACTGCAACTAGCAAAAGTATTATTAAGTTGTTCTTCTTTGTTGTTTGCTCTTTGTTAATACTTTTGGCTACTACATTGTTTTATTTCATAATTTGACTAGTACGGCTATATACGTTTAAACATAGTTTAAATTTAATTTAATACTTTATTATATTTATATGTTTTAGTTGTTCATTTTGCTTGCTGTGGGCAACATAAATACGTATCTAATTAATTATTTGGTGCTTTAGTGAGTACGTTCGGCCAGTGTAGGTTAAATAATCAAGCCCTTGTTCAACAAAAAAGGGTAAACATTTAACATTTTCAATTCAAATGCAACGAACGAAACTAATTTTGATTTATAATCTTCTCTATATGCCTCATCTACGCATATAACACCAATTTAACTGTCATCAAATTCCCATTTCACTTTCAATTCATGCCTGGAATCGCCAACGTGTATATAGATGATATCTACAATACAGTTGGCAAAGTATATATATTTGTAACATATCTTTTTATAGTTAGTTATGCGACTTCCAACGATAAATACAACAACTCGGAATGTAATTAGTAAACTGCCAATATATTAAATATTCATTGCTGCACAAAAATCTGCAAGTAGAGTAAAACAAAATAAAATTAATAGTGCTTATAAGTAAATAAGGCAATACATAAATTATTAAATTTATTATTTTATACACATTTCTCAATGCTTTTCTTAGCAAACCAATTTTTTTGACTATTTCAAATTTGCAGCTAACGTTAAATAAGCGTTTTGCTTCAAAAAACTCAGCCTCCCATATGGTCTAGTGGCTAGGATATCTGGCTTTCACCCAGAAGGCCCGGGTTCGATTCCCGGTATGGGAAGTACATTTTTTATTTTTTTTTTATCTTTTAATTATTTTTTAAAATGTATGAGAGCAACATAATATACAAATGTATGTATTTAGTGCATATAAACATTATGCACTTATAAAAAATTGGTATACATAAGTATTTTTTATACACACGCATATTAAGTACTCACATGGTTGTATATTTAGTACATACACGGGTGTAAATTTAGTACACACATGAGTGTTAATTTAGTACACACAAGGGTGTTCATTTACTACGCTTGCATTTATATTTGGTACAAGCACATATTTTTTTATACATATGTATACATACATATATGCATGCATATATAGATTGATACTCATTTAACATTTTTAACTATTTATTTTTGCATATTTAGATACCTAATATGGAATATAAGCTCCCATTCTTAATTAACCTTCGCTCTTAACCCGTCGTTGCCAGTCATTGGACCGTTGACGATTATGATGCAATCGTTAGCAATACAAAACAAGCTGGAAACATGTTTTACTCACTCTGTGACATCCCGTTTAGTTATTTGTGGGGCGTGTTGGCAGCGGTGGCGCATTTCCGCTACGATTTGGTATTGGTGGTGGTCCACGGCCGCGATTGGGCAGCGGTGGCGGCGGACCCAGTGGAGCAGCGCCTGTGGGCAGGGGCGGCTGTCGACGTGGACTATCGACGGTACACATAACTGGCGGCGGTGCCGATGGTGGCGGATGGCGTGGTGCCGGCACATCATCCTGTATCTCCTCATAGATATTGCTAGCTGTTTCATAGGCGGTATCTGGCGGCAAAGATTGCTCCAGCGAAGCTTGTTTGGATTGCCGCGTGGGTGTTGAGACGGGCGTTGACTGTTTGCTCTGCATTTGGCGAGGTGGCGTGGGTGGGCCGGAGGGCAGAGCAACCGTGGGCGAAGCCTTGCCAGAGGAGGAGCTTGATGAGCTCACGGATGTGGCATGCAACGGCGAACCCAACTCCGTGGGTGACTGAGACTTGGATGAAGGCGTGGTATCACCCACCATATTGGGTGGCCGCGGTGGCGCAACCTGCACAGGCTGCAATGGCACCTGCATCGGCTGTGGCGGCATCGGGGGCTTATTCGGCTTGGGCACAATGCTGATGACACCCGCGTGCGGCAAGTGGCGAGGCGAGTTCTTTGGCGACATAGGCATAGGCGGACGTGCTGGCGCCGGACGAGTTGGAGGCTGTTTGGGTCGCTGTGGCACTTCTGGCGTCAACTGCAGCAGCTGTGCCTGCTCCGCAGGATTGGAGCACAACGGAAGGGTATTGGAGGTACACAGCTCGATCTCATTGTCCACCTGCTGCGGCCAGTCAGGCGTCTTCAGCTCGAAGACCAGCTCCAAGCCGCAGACCTGTGTGCTACGCTTGGCGGCTGCAGTGAGTGCCGATTCACCGTTGCGGAACGTCACCCACATGGTGTCCTCCACATAGCGAACCAGCGTCACTTCGCCCATTTTGGAGAGCTCGGCTATGAGAGCTGCCATCACATGCTCATCATAAATAGTGGGTCCATCGTCGTCCGCATCCGTCGACTGCTCATGCACATGCACCACAATGGTTGAGTCAGGTGGACCCAGATCCCGAATGACCTGATCGAAGACAGCACGTCGGCGCTGCTGATCGACTTCCATGATCTCAGCATCGATGATGGCGATGACAGGCCGATGATCGCTCTGCTTGAGCTCTGAGCGTCCATAGTGTATAAGCTTGCCAGGATTCCATGCAGCTGTGCCGACGCCCCCAAAGTCGGTCTCGGCCAATGCTTTACGTCGACGCCAGAGCACGCGATCTGTCCAGGCCGGCGCACGCTGCTTTTCCGAAGTGTCATAGTCATCGCTGAACACATCGTATTTGTAGGTCGGATCGAAGGTGATCTCGCCCTCCAGAAACTCGGAGAATACATTGCCAGCATCCTGTTCCTTGCGCAGCTGATCGAACTCCAACACCGTGCTTAGCTCTCCATTCCGGACGCACTCCTTTAGCTCATCCTTGTCCATGTCAATGCGATAATTGAAATCGCCGCACCAGAATACCCAGTCATGGGATTTGAGTGTGCGGCCCATGGGAAAAGCTAATTTGCGCGTGATTTCCGCATAGTCGGCGTTGCGTTCCGCCACCTGCGATTGGCCGGCAGCAAAATGGGCGCACACAAAGCACATGGAGCTGCCGTGCAGCACGAAGCGAATCGCACAGGCGCCCTTATTGCCGGTGGCACCGCCCAGCCCAGTTTTCACACAGTCAATGGCCACGTCACGTATGTGTGGCGCATGTTCCGGCCGTATATAGATGTACAGACAGACACCCACCAGCTGCTGATAGGTGAGCAGCACGTAGTCATTGTCCCGCGAAATGGTCTTCTGCAGTTCCTCGGCCCACAGCTTGGCATTGTCTGTGCTGGCTGCCATTATGTTCGATGCGTTTAGGTCAACAATTTCCTCGAAGCCAATTGCATAAATGTCCACTGGATGGTCAGCGTGTTCCGACGGATTGTTGACATCCACCAGCGCCTTGGAGCGTGCCAAGGCGTGGCAGTCGAGCAGCCAATCGGCCAGCGAGTCCTTGAACACAATGCTCCGAAAATGCTTGCCGCCGTTCACATTGTAAGTGCCCACAGCAACGCGTGCCAAGCGTGGACGCACGTACTCCGTATAGCGCTTGCACAGCTCTCGCAGCGTTGTAGTCGGTGCGTGCAACATATTCGAGGGCAACAGAATGCGAGCTCGATCTGCCAGCTCCGAGCTGAGTGTTGAGCCCACGAGCAGAATATCGATTGCTTCCTGCCGAGCGGAAATACAGTTATAAGCCGGATTCAAAGAGAATTATGCCAACTCACCTGCTTGGAATTGTCCAAGAGATTGTTCTGTATGGTGCGTGCTGCAGATCGAGCGCCGTCCATGAGCTTGGAGCCGCCTTGAATGGCGCCTGTGCCGGCATAGATTTTGCTCACCTCGTTGCCGTTGTTGATCCACATTTGGCGAAAGATTTCCTCGAAACGTGAGATGTTCTGCTGCTTGCCGCCCATCTTTAGAGCCTCCAGCTGCAAATTGAGCGTGTCCAGGCCCAAATAAGTCTGCACACAATTGGTGCGATCCAAGCAGTCGAGGCAGTTGGTGCGCACAACGCCGAACTGTTCGCTCAGGATTTGCCCGTTGGCGGCATGAAATATGCCATAGTTGGCGCCGCAGGCGACCATGCGCTCCTTGAGCTTGGCCAGCGCCGTGAAGTTGCCGCCGCGGCACTCCTGATGATAGTCAAAGACCACGTGCGGCACATCCTTGTGCGCGGACATGCCATGATGTCGCTGAAATTCGTTGCTGAGCATTGCCTCGCCCTCCTTGCTGCCAATCAGAGAGCTGCCCAGCAGATTGACTATCGTCTGGTAGCCATAGCGCTGGCGCATCATGCTCATGTGGCGATCAAAGGCTGCGGCTGAGGTCTCAAATCCGCGCGAGAGCTTCACCTTATGTGAGCCCACCTGCACGCCTGGCTGCTCCCAGAAGAGCGGCACAGAGCCACGCGTCTGCACGTGGCTGGTGATTTCGCCATCCACATAGATAACCTGCTCCGTCTCCACAAAGTTGGCCACATAGCCCTCGTCATTGGTGCCCCGAACATTGAAACGCGTGCCAGCGCGTTCGCAGCTCAGCCGTGATATGATGGCGGCCCGCGCCTGCTTGGCGCCTATGTAAACGGTGCGCACCTCCACTGAGCCGCACATGGTCTGCAGCAGCCACGACTGGCAATCAATGCCGAAGCGCATCAAGTGAATGTGCATCATGCGGTTCCAGAAGAAGCGATTGTCCGTCTCCGCCGTCTGATGACGACGCTGGGCGCACAGCGTAATGTCAAACTTGCTGTTGGACGAGGTGGAGCCGCTGGCTGCGCCGGAGCCAGCCGCCGATGGATTCGAGTGCGCGAAATAGAACGTGCCCGAATTGAGCAGCTTGCGCACTTCGCTAATTTTATCCTCATTCAGCACCGCATTCTGCAGTGAAACGAATGTGGTTTGCGTTATGCGAAATATTTCCACATCGCCAATTTTGCCCATCGATACGCAGCCCGTGACGAGCACCAGAAAGAGCACAGTGCTCTCGCCGGCATTCAGCTGCAGTGCACCCAAACAGCCATAGGCATCGCACACCTGTTGGAGAGTGTAAATATGGATTTTGTTTGTTATAATATATATATATACACACTTAATTCTTATGAAAGAATCTCAGCAAAAGGGTAGGATTGTAGATTGGTAATAAGCAAAATCAATAATATTCCAAAGTTCATAAAGCATAGTTATTAATTCTTGATTATTGTTGAAGTTTGATAAGTAAAAACTTTTGTTCGTTTCATGTAATATATCATTCAATGATATATGTATATCAATATGAATTTATATACAAATTTTATTAGTTATATGCATTGTAAGGCTGACACCAACGGCTGGTCTTATCACTCGACGTATTTTATTGAATGCACATGAATAAAATGCCTTTGTCATCAAAAAGTGCAATTTTATGTGATACACACATATGAAACGTGATATATGTATAGCATAAAGGGTATTCCTGTACTTGGTATACATACCTTTGTGTACTGTTTGCGTATGACATTTTCCTGCTGCGTCAGAAGCGCACAGACATGAGATTCGAAGAGGATGCAGTCGGTCTTGTTGCGATGCTCCAGTAGAACGCTGTGGGGTGAGGGCGCTATTGACTTTTCCAGCACGCGTATTACCTTGGACATAGCCATCGTGCTGTTCCTGTGCCGATCAACGTTGGGGATAAACTAAAATTTCACTGGTTTGTGCCACTTCAACGTTGCTTAAGCAGCGGCCAAAGCATCTGCAAGTAAACACAGACAAACGCACACAGTCAAAGACGGAAGCACAGAATTTGTATCGTAAGATTTTTGTGTACATTAATAAAGACAAATATGCATAAAATAATTATCCAAAAGTGATGAGGCGTGCTAAAAACCAAGAGGCAAACATTAAATGTACGATAAACAAATGCAAACAGACATTGGCAAAGAATTTTTTCCAATACGCCCCCGTTACAATAGCCGCCAGCTGGTGTGCACACACATACACACGCATACATCATCACATCTATTTACATGTATCTGCCGTTGGCTGATAAAACTGTATAGATTTTTCACATTCCAAGGCAGTACATGAGCTTTTACCAACTGTTAGTCCAACACAACTTACAGTAAGACAATGCTCTGAATGTCACCTTACAGAGTAACCAACATTTTTAATAACTCGCAATGGGGCTCTGTCGATAAATAATACCTTTTTCCCCGACAATTTAATTGCAATTTAGTACTTATACTCAATCGTTCGGAATCAGTTCAGACTAATGACTCTGAACTGGAGAAATGAATAAATGAACGTATCCCTGGACTACGCTCAACTTGTTCAAGTTCGCATATGCGAACCTCTGTTAATGTTACTGTTAGCTTTCAAATAGTACTGATAAACGCTGTTACGCTTTTAAAACAAATGACGAATAGCCATCAGCTGAAAATAAGGTAAACAAAAATAGGAAGCACGTGATTATATTACGTCGAAGTGTACTTTAAACTTAACAGTGACATCAGAGTTGAAGCAATTTACCTACAAAAGTTTATAAGAATCGATATCACAGCATATCTGAACGTTTAAAGCTAATCGAAAGTCATCGATTGATTCATTCTGTGAATGCCGATCGCTAAGCCAATCTCATTTGAATGATGTTAACTGTTCGATTTTATTATTTTAAAACCTGTACTTGAGATTGTAAGTATAATTATAAAATGCATACGTCTGTAAGACATGTTCTTAGCTCGAGCAAAATGAACGTGGACTTCGTTCAACTTGTAATTTGATAAAATATTTCCATTTGTTGGTATTGTTATTTCAATTTGTATTAGTTTCGACTGCTATCTAAGTCTCAACGATTTTGTTTGTCCAAATCACAAATCCCATTTACTTTTTTATAGATAAGAAGCAAGGCACGCAGTTTTTAGTACATGATGAGTTCGTTAAGTGCGGAATCTTTATATATTCCTCATTTTTGATTATTATTTAAATAGTGTTTCCCTTATTAGTGGGAAATTCCTTTGTCCCTTTCAGACATGTCGTTGCCAATTAAAGCCCACAGACATTACCTTGATCACTTCGTCACATGTGATAGCTGTTAATTAACGAGCCGGTGAATAACGAGCCATCAAAAAATGTTTGAGTCCAGCCACAAAACATAAATCGAATGATCCGCTCAACACACATGACTCATTATTATAATGAATGTGCGTTATCATTAAAAAGTAAATAAATTTATATATATATATATATATATATATATATATATTCATATATATATATATGTATAAATATAATGCTACATAAGCACCGTCTTGAATGAAAATAATATCTCTAGCGCTACGTAATGTGAGTAAAAAAAATATATATATAAATAATATATATTTATATATACATTTGCTTTTTATGTCGGTCACTTTTCATTGGTTGTTTATTTAATTCACTAATGTTAAGGCTAGGTTACAAATATTTTTAGAAAATACTTATTCTTTATGCTTGTGTTAACTTTTCTTAATTTTGTATTATTTTTGTTAAGGACATCAAACATATATAGTTCCAAAAATCATAATAAAAATATTTTCGTTTGAACACACGGCAATAACGCATTTTTTATTTATTTAAGAACTACAAAAATTAAATAAAAATAACAAAATTATATCCACATATATATATATATGGTTATACGTATATATATTTATATATCTATTGCATAACTCCTTAATTAATTGTATTTTAAACTAAATTGATTTTTTAGTATTTGGTTTTACAAAAACCTTCAGTTTATCATTGATCTTAGTTTGTAAGTAATTGCGCTCGATTATTGATACATCATATATATTGTATATATTTATGTGTGTGTCTATATGTATGTATATCATATATAGAACTTAATTATGTGTGCTAAATTTCGGAGCTCTTCCAAACCTTCTCTCATATCAGACCAATACAATTTCAACGTTTTTATTGATAAGAAATTAAAGCATTTAGATATTAAATTAGAGACATACATATACGTAGTTTATATGTATGATCACAAAATGTGGAAATCTAAGTTTCCAGGTTCACGAGAAATAGTTTACAAGTAGAGCCGTACAGGGAATTGCCGACAATGTTTATGTGGCGCCTCGTGACCATTGATAAAAATAATAAATAAAATAATACATGCCCCCATCCAATGCCGTACTCAGTCTGTGGGCATGTAATCCATCTGCATGTGCACACATACTAACGTAGGTTCCGCTATGAATCTCTTATTTCAATAGCTCGCCTCTCTCTCTCATTCTCATTGTCACTCACGGTCCCAGTCCCATTCTGTATGCTTTGCTACTGATATGGGTCTCTAATCTGTTTATACGTTCAATTTATAAATATGTTCTCGAATCGCTGTTTCTGTTGCTGTTGCTGAGCTCGTTTCTGTTTGTTTGTTATTTTATTGTATGCACGCTCTCATATGGGCAATACTTACTGAAGATCGAGATAAGCTCCAAGCCTATCTATCGGTATAGCAAAAATATTCTCGATTCGCAAAGAATATTGTGATGCTACTTGCTGACTCCGGCCAGATCTAGATCTGGAATATTAAGGGCCTATTGAGCTATACCTGAAAATAGGTGTACGTGTACCCTGCGATCGATTTTTAAAGCCCTATAACAACTGCTTTGGAACCGCCCACTTTCAGTTTGCATTTTCTAATGCGCGATAAGAAATACGCATTGTGAGTCAGTTCCGAGTTTTTTCCCAGACATGTCAGTCGTTGTAGAACCTGCCCGATCATAGAATACTATAGACGTAGCCCATGTGACTGACTCATCAGAAGCGAAATCACTTTTATCATCAAAGAAAGAAATGCGAATGTAAATAAAATGACAAATGATTGCAAATAAATCAAAATGAAAGGGATTAAACTCATTTATAATGTAAATTACATTTATTCGATGGCGTTTTTAGCGAAGCATATTTACAGAGCGCGAAAAGAGAAAAACTAATAGAATATAGATAGTTAGAGTTAGAGTTAAAGTAAATCAAACAAAAAATATGAATGTATTTTTGCTAGGCAAATAATAATAATAAATAGCTAATTAGATAATTACGATTATCGAATATAAAATAGCAATAACAAAATCTAACTAACCTATACAGCTCTCTCGCTCTCTCTCTCTCTCTTTCTCTGCCGGTTACTCTTTCTCTCTCTCGTTTCTCAATCTTAGACCAACTAAAGAAACTACAAAATGTACAAAACGGCACAACTTAGTATTATATATCTTACAGATCTCTATAGCATAGATGCCTAAAGATAGATGGTCAACTTAAAGTTAGGTTTGGTTCTACAAATCAACAAAATTTTGCATGTTGCTGCCGTTAAAGCTTGTTATTGTTGTCAGTTTCAGAGTGTGTGAGTCGTGTGTGTGTGAGTGTGTGGGTGTGTGTGAGAGCAAATTCCCTTCAGTTCGCATACGCTGAACTTGGCATGCCTGCCTCTCGCTCATGGTTATGCCTAGGGCGCACAGCAGCAGAAAGCTAGCAGCTCATCCACTTAACTTTAGACTTACTTAATTAAAGTTTATGTAGTGACTAAGGGGTTTTGTTTAGGCTAGTAATAATACTACTAACTTTGACTGTAGCTTCACATTGTCGCAGTCTGCCGAGTCTATAACGAAAGTACAATTACGCATATAACAAACAAATTTGAACTAGCTGCTGCTACGAGATCAGCAATCGCTGTTTGGCTGCTGCGCTCAGCGTTCCCAGTCCCGCGCCCATTGTCGTATTTGCTGATGCTGTTGTTGTTGTCGTTGTTGTCGCCAGTAACGTGGGCGCTGGCTGCAGTGGCGCTGTTAGCGAATCTGTTGCAGGTGTATGAAGCGGCAATTCGTACGCCATGCCGCCCCAGTGCAATTTGAAGGTGCGCGTCCGCCAGCGAATTGCCGGATTCCACAGTGCGTGTAGGAACAGGTAGGGCCCCGTGAGCTCCCTGAACAGCCAGCCGATGACAAACTCGAACTTGTGGAACGGCATCGAGCCGTGCTGCACTATGGACAACAGCAGCCAGTCGGACAGAAACCAGCAGAGAACGTGCACCAAGTAAAACACCAGCGGATCCCATTCGAACAGCAGGGCTGCTGACCACGCAGCCAGTGCACCCAGTATCATGCACTCCGACAGCGGCTCCAGCAGGATTGTCGTCGGCACCATAGCGACGCGCAGCTTGGCCCAGCGTATCAGGCGCGCCTAAACGAATGAAAACAAAAATATAATAAATTTTACAAGTTTAACAATTAATGTATTAAAAAAAAAACAGAAAAAGTAATTAATTGAAACATGTTAAATAAATGCTACGTGTTTAATGTCCAATGATTATAGTTGTCGCACCTGAGCTATCAGCTGAATTATAGTTAAACAGAATTAACCGATAGCGAGCTAAGAGTGGGCTTCATAAAATAATTGACAAGCTAAAATAAGTCGATTTTGGAGAGATTGAAAATTACTTTATATAATTTGAATCGATTGTTGATTGCTTATACGCAAATTAATCAGATCAACTGTTATACAAATGAGAAAGACTCCAATTGAGATAAGTCGAGGACTAAAGCACTCGCTCTTTCTCTCTCTCTCTCTCTCTCTCCCTCTCTCTTCTTGACAGACAGCAATATTTCGTTTGCATCAAGATCGTAAAAGCACAACACAATCCACTCGAAACGGACTTGTGAATATCGTAATTGTAGCGAAAGACGTTTGATACGATATAGGTGCATTTGCTGCTCTGTGAATATACGATATATGCAAGCTAGTTTTTGCTTAGATATGAATGCCGTGTAGAAAAGTGGGCCTATCACAATGTCAAATTAAGTTCTTCATTAATCAAGTTAAAAAGTAAGTGTACAATTAAGGAACTGTTTATATAGTATATATATTTTATATCTAAATTTAATGAGTATATAAAGTCTTACAGTGTGAACTTTGAAGTTTAACTTCCATATTGCCCAAAACTAAAGTGAAATTTAACTGGACTATATGTTATATTGCTTTATCTATAAATATATAAATTAGTCAGACTCTATATAAATAACTAAAATGCTTGATATAGCCTAAAAGTTCCAATAATCAAGACAAATATGTGAAAAATAGAAAAATTATAGATAAAACACATAAAAGATAATTTAAGGTTTAGATACATGTCCATAGATAACGTTGGTTAAACAAAAAAAGTTTTATTAACCTTTTTCTGATTGGAAATTGGCGCAAGAAATATATGATAAATGTTAAGTTTATATGGTCAACTGTCTAACGGAAGTGTTCTCTTTTTATGGTATTTTTGACAAGGTTTATATTGCTGTATTTTATCTTTATTATTAAAATTTCCTGAGGTTCTCTGAAACATTTTCGCACTGAACTTGAGTGGCATTTACTATTTGCAAGTGTTTTGTTATAGTTTAGTTAATTTATGGTGAATAATAGTTGGGAAACTTAGCAATAAATGCAGTCTTCACGTGCTCAAAAGTTGTTATCTTAAACTCTAGAGAATTTTGAGAAGGCATATTATATATGTTGAGATAAGAATCCGAATAACTCACCTGAAAGCTGCTTATGTCGCAGACGCCGCTATTTTGGAGTGCGGGCTGATTCGAGATGCGCATCTTCCAGCCCAGTTCCGTGACTCGTTTGGCAATGAAGAAGTCCTCGGCCAGGTAACAGCCGAAAGCGCGTAGTCCGCCCAGCTGATCGATGACCGCCTTTCGCAGCAGACACGACATGCCCGTGTGGCAGTTGATGCCCAAGACATCGGCTGACAGGTAAATCCTGGACTGCACCGTGCCAAAGAAGACCTTCTCGAAGGTGGCCGCAAAGCCGTCCCGGTCGCTGGTGAACGGCATTTGGTGAACTAGCGCATGCCGGTCGGACATGGTCTGCACCATGTCGAGAAGCGTGTCGTTCTTCATTTTAATCCCACTGTCTGAGATCATGACAAAGTCATATTTAGCTGCCATGTAGCCAGGATGGATATTGTTGATTTTGGGATTGACGCCCACATCGGAGCCACCCACAAAGAGCTGGGCGTCGATCTGGGGATACTTGTCGATCAGTTGCTCCACTAGTTTAATAGCCGGATCGTGTTTCTCCTCCACGCAAAACAATAACTCGTACAGTGGATAGTCCATGGTGAAGAATGTTTCCAAATTATGTTGCAAATTCGGATCCACGCCCATTAATGGCTTCAGTATGGAAACGCCCGGCAGCGGGGAGGATTCTGTGGGCAGCTTGCATGACTTCTTGTGCAATTTGTATTTGCCATAGCAGATCGCGATCAAATGCACGCACCATGTACCGAACCAAAAAATCATAAAAACTGCTGCGAAGCCATGCACTGCCAGTGGCAAATGTGACATTGTGTGTGTGTGCGAGTACGCGTGTGTGTTTGACTTCGCGTGTGTGTGCGTGTGTGTTTGTGGTGTTGGGTGTTGTAGGTGGTGTCTGTCCCGTGTGTGCGTAAACTAATCTGCGTGTATGTCTGTGAGTGTGTGTGTGTGTAGTGGATGGATGTCACTGCGGTTTAATTGGTATACATCTGTACGTGCGGCTGCTGTTGTTAACGCCTTTCGCCTTTGTGGGATGCAGAGTAGCAGGAAATGCTCAAATGAGTGCCGCTGCCGGACTTTATCTCGTTCCCGTATCTGCCTTTGTCGTTCACCGTAGCTGAGTCAGCATGCCCCGCACACACAGTCAACAATTGGTTGCGCTGTTGACTATTTAACTTTAACACTATGTCGTCACAGGCGTTTCATGGATTATTTTTTTTTGCTAATTGATCACTAATTTGCGCGTGATAAACATCTCGAAGTCTTTGCGTCGCGTTCCATGTCCAAATAAAAACTGCAGTGAAGAATAGGGAACGCGGAAGTGAAAATATGCCAAAAATGCACCAAGTTGCTATATGTAAAAAATACCGAAAAAAAAATCAATTTGCGCTAAATAATACCATTACGAATTTAAATTTTTTAATTAAATTATTCCCTAAAAGCGTAAAATAATGAAATTGAAAATAAAATAGTTTGCAGAAATTTAAAATACCGTAAATAAAATCAGTTTTGGAAATTAATAATAAACCTGTTAAGTTCTTGAGTATAAATTGTAGCTGAAGTTTTGCTTGAACAGCATATTTGCCACAACTTGTTGGTATGTTGGTCACACTGGATAGCGCAAAGAGACATGCATATAAATAAAACGATATATAAAATGTTCAATTTTTATCTGAAGTTATTTTAAAATTTGTAAGTAGGCTATAAATATGTATTCATTCAAATTTTGCAATGTAAATATGAAAGACTCAGAATATTAAAATTTTAGTTAAATTTGACAGAGATGGATCGCGAGGGAGAAGAGTGCATCTTAAACGATGGGGCGGCAGATCACAGAACTGTTGGCCCTCAAAGTGTTACCGAAGTGCTTAAGGCGGATTTTGATGCCAAATATAATATTGTTGATATCCATACTCCGCTTAATAATTTCTTGTCCGCTCAGTACAAACGCAGCTACGCTTACTACTCGCTACTCAATATCCTGCCCGTTGTGCTGACCAAAGTTATTGACTCACTCACAAAAGATAAGAGTGAATTGGTCGAACAATTTGGTGAGGTGTGTATTAATTTATGGCCGTTGTTCCCTAATCCTAATATACAGCGCCCACAACATTTGTGCAGAACGTGCGTGACGAACTGAAGATCATTATTGGACTTATTTCACGACTTAAGTATGAGTTACAAACGGACAAACCCTTCCAAAAGTTTACTGGCGATGGCAAGTATTAGTTGTTCTCAAATGAGTCCTATCGATTATTATATCGAACCTCACAATTGATTTTTGTATTCTCGCTCGCAGAGTCAGATCGCGAATCATGGAATAACTTTTTGGCAAATCTTCCAAACAAAGCGCGTTCATTTTATCAGGCATGCTGGATGCACACTGAATGCTATATGTACAGGAAACTCTACTCCTTCGTGGAAAACAGCATATTTCTCAAACAGTTCGATTACTTTGCGAAGATTAAGCAACATACACTAACTAGCTGCCAGGATGATATAGTCTCATTGGCTAAATACACAAGGCGCACCGAGAGTAAATTTGAAGCTTTTGATGAAATATTAAAAATTAACCTCTGGAGCACCCGAAATGACCTCTCCAAAAACGAAAATGGTCTCTCGTTTAACATGAATGTACTGGAGGATGTTGCTGTAACCGATAGCCATATTCTCGTCAATGAAGCCCCCGAAATATGGAAGTGCTTGTTGCATAAATCGAAAAAATATTGTGTCGATTTTGTGTTGGCCAATGTGGGCTATGAACTCTTCACAGACTTTATTTTGGCCGAGTATATCATCGAAAAAGGATTCGCTACCAAAATACGATTCCATGTCAAGGCGTGTCCTTGGTTCGTTACCAATGTAACCCATCGTGATTTTCATATGATGCTGGAATATCTAAGCAAACACTCTGACTACAACCTCAGTCTGGTTGGCAGAAAGTTTTTGCAATTTATGACTGAGGGTAAATTTGAATTGGCACCAGTTTCAAATTTCTGGACCGGCCCATATGAGTACCATTGGTAAGCATATAGCTGCGGCCCTGTATCTTCTACACAACTTAACTCAATGTTCATTTTAGCATGAAAACAATTGATCCGGATCTATATAAATTACTGCAACACTCAAAGTTAATCATCTTTAAAGGCGATTTGAATTATCGTAAGATTTTAAGTGATGTTTGGTGGCAACCGACACAGGATATAAAGACCTGCTCGGGCGCATTCGTACCCAGTAGTTTTTGCACAATACGCACAGTCAAGGCAGAGATAATATGTGGTCTATCGGAGGGCATATTTGAAAGACTTCAGCTGCTTGACCCACAATGGATGGTGACCGGAAATTATGGCACAATTCAATTTGTGCTAGGCTCTGGAGAATATGGCTACTAATCCCTTAAAATCTCTATATAAGTCTGTTTAAATTGTATGTAGCTCTAATAATTACATCTGGAAAGTCACTTGTTTTTTTTTAAGTGTATGGTCAGCTGTTCATCAGCTGCTCTGAAACATTGCACACATAGAGGTGTCAAATTTACATTTACTTCAGTTTCGGTAAAATGACTATTCGATTATTTTAATAACTGAATGTCAACTATTTGTTGCCATCTTCACAAAATTTGAATGTTAATGCTATCGATAGAAACTATCGAGTGTAAACCATCTCTGGCGATTCGCTTCCAAAGTAACTTTCATTCATGCTGTCTACATTTAAGGCGCCAACACAAATAAATACGTTGTAGTTTGTAGCAGTTACTTTACAACGGATTACGAGCAACTAAACAACATGGCCTTAGTAGAAGACAATGCTGACTTCGATGTTGCAAATGGAATTATTGATAGTGAAACACCCCCGCACACAGATCTAGCTGCCCAATACAAGCAGTAAGTAAACGCTATATATAGCATATCGAAATTTCCCATACGCATATGAATATATATATACATGTATAATATATACATATATATATGTATGTGCATATATGATATGCTTGTATGGAGGAGCACTGATGTAATTTGATTGCCTGACCTCTAAACGCGACCCTCTGTAGGAGCTTCGCCTATTACACGTTCCGCGTGCGTCTTCCTTCAACGCTGGCCACGATTGCCAGTTCGCTGGGGAACAAGGAAGAATTGCTGTCTACGTATGGAGCGGTAAGCTAGTGCTAGATTGCATAATTCACAAATTAACTTTATTTTTCATAGGACGCAGCTTCAGATATTGATCAAACAGCTGCAGCTGTGCTTCAGCTACGTTTGAATATTCTGAAAAATGGACCGTTAGAACCATTTACTGATACAGGTATATAAAAGCAAGGCAACTGACAAAAATTTTTATAATATAAATATATATATTCTTTTCCTATTATAATGTAATGAGCGCAAGGCTTTGTCAGTCTAGCGATAAGTTTTGAGTCGTGTCAAAAGGATGCAATCTTGCGCTAGAACTGTATATAATATGTGATAAATATATGCAGCCCAGATTTTTGTAAGCCTTAAATCATTATCTATAATCATAACTTCAACTTAACTTGAAATTCGTTTATAAGAGATGTGAAATATTCTTTAAATCTCTTTATTTACAGAGGCAGACGCTGCCACGTGGAATGCATTTCTGGAGCAATTGGGCAAGGACAAGCGCACCTACTTTAGCGCCTGCTGGCTATACGCCGAGTGCTATATGTATCGCAAAATATGGTCTACATTCAGCTTATCGCGCCTCGCTGGCTTTGATTACTTTCGCAAGCAGAAGCAAACGGCAGCACAGCTTAGCCTGGACGCGATGGTGGCTGTAGCGAATGCCACACGGCGAAATGAGCGCAATTTGGAAACGTTTCAGCAATTGTTGAAACTTAATTTGTGGGGCAATCGCTGTGATCTGTCGATTACGTCCGGCAAACAGGTGAAGCCAACGGGGGATGCTTTCGCTCAAGTTGCCGAGCTGGATAACAATTTGCTGGTGGACGCAACTCAAGCCATTTGGCAATCTTTGGATGGCTCTGACGGCAATGGCACTGTGGAAATTATCTTCGATAATGCCGGCTATGAGTTGTACACAGACTTAATTGTGGCCGAGTATATCATCGACAAGGGATTGGCGCAAAAGGTGCGCTTCAATGCTAAAGCCATTCCTTGGTTCATATCGGACGTGCGGGCTGAAGATTTCCACTGGTTTCTCGAGTTTCTCAGCGGACAACCGTTGCCTGTGCTCAGCGAACTGGGCACAAAGCTGAAACGTTTCGTCGACGAGGGAAAATTCGAGCTGGCACCCTTGGAGCACTTCTGGACCAGTCCCTATGAGTTCTATCGCATGGCCGAAGTGCAGCCAGCGCTCCATGAACGACTCTCGCAGGCGCAGCTGATCATATTCAAAGGCGATCTCAACTATCGCAAGCTGCTGGGCGACTACAGTTGGCACGACACCGAATCATTCGTTACCTGTTTGCGCGGTAAGTGGACTTTGAGTGTGGAAATTTGATATTTACTAATTAATCTATGCTTACGCAGGCTTCCAGCCCTCAAACCTTTGTGCACTGCGCACTATCAAAGCGGATTTGGTCTGTGGACTCCCCACTGGCAGATCCGAGCAATTGTTTGCCAAGAACAAGGAGTGGATGCTCACTGGCGAATATGGGCTCATTCAATTTGCCAGCAAGTGAAGATGAGCTGGGCGGAGCAACTGTGAACATGATTAGCTCAAATGTTGCCATAGGCCTAGGCGTAGCTAAATTATTCAATTCGACTTTTCAAATTATTTAAATCATATTTATTAGAAACTTTAAATTTATTCTCACATAACTTTTGCAGCATGCTGGGCAATCAATTCCTTAAGATTAATTATTTGTTCAACTAAATTCTTGGCTTGTCGACAATATGTAAAGTTTATAGCATGTAATTTTAAGTAAAATAATGCTCCCAAATATTCTGCAATTTATACATATTTCTTCCAGTAGTACAATACAAATACTCTTTTCTCTTTTGTTTAATTAAAAAAAAACTATTTACATTACGTGTTTGACAATAGTTTTAGTATATGAACAAGGTATTTATATAGATATATTATATATATGCTTTTAAACCAAATGTTAGCAGAAGTTCAAGAATTCTTTTAAATTTTTGATTTCATTATTGATTTGATTTTCCTAGGAAGCTGAAAGACAAGAAGAACTTTTTGAATTTGTACAATTTAAGAACTGTCAACAAGTTCTTATATTGAATAAGAAATGTAAAAAGAATTTAATTGTTGTCTATTTCTAAGGTTTCTGCATTAAACTGAAAGTTAACTTTTTTTATTTGTTCAAGTTTTGTTGGTACTAAAATTGAGTTTTAGTTAAATGAATTAAAAACTGGCTGAATTATTTAAAAACTTTGGTTACCTGCTAGAATCGTTAACTTTATTTAAATTCAATTTAAAGCATTTGACTTTAAACATATAAATTTATCATATCAAGCTCTCAAACAACTCTAAATATATTTTCAAAATTCTAAGAAATCCTTAGAATTTCATTTGATTTTTAAACTTAAATTAAATGAATGTCTTCCAAATTTATAAAATAATTCGAAAATTTATTTGCAATTTGAAATTTTTTTTAAAAATTTGTAAAGATTTTGTATGAAGAGTTAGATCAAGTTGAATGTTCTCTACTTGAAATAGATGAAGTGGAAATGGTCAAATGTGGTTTTAGGCGAAGATGGAATATATTCGCTTATGGAATCCCAAATATATATACATAGTTACAGTTGAAAATATTTGAAAATTCAACATTACTTTTGGAAAACTGTCAAAATTTTGTGGGGAAAATCGTCGATGCCGAAAAGTGAATTGCGACAATGATGGATGGTGTCTCAATTACCGTTATTAATGACTCAACGGATGTAGACTCGATAACAGTTTATAGCAAGACGACAACAGCCTTTAGCGTTGCCAGCGTCTTTGATCAGGCTAACAACATATCGGAGTTGCCGTCGCCACTGCGTGAGCCGCTCTCGGCGAGATACAAAAACAGCTTCGCCTTCGAAACATTCAGAGAGCGCGTGCCGCAAATCCTGTCCGATCTGATCAACTCCTTGTATCAGAATGAGAAACGGATTATGGAAAAGTATGGCTCCTACGCGCACTTCGAGCTACGTCGCATCGTTTGGAGCTTGGACATCCTGCACAACGAGGTGCTAGAGAATAAGCCGTTCAAGTACTTCTATGACAAATCGCCCGACTCGCTGGAGTGGAACAGCTTCATCAAGGGTCTGGTGAATCGCGAGAAGAATCAATGGTTTTCGGCCAACTGGATGCACGCCGAGTGCTACTTGTATCGGCGCATCTGGATGGCCTTCCAGCGCTCCGAATTGCTGAAGGACTACGACTACTTCAGTCAGAAAAAGATTTGCTCAACCCGCAACTTCGTCTACCTCTTTCGCGCTGTGCTGAACGACATTAAAGACCTGACCTACTGCTACAGCAGCTTCGTGTCGATGCTGAAGCTGTCGCTGTGGGCCAATCGCTGTGACCTCTCGATCACCAGCGCCGTTCCCTCGGAGACAATTTGGAATAGTCTCAATAAGCAGAACAGGCATCTGCTCGTGGATCAGTCCGAAGATGTGTGGCAGTTCCTAACGACGGGCGTCCACTCATCCGTCTCACCTCCCATGGTCGACATTATCCTGGACAATGCTGGCTTTGAGCTCTTCGCCGACTTGCTGCTGGGCGTCTACCTGATCGACTCGAAGCTGGCCATCAAGGTGCGCTATCATGTCAAGGCCATACCCTATTACGTCTCGGACGTGACTGCCAATGATTTTCGCTGGATGCTGAATTTCCTCTTGCACCACGAGATCCCCGAGTTCTCCTACCTTGGGCGCAAGCTGCGCTATTTCATGAGGCAGGGCTTCTTCGTTCTGTTCGAGACCTGCAAGTTCTGGACTCGCCCACAGGGCTTCAAGTACATGAGCAAGCTTGCGCCCTGCTTGTTCGTGCAGCTGAGCTTCAGCGCTCTGGCCATCTTCAAGGGGGATCTCAACTATCGCAAGCTGCTGGACGACATCAACTACAGCCCCACAACGCCGTTCAAGGAGTGCCTCGGCGGCTTCCAGCCCACCAGCATTTGCGCGCTGCGCTGCATTAAATCGGATCTCTACTGTGGCCTGCCCAACTGCTTGGTCGAGCTGCTCACAGTGAACAATCCCAGCTGGATGCGCACAGGCGACAAGGCCATTATTCAACTGGCTGTCAAGCAGATACCCTAATATCTAGATTTCGTATTCTTCAGATGTTATCAATATTTTCTTCAGTATTCGCGTTGAATGTGCGACAGTTCAATAATTCAATAATAATTTAAATTTATATTTATTTAAGCATTTTATCCAGTCGACTTCAGTTGAGCTTGAAGTGTCTTAAAGGCATAGAAGTCCTATTCCTTTACTCCATATGACACCTCGCCTCATCTTCTCCTTTGACCGAATTGCAGCTTTCTTTAGCCTGAACTTAGTCTTGTCTTAGCCTACTCTAGTTGAAGTTTATATTTCTTTCCCTACTTAATATGTTTATATTTCTTTCTTTTCCTTTATTCTCTTCTTGTCCTACTTCTTTGTCTTCCTGCTTTTCTTTTGGTTTTTCTTCTCTTCTATTGGTTTTCATTTGTTATTTCTTTATCTTATACTTTTCTTTCCTTCTCTTTAGCTGCTTCTCTTATCTCTTTTACTTTTCTCTGTTTCTGTTTTTTTCTCTCTTCTCTGCTATTGCTTTTCTTCACTCTTCTTTTTTCTTCTTTTTCCTACTGTACTTTTCTCTTCTCTGCTGTTTTCTTACTCTTCTCATCGCTTGTCCTTTCGGCTGTTGCCTTCTCTTCTCTCCTTTTCTGTTCTCTTCCATTTTTCTTTCTCTTCTATAGTTTTATCCTCTCTATTGCTTGCTTTCCTACTTTACTTTCCTTATGGAATCTCCTTACTTCTCTTCTCATTCTGTTTTCTTCACTTCTCTTCTGTTCTCTTACCCCTCCTACTTGTGTTGCTTTCTTCTCATTGCTTCTTTATTCTTCTCTTCATCTGCAACTTCACCTTCACAATCTCTCCTTATCTCTACCTTTCTCTACTCTTGTCTTTCCATGTCCTCTCTGCTCTCTGTACTTCAGTAGAGTACCAGCTAGCTATAAGCACTCGGCTCTTCTCTTCCATTCCACTTTCTCCTGCATCCCAGTCAAGTAAGAGTAAACAGTTAATATTTTTATCTCTTGAATATATCTATTGTCGTTTTATTAGTAATGCTGCTTATAGCTAAATGTTGCAGGCCGTGTAAGACAATGAACATAAGTATGATATTCCATATACGCAGTATAGACACTATTAACTATGCATTATTAAATATGAATAGTAGAAAAATATGCTCTATGGCCATATGTATGTGTATATAAATATATTAGATGCTGCATTCCCCAGGCGCACTCACACACACGCACACACACACACACACAAACGGAGAGAGAGAGGAGTGCGCGCTGGGGCCATGCAGCATCATTTGAAACAATTCGTCGAATTTTCAAGTCTTATCAATTGCCTTTGCAGAACTCATCTCGAAATTTGCCACACGCACACGAACATTTTGCAGGCTGCTCTCACATTAAGAACTGTCGATCTATCATCGCCAGCTACGTAATATTAATTGTTTATTAAAAGTCAGTAACTAAGTGCATTGGTTTTTCTTTTCTGTTTTCATTGGATATCTCTTGGAGGGAGTTCGCTCGAACGCTGGTTCACAATATACAATTGGGATTCAGTGTCTGATATGGCGTCAGATCCTTGGTAATGGAGAAGAGGGCACCATCTCTGACCATTTTGTACATGAGAGCGCCCAGATTCTTGGCATCGTCGATGCCCGAATGCGCACGCCCCTCAAAGGCCAAGCCCACGTGGGAGAGGGCATCGCTGAAGTTGCACGGCCGATACTTGTACCATTCGCGGTAGATGGCGCGCACGTCGACCCACTGATTGAAGTAGGGCGCCTTGCGCATGCGCTTCCGTGTGCACTCCTTGTGCAGGCAGATGCCAAAGTCCCAGTCGGTCCAGGTGACGAAGGCGCAATTGCCCAGCAAGTTCGACTTGCTCGTCTTGGGCAGTATCAGACTCCGAGAGCGCAGCTCCTTGCGCAGCCACTCGTGGAACATCATTAGCGCCGTCTGCAGCGGCACACCTGTGTCCACAGTCTTCTGCTCGATGCCCGTTAGCTCAGTGCAGTAGGTGCTCAGGCGCGGTGACTCGATCGGCATGATATACTTGTGGAATTCCGACTCGATCTTGCCCGTTTTCAGATTGACGAGCACCGCTGGAAACTCTGCGGCGGAGATGAAACGAGTTCAATTAGAACAAAGCCGATAATTGGAGCGCTAGTGACTCACTCACCTATGATCTCTGCTTCCCGCCACTGCGGCGGCGCCTGCTTCTCCCAACATGTGGCCTCAAAGTCAACGGCAATCACATAACTAAATGGCTGCATTGCCAACTGTTTGGATTTGCGTGATTTCTTTGTCTTGACGCCAGCTGAGGCTGCGGCTGCGGCTGCAGCTTGAGCTTGGGCTGTTGTGGCAACGTCACCGGAAACACCGTTGATGCTGATATCGGCCTCGTTCTGCAGTTCATCCAAGGCGTTCGCAGGATCTGGTCGTCCACCCTCCACATACAACGTGTCTATCAGGCCCAGTTGTCTGCGAAAGAGAGCAAACAAAGGCACCAAAGGAAAAGAAAACGTTAGTGCACAAGATCTGTAAATGTTTCCTAATTTTTTTTGTCAATTTTTGTTATTTTTTTTTTTTAGAAAAATATATATGAAATATAATGTGATTTCTGGGCAACTTGTAGTTACACTCTAGGACTGACGTTATACAAACAAATCCTGCTCGACTTACTTACAATGCCTACGAAGCTGCTACTGCGATTATGAATTACAAATTACAAAATGAATTACAAATTCTAAATCGCCTCTCTCTTTGCTCGCTACTTCATTAGGTCTAGGCGGTTAATGCTATTAATGCTATATCAAATACATTGGGAGCATCAAGAGTTACAAATTGGCAATTGTTTATTTTAAACATAGGCTTTAACAACTTTATATAATTTAAATATGTTTAAATGTACGTGCAAACTATAAATATAGCAACGAAGTTCTATTTCTAATCACTTGGAATGCATTTCCTATCGCAATCCATTTCAATTCAGTCAAGCTTCTGTTGCACCTTCTCTCTAAAGCTGCTGCTGCTGCTGCTTTCCATAGCACACGATCATCGGCTTTTGCTGCCAGAGCAGGCCGTTTGTTTCAGCCAATGCTTTGGCCACCACCGCCGCCAATGCCTCTGCAGCTGCCGCATCCGAAGGGAGCTGCTTGAATGTCACAAACGCCTGTCCCTTCATGCGACCTTGTTGCATGACTTTGATATCCAGACTCTCGGCGGGCGCATATCGTGCATAGAGCAGACTGAGTTGGGTTTCTGTAATGCTCTTGTCGAGATTCTTGATGTACAACTTGTTGCTGGGCTCGCCTATTTTGTAATTCTTGTAGACTGGCAGCTCTTGCAGTTGTTCGGCGGACAAACGCTCCTCCGGCAACTGTGCGACGACAGGCAACACTGTCGGCAGCTTTAATTCGATTTTGCGTTGCATTGCAACAACAGGCGCATCGGGCACTGTCTTCTCCTTGACTGCCGCTGGCTTTTCCACTAGCAACGCCTGGCGAGCGCGCTTCCGATACTGCTCCAAAACGAGGCTATCAGCAGGTCTCTTCGCTCTTAGCTGCTGTTGGGGATTTGCCTGCTTGGGCTCCTCCTCCTTATCAGTCTCCAGCTCACTCTCAGTTTCACTCTCAATTAGTTCAGTTTGGGTGGCAACGTTTTCTGTTTGCCTTGAAGGCAATATGACGCCCTTGGGTCGCTCGCCAAAGGGCGGTGGCAAATTCATGCGATTCATTAGGTGTAGCACCTGCACATAGAAGCGCTTATCACTCTTCAGTGTTTCTCCGATGGCGGTCAGAATGTCGGCATTGACGGGCGGATATGCATAGCGCAGGTAAGGCGGTGGTGGCTGCATAAAGTCACATTGATTATTGCAGGCATACAACTTTTGCACATACTTGTTGATCTCGGAGTTCTGCTTCGATCGAGCCGGTGCGGTCGCTTGTGTTGACTTGTTAGCGGTCTTCTGCTTGGTTCCATCGGCATTTGCTCGGGGTCCAAAGTTGCTAACGCGCAGCGGCTTGTCAAGTATTTCGCTGAGACCCAACAGCTGTGCTAGGGCGGTCTGCGCCTCCTCGGCGTCTGCATATTCAATCAGTGCACGTTTGCGTCCAAAGGAGTTGAGTGAACGCGGTATAATCAATTTCAGTTCCTGTATCAATTGCGAGAATTCGCTCATGCTACAAGGCATGTTTTTTAGCAACAATTTGCTCGTCTCAACAAACATTTCTCTCATAAATTTCAATTACAACTAAAAATGTGCTACAAAAGCCATTGATTTAGTTATCGATTCGAAGTCGATAACATTTACTCAGATGAAAATGTTAACCAGTTTGTCTGCAGTACATTTTGCTTCTGTTATGAAGTTGTGCTGTTAAGTGTGGCCATTTGTATTTTATAGTCCTGTGCGCGCGTTTTCAATTTATTTTTTAAGTCTAAACGCATTTTGTTTGGTCGATATGCTTGCAAAGCGCTCAAAGAGATAAGCTGTTGTTACGTCTAAACATTTGACTTTCACTAATTGGAGCCAATGGCTTTGACTAATATTAACTCGTTTGTCAGCTTTTCACCGACTAACTAGCTCGTACCGGTTTAGCTTTCCAGATAAAATGCAACCAACTAATAACAGAAACAAATTATGCAACAAATGTGTTTATATATGACCCATGCACATATTAGCTAATGTATATTACGTGCTTTGAAATGTGTAAATCGCGTGCTATCACATTCATGGGTGTGTGCACTGTAATCGCAAATGCAAGGACACTAAACAATTAGTTAAGACAAATAAAGGGAATCTTTTAAAAATAAAAAAGAAATAAACAAAGATTAAGCTTTACAGTTCGCATATTTTGCAAGAGTCAATGCACTTTCTTTATAAAACTTGAAAGAATGTATGAAAATTGCAAATGCCTGACACAAACCGTTATGTTTTTGATATATGGCACACACACATTCGCACACATAACCTAACACAATGGTTTTATAAAAAGAGATCAACATACACACACACAGGCACATAGCGTGCAAAATCACTCAAAAGTCAGATTGCATAAAATTTGCAATGATTGAATGGACAACAAAAACAACAACAATGACAATGACAAAGTCGACGACATACTCTCACTTTCGTCCGGCTTGGCAGCATGTGGGAGGAGTGGAAGCGCGTACTAACGATGTCCACTGCAAATGCGGAAGCAGAGATATATTTAGTCCGGCAAACAGCGGGCAGCAGAAACATGCGAAAATTGGATTAATGAACTCACTCAGTCACTCGCTCTCTCGCTTTATCCGTCTCTCTCGGCAGGCGAAAGCAACAATGCAATGAGTGAAATTGATCGTTGCCATTTCAAGCGGCCCAAAGGGGTAATGTAGCTATATTTAGATAATGAATAGCTGGAACGGCTGGAAAGAGCATTGTCCTAATGAAGAGTTAATTGGAAATGAAATTGAAACACTTACTAGTGTAAGTGCTCTTTGCGCTCTAGCTCTCTACACTTTCTTTTTCCTTACTTGCAGCAGCAAGGAATGAGTGAAATTTGTTTTGTTTGGTTTATTATTATATTATTGCAGCTATATTTAGAACAAGCCTGGCTGTAAGTTGCATCGGTTAAATGGAGTGTTGATTGTAAAATTGCTCTCGCTCTCTTTGCCACTCAGAAAAGAGTTGTATGAGTGGAATTGAGCTTTGACTTGTCAAACGGCGCTAAAGGGATAAAGCATTTTTAGAAAACGTTCCTTTGAGTGAGGTGCAAATAGCTTTAGCGAAATACGAACTGGTAATATCCTAAATCATTTATATAAAAAGAGTGAATCTTTTTTTATATACCTTTAAATTTAAATTAATAAATTAAATTAAATATTTCATCAAACCATTATAATCTTTTAACTTAGAGAACGAGTGACTAAATAAGCTTTCTATTATTTATTTCACATTAGATAATCGACCATTAATATCTACATACTTTAAGGCTTTTTGTGAATGGGCAAGTGCAACAGGTTGACTTGGCCTAGACGTGTTTCGAAAAGTATTTATATTGTTTACGGTTATTTTACGTGATGTCGACAAGCCCCCAAAAAAAGTATTTTTTATGTCAATCAGAGGGGCGGCTCGTGCTGTCAATAATGCGTGCTTCGGGCACACGGCATGCCCGACTATCCACTAATTATCTGGCAAACAATGTCAATGGGCCGCAACACGTTAGCCGTGCACACAGTGGTTGACATTTCGTAGCCGGCAGCTCTGTAAACACCTGTCTCCACATATACTAAACATAAAATCACTGTATTTAAATAGACCTATTGTATATTATTAGTTAAGAAGGCCAGTTATTAGGGTGCTCATTGTCGAGGCTATATATATAACGTTCCAATGTCATTTTGAAGAATGCTGAGTTCCGTTTTGTGACTGGGGTTTCTATGCTTAACACTTGGTTCTGGGATATCGGAGTTTTTGAATTTTCTAGTATTATACTGTGAGTCTATGGAACAGAGAAGCAGACTATTTACCTCTGGATGGATCCCATCAATAATAATAATAGATAATATCAATATCTCATCTCAATTCGTCCTGTATTATTCAGTATTTCAGAAACTCTTTAAAGCTAGACCTGGTTTGAAACGTAGTAGCTTAAGGAATTCCTGTAGCACTCACAGTTTAGGTTAATCATCGGTAACTTTTTATGTAAACGTTAAAAGTCGTTAGCAGACTTCAGTTATGCTAAGCGAATAGGTTAGCATATCTAACAGTCAGACATGCTCATAGCCTATCTTATTTACACGCTCTTCACTTATGCCCCTAGAATAACGCCTAACTTGTGAGGTCTCAAGTAAGTTGTAACACTTTCAAAAACACGTTGGACTTCAAATAACAAAAAGCCGACCACAATTTATTGCCGTAAGTATGTTCATAGATATCTCGAGAGGTCTGCATGTTTGTGCAGGCCATGTGAAATTCGATAAGAGTGCAGAAGCAATTGTGGAAGTTGCCAAAAATAGCGCAATTGACTGAATCAATCAATGAACTTCCAGTTTGAAAAGCGAGCGACCAGAAGTTTTCAATAAATGTAAGTATATATATATATATATATGTGCACGAATATGTATACTATATATAAATATATATATCTGTGTATCAGGTGGGATGACAAATTTATACTTAATTGATATCAGTCGCTTGCGCCACTATAATAGGCCCATTTGGCTCTACTAATTGCCACTGTGGCAAATTGATAATTATATTCAAGGTCCTTGGGCAGTGCACCTTATAGACTGACATGCATACATACATACATATATACATATGTGTATATATGTCATATATATTATGTAATTGATATTGAAATTAGCAATTACAAGCTTAAGTTATGAACAGGTCGGGCCGCATTGTCAGCGTCTATACATCGTATATATCTACATCTATGGGAACGTACTTTGCATATATTGCGCATACGCCGCATGCACCGTTTGAATTGGAGACGCGTGCATGAAATTTGCTGGGCCAAATGTTCGCGCTCTCCACCTCTCCCCCTCTTCCTTGCACTAACACCAATAGCGTGCCTTTCACTCGCACCTAAATACAAATTCGATTGCATTTGTTTTGCTGCTGCCGGTTTTCCTCTTCATTTTCAATTATTTTTCTCTGTCATAAATATATTTACTTGCATTCGTCCCGTATATATATTTATGGCCCGGCCTGTGCGCGCATTTGTTCTTGACTTTGGATAAGTTTGGTAAAAACTGCTTTCAGCCGGATTTCCCACTGAATTCACACAAGCCCAACAACTGCCAGCAATATGATGACTTACAGTGGGCTATTTTCATTAGTTCCGTGACAAAATAACAAAGTTTCTTTTATATGTAACGTAAGTCCTTAGATAAAAGGGGTTTTTATTAGAAAACAAATTAACTTTAAATTAGTTTTTCAGTAAGAAAACTTTTTTTAAATGAAATCCAAATTAAACTAAAAACACTTTTAAATACTATTTAATATTTTACAAAAAGTTTTTCACATTCTTGTATTGCTATGATTCTTCGGCAAACTCTCAGTTGGTTTTATAAAATTTTGGTTTTTTGTTACATTTTCTGCCTACGCGCCCCACTGTGCCAAGTGTTGTCGGATGCGCAAGATCGATTCCAACATGTTTTGGTTCCTTCAATCACGATTTTATTATAGAATCTTATTGTTATGCGATAAAATTAGATATGTTAGGTACTATGGATACGCTAAGGCTTCGCATACACACCAATTATCATCTTTACTTGGTTGTTTTAGACAAACATTTATACTTCTCAAATATATTATAATATATTTTCGCTTATATATATTTTGTAAATGTTCCCGTTTGAAATTATATAGCTGCACCGACTGAAGTCTTTGCTTAGTTAATAGTCAATTTCGGTTTTTAATTATCTGTGAACGAGCATTGCGCAGTCGAGTGCAGCCGACTGAACAATTCTCATTTGCTAACATATTCCACTTGTAAATGCGTCTCAAAATAATTTTCTTCACTATTAAATGTGAGTTTTATTTATCGTGCTGTTTGTTATTCTTCTTCTTTCCCTCTACAATATTCTTTTTTTTTTATATTTAAAATGTACATCAAATTTTCATAGTTTAGCAATGCAATGGAATCTTCCAATCTCAAATTGTTATAGATTTATTAAAGATCTTACAAAATCTCTAATTAGCAAATATTCCAAATTATTTGAATTTAATTAAATAATTAAACTGTATTTGGTAACTTACAGATGCATTGCTAATGTTTCCCATTGATCTATTAACGTCCACATATTTCCTTAACTGTCAATTGTTTGGAGAATAATTTAATGAATTTTCATTAAAAATATTAAATGAAAAATTTGAATTTTCAATTGAGACTATTTCGACACGTTGACAAATGTCGACTGAATAAAACATTTTAGAACATAGCCATTTGTCTGGAGAGAATTAATAGTTGACCGAAAGCTTTGTTTAAAATGACAAAGCGCGCAACAATAACAAAACAACAACAAAAAGAGTAAAATGAAGAGGGGAATATAACAAATTCATTTATAGAGTAGAACAATGTCAATTAATAAAATATTCATAATTAAATTAAGAGACAGCAAGACAGCCCTAGCACATATATGTGTGCGTATGTATATGCATATATATATATATATATATATATATATACATATATATGTAACCTATACATATATAAATATATATATATTATACATTTGTCTGATTGTTTAGATTAGTGACAACCATACAAAGTATATTTACATTGTATACAAAGCTGAATGGCTGATAAATTGACTGACGGACAGACAGATTGATTGTTAAGTTATTGGACCAAGCGATTGGGAGATTGATTCATTGATCAACATATGACTGATCAACTGACTGATGTGCTGACTGTTTCATTGACTAATGAAATAATGACTGACTGCTTGATTGATTGAACCACTGAGTAATTAGCTGATGGCTTAGCTTAGTGATTGATTGACTGACGGATTGATTAGCTGATTGATTGACTGATATATATATTTATATATATATATGATATATATATATATATTTATATATATATATGATATATATATATATATGATATATATATTTATGAACTACAGAATATGTTAATATGCAAAAAGTATACAATGCATAAATATATTTATAAATACATACATATACACACACACATATATATATATACATATATTTATGCATACATGTATATATGTTTATAGAGTGCAGATTAAGTAGCTATTTAGATTACAATAATTATCAGCATGCACTTGTGTTTGCTTTTGCAATTTCAATTGTTGTGCAAAAACTCTAAAACTTTTCCATGTGCTCTATAAATATCAGCAGCAAAGGCCACAACAGGCCATCGGACGTATTGGGGCCACACAAACAAATGACAACAGCAACAACAACAACAACAATGCGGCCTCATCTATAATCATCATACAGGCACAGATAAAGATACAGATACAGATGCAGCTAAGATACAGCTGCAGATACAGATCCAAACATGGATAAAGCTGTAGATACAGATACAGATACAGATAAAGGTGCAGCTGCAAATGCAGCTACAGATACATATGCAGATCCATATACATAGTTGCAGATACATTCAGAGAGATATATGAACTGCACTTTTGCAGCTTCGTTTTCAATTGCTTTGGCAAATGCACTTGAGAGTTGGCCTCAGGCTGCGCAGATTGTCGGCGTTCGGCTCCAATTACATTCAATTACAATTGCGATTACAATTTCAATTACAACCCGGAGAAGTACGAAATGGCACGCCGAGCTATTTTTGGAGTGACAAACTCCAAAGTGGACCTAATTGAACTGTCGCCATTTATTTATGGGTTCAAATTGTGCAATGGGAAAAACACACATAGCAAGCTAATGTCCGAGGCAGTCAGTCTGAGCTGCACTGTAAAAAATTATGCTATACATTTGACCACATTTTAATCTAGTCGTAGAAATGAGTTTCAAAATGGACCCACTGCAGGAGTCGACTGTCTTTCCATACTCGTTCCTGAAGTGAGAAGAGTATATTGGCTTTTTAGTAATGTCTGCCTTAATGCTAGAGTTTAGGAATTGGAAACAAACGCGATCAGCTGTTAAGATCCTGCTGTTTCGATTAATCTCATTTAGACCATGCCCTATTAAAAATATATTCTATACTCTCTATACAATCTCTCTCTAAGCTATCTGTAAGCTCCCTCCCTCGCTCTATACTCTCTATACTCTTCATAAACACCCTACTCTACAGTTTAATCAAACACTATATATAATAACGCCTTGTTGGGTTGGGACAAATAGTAAAACACCTGTTTCTACATACATATTCCAAATCTAACATCTGTGTTACAGCTGATAACTTACAACAATCAATCAAAAATGTAGAGTTTAATAGCTGTTTTGGAGTATTACGCAGTCGCATGACTCGTAGTCGTTCAGCTAGCGACAGCAGGCGATGCCTAACTCGCTTTTTTTTTAAGTTTAATGCGTTTTTAATAGCAACAATGAATAACCCTATACTATATGTATTTTAACTTTCTGTTCTAAATTATTGTTAATCTATAGCATTAAAAACCACAAGCTTGATAGCTTGATAATTAATTAAAGAATGCAATTTAAGCTTGCCAGATATATTCTATAGCAGAAGTAATTGATATGTATTGAGCAGAGGAAAATAATAAAAGAAAATGGCATGCTGAACTGCCAATACTCTGCCAGGCATAAATTATATTGTAAGATATATAGTGGTTTACTTAAAGTAAAGAAGAGCAATTAAATGAAAGATGGGATGTAACTCCCAATTGAATTTGCAATTTAAAGCAATAAAAAATAAAATAAATATATAAATTAAAAAACACAAAAAAGTGAAATATAAACTAACTAAGCCAGTTAATGAAATTAAGTTAAATTGATACTTGCTAAGACAATAAAAAGCTGGCACACTACGATAATGACAACGCACGTGTAGGGTATTTGCCAAGGGAGAGATACTTTTGCTCAGGGCCAGGCCACACTAAAGAGCAATGACCAATGAAGCAATTGTAAACAGTTAAAATAACAATAATAAAAAAAAACAAGAACAATGTAGCGAATATTTGTTCAAAACTTACAAAATCTTGCTTAAAGCTTAAAGCTCCCTGTACTGTTCACTTCAGCTCAGTGAAAGAAGAGGGGCTGTAGCCCAAGCGTCAATTGCGCCTCACCGAGAGAAACAACAACAACAACACGAAGCACCAGCTCAAAAGTCAACAAGAACAACAACCATTACCGCAATCTGCATGCTAAATGTTAAGGTAAACATTGGGCTGGAATCGAGACAGAAAAGAAAAGAGAGAAAAGAGCAAAGCGAAATAAAAAGCATGGAGAACGACGTCGCAGTCGACGTCGCCACGAAGATTTTTGGCTTTGCGCTTATAAACAAAAATAATTTACGTATCTTAAATTATAGTACATACATTATGAACAAAATCTTGTGCATAATAAAAATATTATCAACAAATATTAAGAATTTCTTTTACATTTAGTTTTACATTCGATGTCTTCCACTTACAGTTCGACAAGCACAAAACAGAGCTGATATAGTTTCTTTGCCAAAACATTACACACTCATATGTAAGCTAATTTAGAACTTCTTTGCTACAGTTGTAGCTTCACTGTCTTCAGTTTACAGTTTCACAAGTACAAAAGGAGCTGCAGACTTACTCTAGATCCGTCATTGGGCAACACAAACTTTGAATGAGCTTATTCACTTACAGTTTTACATTCATTGCTGGTTATTTACAGTTTTCAAACACAAAAATAGACAAACAGTTGCCAAGATCTGTATATCAAATATTCCAGACAACGTACATTTTTTAATGGCTTATTCCCTACAGTTTTACATTCACTACTAGTTAATTACAGTTTCATGGTTAGCAAAGTAGTAATCAAGTAGCCTCTCAAAACTAATTAATAATGTAATTTATATGTAAGTAGAGTATCCGATATTCGCTTGAATGCCATGAATGAACTTTTTTTACTTCTTTCAGTTTATTGCACAGACTTGTCATTTGCAATGCACATAAAAGTGTGTGTGTTTTTGTGGTTGTGGGTATGTGTATGTGTGTGGATAGAGTATGTTTCATTTCTTGGACTCTCCTCTCACAGCACTTGCAAATCGATAAAAACAATTTTCAACCTACAATAGTCACAGCACGTGCCCGTTGTATACTACGTACATACCTGTACATACATATATTTATGCACATATATTATAATATAGCTACATTCATATTGATATATCAATTGGTGAAAGAGAAATAGTTTTGGGAATTGCAGACATGACAAAGCGGCGTTTTTGTAAGAGTTTGCAACGCGTCTTATTGGATTCTAGTTGCAATTCAGTTAGATTTCTTTAGTTGCATTTGCTACTTACCTTGCCAGTCTTATCAACGCCATTATTGTGCTAAATTGTTGGTCCAATTTATAATATAGAAACGTGTTTAGCGAGTTGAGTTGTAAAATATTCAACTTGAATGCGAAAAAAATTCGATTGGTTATTTTGGCAGTGCGAATAACGGCATTGGGCAAGGGCAAGGAAGCGCTGAAGGTGGACCGGTAAATTTTCTTTTGTTGTCTGCGCGCTTCCACAGACACAGATGCACATATGCACTCAACACGCACACACAAGCAAGCGCGCACACACACGCATATGCAGGCGGCGCACGGCCGGCACGTAACAAAAGGAGACGAATATCAAAATTGACGAAAAATTAACAACAATTGCGCGCGCACACAAAACTTCAGTCAATTCTCAAGCGTCCGTCTACAGCGAAGATCTGAATCTGCCGACCGGCACAGATGGATAAAAACAAACTGGCGACAATGGCAGCGACGGCGACAGCGACAGCGACAGCGACAGAATTAGCAGCAGCAGCAGCAAAAACATATGACCGAGCTTCCGGGTGTGACCAGTTGCAGAAACTAAAAAAAAGTGACATGTAAATATTAATTTCAATACTTGGTATATGTTGTTTGTAAAAAATATATATTATTATTATTAATTTTTAAATATTATGGGTATAGTTAAAGGTACATTTTGTAAGCTTTAATATGAATGAGTAAGTTTAATTCTTTAATGAAATGTTAATGTTATTAGTTGCCAATGTCTGGAAACACTAGAAGCTTAGGCGCCAACTGAACGTCCGTTAATATTTGAAAATAAATTTAAATACGTTCACTTTATATATTTTATATTCTGTATTATTTAATTATTATACATATTGTTATTTTTATTGCTATATTGAAGAAAATTGCCTTTAACTGTGTCGAGCTTAGAGAAAGTCAGTTAACAAACATTGTTTCAGTTCCAGCTCAGTATTTTTTATTAAGTGCTGATTTAATTCCGACTGTCTGGCAGTTTCAGTTCAGTATATGTTATTAAATGTTACTTTAATTTCGACTGTCTGGCAGCGCTAACGACATCTAGAGAGCCGTTGGCATTTGAAAATAATTCAAATACATTTTCCTTTGCAGCATCAGCATCTCGACCAGTTTAAACAATCGTATTTGTTCAAAATATATATTTTATTTTCATTCGACTGTCATTCAAAATGTGGGAACAACTGGAGGGATATCGCAATCTCTATCTGCAGAAAGAAATCAAAGACGTGATGAAGTCAAGTGCCGTTAATTGCCTACAGAGCAAAGGTAAAGTCGTACACCTGCCACGGTTTAGCTATTTATTGACAACATTCTTCACGCAGAATTCGATACATTCAGAAAGAAGCGCGATTGCTGCGTGAGATTCCAGCAACAATGCGCCAAGAGCTCCACTTACTTCCAAGATCGCGCTCAGCTGGCTTACGGCTTCTGGGCACTGCCCAAGCTAATGAAGGAAATAGACAGCGACGTCAATCTTACCCACTGGCGTGCCATTGTTTCGCTGACCGAATACCTGCTCAATCCCCAAAATGTGCAGCGTGCTGTGTTGGAGATGGATATAGTTAGGAAGTGAGTGGAGGGAACGAGTGAGCGAAGTTCCAACTAGAGACTTGAATCGGGAATCTGGAATCTGGAATCTGGAATCTAGAATCCTGGGTCTAGAATCTCCAATATTTCAATGTCCAATTCTCTTTCCATCTCTCTTCCCTTCCTTTCATCATTCCATCTTTTCATCTCGTCTTCCCCCCTTTCCCTCTTTCCTTCTTCCCCCTTCCCCCTTACCCCTCACCACTTTCCACCCTTCCACTCACTTCATTCGACTCTCCTTTTGCAGGCTTAAGAACGCATTCATGCGGATGCGTCTGAAGTTCCACGAGGAGCACTACGAGGAGATTGAGACATATCTGAGGCTCTTCAGTAGGTACTCCATTGACCATGCTTTGCCTCCACTCTAAGCTCGCCTCGCCCGTCTCAGACATCATCTCTCGCAACTTGAATGGCGCCGAGCAAATAGCCAATCGGAAGTGTCTGATGATCGAGTTCTATAAGATTCTGAAGGACATGGAGCCGCGCAAGGAGGATCTGGCCGCCGAGATACTGCGCAATCTGACGGGCAAGCCGAAGGGTAGTTGGTTTCGGTTGGACTTCGATGTGCCTTACGGATTTTTTAACACTTTCTCCACTTAGTGCTGGGCATTGTCCTGTCGGATGCCGAGAACTTGGGCTCGATTGCGACGTTCTTGAAGACGGATCCGTGCAAGCCGCTGTATCCGCCCGATCTGTGGCACCATCTGTGCCACATGCTGGAAGTGGTGCCCGAGCAGGGCATTGAGCTGGGCCTGTTCCAGCTGCTGCACTCGCGGATCGTCAATCGCCTGGCCAAGTTCTGGGAGATGAACTGCAAGGCGTTCGCTCTGCTGCTGCGCTGCTCGGAGGGGCAGCGGCTGTTCGACGACGTCGACGGCATCAAGATGATCTTCGAGATCTTCGAGGAGCGACGCATCGCCAAGGAGAAGAAGCTGCAGCACCAGCAGGTGCTCAACTATGAGTACGTCGTGCTCGCCCTGCTCAACGGGCTGCACAGCAAGCGCGCCCTGTGGCGCATGCGCGAGTTCACGCTGCTGATCTGCCACGTGGGGCGCGCCATGTACACCAGGAAGAACGCACGCCTGCAGCTCTACTGCCTGGAGGCGCTGCGCGCGATGGGCGTGATGCCGTGCAACAAGCGCTACATCATAGGCAACTGGCTGGAGGATATCTCCAGGCTGGTCTGCTACAGCGCCGAGGCGGAGTGCGCCCGAGACTCTCTGCTCGACTGGCTGCGTCGTGACATTGCTGACAACAGCTGAAGCAATGCTGACGCATCGTTATCTGCTCTTTATCTACTTTGGATTGTTGTTGAGACTAATTACAGTTACTTAAATTGCTTTGTGCGCGTATTTAACGGTTTTCTGATTGGGAAAAAAGTGGTTTGAATTGGGAATTTGTATTCACATATAATTAAGCTACTTTTCTTTGATTCTAGTTAGAATTCAATAGCAGTCTGGTATGTTAGAGCTTTTAGAAGGCTTCCAATTGGACGATGCAATGTTAAGCATTTCTGATTAGGGAAAGCTTGCTTGAAGCACAGATCGAATCGAATCGAATAATAAAGGCTTAACTGGGAAAAGTATAATTTCCTATTAGACCTCTATGGTATATAGAAAATTCTTTGATGTCGATTATTATTTTATTCCAGTTGGAAACTAATAACAAGCTCATTTACTACATGGAAAGAGCTATCCTAGATAATTCTGTAAAGCTGTAAAAAAAATGTAAAAATTTAAATCGCGATCTAATTGGATTAATTTGTTACCCAATTGGAGCATTTGTGGTAATACTAATGTTTTATATGTTGCTTTAGATGGATTCCAATTACAGATTATTTTTATTGTTTTAAGGCGCCTTCAGTGCGTTTCTGATTGGTACAAAAAAACATCGCCAGCCCCTGTTCTGCACTTCCGGTGCGGTTAACCGTTTCGCATTTCCCCTGTGTCCCCGCTGTCCCAAGCACTGTGCCAAAGCTTTGTTCAAAATAAGAGCCAAGCGGTTATAAAGCTCTCGCTCTCTCCCTTTGTCTTTCTCTAACAGCTGTTTGCTTAAGCTAGCTGAAATCATGAAAACAAAAAGAAAGAAGAGATGTTATTATATATTTATATATGTATATATATAGTATAGGTAAAAATAGAGATGTCTTGCTAATTGAGCTAGATTTCATAATTAAACTATAAGAAAAAACGTATTGAAAATATGGAAATATATATTTTAATTATATATATTTAAATTTATTATTTACAACAAAATAATATAACTTAATTTTATTTTTTTTTTTAATTTTATTTAATATTTAGTCATTCAACGTCTTGGTGCAAATTGAACAGTTTGATGCCTTGGAGAACTTTTCCAATTTCCGCTGCTTGCGCGTTGGTCGCCAATGGCATCAATAATGACCAGGAGATGCTGCAGCAGTAGCAGCAGCAGCAGCAACAGCAACATTAGTGGCAACGCTGACCAACCGTAGTCGAACCGCAGCGCGTTGGTGTCTGCGGTCAGTCAAGGCATTGCTCAATGTTTTATGCATCAGTATTTTTTTCCAGTATTTTTAAAGTATTTTTTTTCATTTGTTTTTCAGTTTTGTTGTGCGGCGACAAACTTGGCAAAGAGTTGCAAATTTTTTGAAAACTTATTCTGCAGCGGCGCGAGCTCGTAAACATTCTGCGCCTTTGGTTGCTTTGCTCGGAATCGTGGCGCAGGCAGAACCAATTCCCGACCCAATCGCAAAGTTTTGCTCGCTGTCATCGCTCGGCGGTTGGTCCTTTGAGCTGTCAACGATCCCTGGTTTCAGACTACGGATTCCTTTTTAGTCAACTTTTTAATTACCACAACGCGCAGCTCCTCCGCTTGCTGCTGCTGCTGCTGCTGCTGCTGCTACCGCCCACCTCAACTCGCCTTTCTTATGAAATGTTCTATGGAAATTTTTGCCTAATTTGCTTACGCAACCAAATTCACATTTTTTGTCACAAAAAACTTGTCACTTTTTGCCAATTCAATTAATTATATAACAAATTATGAGCGAACAGTAAATACTTTCAAGGTTTTCTCTGACAAATTAGCTAAATAAAAAACTTAAAAATATATAAAAATTTTTTTGTTAATTTATTACGGCTCTTTTTACACAAAAAATATGTTTTATACTCGCTCGTGATATAAAGAGAGTATATTGGCTTCGTGTAGAGCTATTATGTAGTGCGTTTTGCAAAGTTTTTTCCTATTTCTACTATGCAGCATTGAAGCAATAATTTTTACAGGGTATTCATTTTGTTTTTTATTTTTATTTTATTTATTTCTATTTTATTTATTTTTATTTTTTTATTTTATTTATTTTTATTTTATTTTATTTTATTTATTTTTTATTATGCATAGCAATGTGTTGAAAATATATGAATATAAATATTTCATAATTATAGCATATTATTTTATAATATATTTTATATATATATAATATATTTTTATATATTTAATAATAAATTTTTATATATTTAATAATATATTTTTATATATTTATAATATATTTTTATATATATTTTATTAATTTTGTTTTTTATTTTTATTTTATTTAAAATTTTATTTTATTTTATTTATTTTTTATTATGCATAGCAATAAGTGTTGAAAATATATGAATATAAATATTTCATAATTATAGCATATTATTTTATAATATATTTTATATATATATATAATATATTTTTATATATTTAATAATATATTTTTATATATTTATAATATATTTATATATATATTTTGTAATTTTTACAGGGTATTAAAACAACCAAAATATATATATTTATTGTTATGAATAGTGGAAAATGTGCAAGAAATATTGACACAATTATAAATTTTCTATGCATTATAATTCTCTTAATTTACAGGGTATTTGTGTAATCAAGTAACAGATTTACTAATTCTAATCTTTAAATATTTATGAATTATTGTCATTTAATATAGAGTAGTTCATGTTTAAGTTAAATAATAATGAGCCTACGTTTTACAGGGTATTCGTGCAGTGCCAGAGGGAAAGAGTATGCGTGTTAATAGTCGAATTGGCCTTGTCATTTGCGAGGCATTAGCAGGCTAATGAAGGCCATTTGCTGTGGATGGACGGCACTCGTAGCTGAGTGACTTCGAGTCAGTTGTGTTGGCGTTGCAGGTGCAACACAGGTGTCATGGCATTTCTGCGCTCATTCCGCATCAGCAATCGATACATACGCTTCTCCGCCTTGGTGCTGCTGCGCTTCTATCTGGCGCAGTTCTACTTCTTGGGCCTGCTGCGGCTGCGCTACAAGCGGATGGGCAACGCGGTCCACCTGACCCCCTACAGCGTGACGATCTCGCGGCTGCTGGCGCTGCCCTTCGCCTACTTCCTCAGCTTGGCGGCGCTCAGTCCGTACGCCTCGCTGCTGTACATGCAGCCGTATCTGTTTCTCTGCTACTTCCTGTGGCAGCCGCGGCGCGTGCACGAGCAGCGCGTGCGCGTGATCAACGGCTTCTTGCGTCTGGCGCCGGCGCTCTACCGGCTGAGCCGGCGCCAGTTGCAGGTGTCGTGGCTGCTGGTGGTCCAGCTGGCCCTGAAGCTGCTCACAATGAAGATCTATCTGTGGCTCTACTCCTCGCACACGGACGGCCTGCAGAAGTTCGTCTTTCTCGTGAGCTTCGTCCTGCCCGGCAGCCTGTCCGTCTGGTGCCTGGACATGGCGGCGCATCTGATCAACATCTGCTTGTACCTGCTGCTCGCTTCCTTCGAGCAGCTGAACGCGGAGCTGCGCCAGCAGCTGGAGCAGCTGCACATGAAGACGCTGCATGCGGACTATGGAGCCGTGAAGCGCCTGCAGCGGCGTCTGCGCTACATACAGCGCCTCTATGTGGCCTATGCGCGCCTCACGCAGCAGCTGCTGGACACCTTGGCGCCGCAGCTGCTGCAGATCGTCGTCTACAATCTGACGATGATCTTTGCCCTGTCGTTCGCCCACTGGCGTCGCCTGCTGGACATACTGATGCTGGCGAACGGCCTGCGCCTGCTGTTCCAAACGCTGGACGCGCTCCTCGTGGCCACCAGCTCGCCGCAGGACACCACGTGGACGCATCTGGCACAGCTGCTGCAGCTCAACCAGGCGCTGGCCCTGCACGGCTGGCTGCATCGGCACACGGCCGGCTACACGGCCGTTCACATGGACAGCTCGGGGCAGAGCATGCGGCGTGTCCTGCTGCAGCCACGCCTCCAGATCCTGGGCCTCTTCACGCCCAATCGCCGCTTCTTCTTTCGCCTGCTCTTCTGCTACTGCAGCTATCTCTATGTCAGCTACATGTGGCACAAGCGACTGCCAGTTAGCAGGGGCGACATACTCAACTTTCTCATACTCTGAGAGACGCTTGGCAAATGGTGAAATCTGAAATATATTTTATGATATTTATGTGTTATATATAAGTCGGAGATTTGCTTGATTTGTATTAATATATGCTAAAATATTGTAAATGCTACTTATGAAAGCAGAATGAACTCAGGCAGCGCCTCGAAAGGACGAGCCAATGACAACTGCGTGTGGGCGTCTTCCAGTGTTGCAAGTTACGGGTTTGTCTTTCAGTGTTGCAAGTTAAGAGTTGGTCTTCCAGTGTTACGAGGCCTGAAAGCAGCTCAACCTGAGGCACTAACAGGGAGACAGCGTGAGAGCAGATGGAAGAGACTCGCTGCGTTCTGAGCGTGTTTAAATAAGGGAAAGTAAAATCAATTTAGAAATGCCTGTTGTAGTGGCAGCAGCTTCATCTTCAATCAATATATATATATATATATATATATATATATAATAGAGCATTAGTTTGAGCTTCATCTTCAATCAATATATATATATATAAATTATAAGTTTTCCAGTCCTGTGGTGACTGAAAGTTAGGTTGAGAGGCGACTGTGCCTCTTATTGCTGGCCTCGGGCTCAGACAATGAAATAAGCCATTTAACGAGCAAATGACGGAGTGAATATTTATTTAAGCGGTTTACTGGAAGAACGCTTTTTAACCCTGCTTTTAATTGTTCTTTTTTGAATAATCGAAACAGTTAATTTTATTGGTTTTTCTTATTATATTCACTATTTTTAGTTTTACTTATATGACACCAATTTTTAGCATGTCCTATCAGTACGAGTTAAAACACGAGACTGATCTATATTTTTACAAATCATAGCCTCACCGGCGTAAGTAGAGTTGCCCTTGCCAGGGCTGTTCCTTAACTTGTCTAGCACCCGATAATAAGTGTTGAATAATACCTTACATTAAGTGTTATAAGCTAACTAAGTGTTATAAGTTAACTACCCCCCCCCTCAAGTGTACGGTCGTCCTCGACCGACCCAATTCCAGCGACGACTCCTCGCAAGTGCTTCGCGGACTTCTTTGCGTCGATGATCCACCAAAGAGTGAAGCCAATGCAGATTAAAGCACAGCATATGGCTCCTCTTTCGGAGTGCCGTACAACGACACATCATCAAAGTGCACCATTTCGGTTCCTTGGTCGCATATTAGCAGCGGTGACCAGCGAGTCGGTGCAGGTGTTCTCGAATGAAATCCGCAAGTCGTTCTCATTCACATTCAATACGGAGCAGTATGAGCAGCGTACTGATTCTTCGCTATCGCCGTTCAGCAGGCGCTTACTAAGCTTGCTCTTGCGCCTACGTATGTGGCGTCTGTTGAAGCTGTTGGTGCACGACGTGGACGTGGGCCTTGGCATCGGATGATGCATACCAAAGTTGTGCAGCTGCAGCGACTTGAGTGTGGCTGGCGCCGTCGATGACTGGCCGTGCACGTGCCCGTGATGGCCGTGATGACTGTGTCCCACCACTCCAGCGATGCTATGAGCCGTTACTGGACGAGTGATGTGTGTAGTCTGTCGGCGCGCTCAGCTGGCGATTGAATTCGGCCTTGCGGCGCGTCAAGTCCGTCAGGCAGTATTTGTTCAGATGGCCGTTGCTGGAGACAGGGCTCTTGGGCGATGATGCCAGATGCTGCGTATAGGCCGAAGGAGTTGCTGCTCACGCTTAGCTTATTGCCGGCGTTGTGCAGCAGATTGTTACAGTTCTTGCCGCTGATCTTGGCCGACTTTTGCCCGTCGTCGGTATCGTGTTGCTGCTGCTGCTAGCCGCCCTGTACTCCTTGTCGTCGCTCTCGCTGCGCACCGATGCTCGATACGCAGGAAATGTCTTCGTCTTGCTCTTCAGAGAGCCGTTCAGCAGTAGCTGCTGTTGCCGTGCGGCAACTGCCGACAATGCCGGCAGCTGCAGTTGACGTGACGCCGCTGCCGATGAGGATGAGGATGAGCCGGCAGCTGTGGCAGGTGTCGACAGAGATGGGCAGCGGTTGGAGCAACCTGTGGCTGTGAAACTTCTTGAATTAATGCAGTTGGCGGTGTTTTGGGGATTTCTTGACTTGGTTCTAGTATGGATGAAGAGTCGCTTGGCTCTGCCGCCGCGAAGAGTTCGTTAGTTGTTGCTGGCTGATGAGCTTCTACTGTTGGTGGTGGTGCCGTGAACAAGGGGGTTTCCTCAACGATTCCGCTTGTAGATTTGCATGCTGTGGTTCTGGCTTAGCATCCAACTATGGGGCGAATAGAGCTGTTGCTGGTTCTTGTGGACGACAGGATAAATCGTAATTTTTCTGCAGGCTTTTTTAATTTTTGGGAATTTGGTTATAAAATGTATAGTGTTGACGGATTCCTCTAGCCAAATTGATTTTAAATCTGAGGAGTCCAAAATGTTTGGGCTAACAATGAGCCTTCGCGAGAGTAATAGCAAGCATTAAACTTTGCAACTCGATCGTCCGCATTCTGTTTCTGGACAGTGTTTCAGTGTTTCAAATAAATAAATCAATTTGTGAGTTTTGGCTATCCCGAGAACTCCATTGACAGCAAATGTTAACTGGTTAAGCTGGTCTTGAACCTCAGTGTTTACTTCTATCCGTCTACTGTTGGCATTCATTAGTCGCATTTCAGTGGACCTAATCTACTCTAAATGACCGGCATCGGGTGTACCCGCCACCAAATTGTTTTATAAAAATTATGCCAAGTGGCTAAAGGTAAATTGAAAAACTATATCTAACTTATTCTAAATTGCCTAGCGGCTTATAATAAAAGGTGTAATAAAAAAACAAGGGAGTCATCTTAGGTTGTCCTTGTGGACCACCCTTCCTTTAATGAGGACCTCGGTCCCCAGGTCTGCTTCCACGGCCTTCTCGACACATAAAGGTGTGAGTTTGTTTCCGAGCCGTCGGTTGGACTTGACCAAATCCTTGTCACCAACATCGAAGACTCTATTCTGCCGCTTTGCGTTCTCCCTAGCTCTGAGCGTCGTCTGAGCGTTTCTGATCTTTTCTTCTATCTTTTCTTGTGGCTCTTGTTTTTTGGGGTGTCTATCATACTTAGCCCTAGCACATGTTTTGCAGTTTTGTACTATTTCCTTGGCAATTTTTGCCATCCGTGGAAAGTAGTACTCCGAGAGTACCTGCTTAACATTTTCCTGTGCAGACCTATGGGCCCTATTATGCTCGACTGTGAGGATTTCCCTTCCTTCTCCAACCGCAAATATGTCCACTACGCGATTTTTGCAATGCCAGAACTTTGTGGCTGGGTATCTTCGCACCAATGCATCTTGTATCATTGCAAGCGTGTGTAAATTACAGTGGAGAGCATTTACGCATTTGGGTGAGACTACATCTTCGAGCTCGTCTAGCAGCGATTCGACGCATGTATAGCTGATCAAGTAGCGTTTCTTATTTCCAAAAAGAATAAAACTTCGTTTTAAGGGGAAACGCGCCTCTTCTAGCACTATCTGGTTTTGAAAACAGTTCAAGGGTTTGTCTGTCGTCTCAATGGTGTTGGTGAGAGATACCTCACTGTGGATCGTTGCTGCGCAGGACTCAATTTCTTGCTCATTTATAGCGTTGAGCTGCTGTCTTGACAAGGCATCCGCAACCAGATTGTCCTTGCCAGGTTTATAGAAGATACGTGCATTAGACTCGTCAATGCGCGCTTTCCACCTTTTGATTTTCGCATTTGGATTAGATTCCGAAACTGCGAAGGTCAAGGGTTGATGGTCAGTGAAGATATTAATGTCTTTCACCCCATACAAATAGTGCCTTAATTTGGCAAGTGACCATACAATGGCCAATAACTCTCTCTCATTGGTTGCATAGTTAACCTCACTGTCCTTCAATGTTCTTGAAATCATTGTTATAGGACGACCCTCTTGAGACAAAACTGCACCTATGCCGTGAGCCGAAGCATCGGTCGTTAGATCGAATGGCTTCTTAAAATCGGGGTACCTGAGCATTACATTCTCGGATGACAAAATATCGCGCAACTTCTGAAATGCCCTCTGCTGCACTTCAGAGAATTGAACCTTTATATTTCTGGACCTATGCTTACTGACTGTTCCATTTTCACCCTTCAGGATATTCGAGATGGGTCTTGCTATTGCGGCGAAGTCCCTAATGAAACATCTGTAATAACTTGCGAGGCCTAGAAATGATCTAACCTCGAACAGCGTTTTTGGTTCTGGATACTCCTGTATTGCCCTAACCTTTTCAGGATCCGTCGTGGTGCCAGTGCTGGTGACTACGAAACCAAGAAAGTTCACGCTTTTCTTAAAAAAACGTGACTTTTTGACGGAGACCCTCATGTTTGCTTTGTATAAGCTTTTTAGGACCCGATCCACGTGTTTAATGTGGGATTCCTCATCTTCTGAAAAGATGATTACGTCATTGACATCAACATAGCAAAATTTGCCAATCTGCTCTCGCAGTATGTCGTCGATGGTTCTTTGAAAAATGCTTGCTGCATTCTTTAATCCAAAGGGGAGTCTTTTGAACTCGTATTTCCCCCCGTTCACAGAGAAAGAGGTTTTTTCACGGTCGCGTTCAGCGAGTATGATCTGGTGATAACCAGACTTGAGGTCTAATGTTGAAAAGAATTTGGCTCTCCCCAAATTCCCCAATATCATTGATATATTTGGCATAGGGTATTTGTCCGGCACGGTTTTTTCGTTAAGTTTACGAAAGTCCATTACCAACCTCATTTTCCTATTGCCCGCTTCATAAGTGCCCTTCTTGTCTACTACCCATATTGGGTTATTGTAGGGAGAGACGGACTTTTGAATTATATCATTCTTTAGTAGATCTTTGATTTCTTTATTAACGAAATCAGCCGCTCCCATTGGATATGGGTAAAGCTTGGTATAGATCGGTTGCTCATCTATGGTCCTAATGGTAGCCACGACTGATGTGTTATACGGCAACGTCTCGTCTGGGTCTGCAAAGGCCTTTTGTCTGGTCTTCAGCATTTTCAAAAAAGAACTTCTAACTAATGGGGATGCATCTGCTATTTGTTCAGCTAACTCATTAATTCTTTGAGTCAATGCATGCTCCCTCTGCTGGTTTACAGCAGCCTGTTCG